CTTATCCTAACCCAAACCCAACCCAACAAACAAAAAAGGAAACAACAGCAACAATATGCAACCGGAGAATTTCCTTCCTAAGATCATCCTAGCAATAAGAAATTATTGTAAAAATCTTTTGTTACTATAAAATAAAAATATAAAGCAAGCAATTATGATATAAAGTGAATATCATCCTTCTAATATCACTGTACAATAAAAACCTGAATCTATTCTATTTTAACAAAAAAAAGGTATATATTTTATATTTCTTTATTAGTTGTTGAGTTCTTAAAGGAAATAAAAAGTGAAAAATGAGATCGATTAGATTTACTTATATAAAAAGTATTTACAATTTTTATTATGCGAAATAATATTAAAAATAATTTATATTTCCAATTTTATAATTCTTAATAATAATAATTCCAATTTAAATAATTAAAATTCTATGAATATCTAAATATATACCTTCCATATTTAAAGATAGTTTTGTAAGTCAGTACCACACAATTTGATATATTCTCCTTTTAGATTCAAGTTTTGAATGTTTCTATTGAATAAATAGAGTTATAAAGTAAAATTAAAATAATAAAATAATTTCCTCTTTTCTGTATCCCATAAATGAGAGGAATTGATTATAATTCCGTAATGTTACTTTCAGGAGAGGATCATATTGATCTGATATGATTAGTATGAAATATTTTATGAAAACAGAATTTTCAAGATTATATATTTTGTATGGAAATTTATCATAAATTTCATGTCGTTGAATCAGTCAAAATATTTTCAATTGTAAAATATATATATAAAAAGAATGATTCATATCATTAGCTGATAAGATGAAATTCTTAAAACCATAGATATCGATATTAATTTAAGGAGAATTACTAAATTTAAAAACATATGTAGTATAATAAGTTTTCCTATAAGGTATTATTTTTAATCGTTCTAGAGTCTTAAAGAATAACTATTTAGATATCTTGAATAATATAACAGCAGTTAAATAACGACATCAAATTTCTTAGTAGTATGTTTTTCTAATTGATTCATTCATTCTTGATATCTTTAGAGCCTCTCTAAAATTACCTTGTTTCTCTAAGATATCCACTAAATAGAATATAATTTTTAATACATTTCAAATTTTACATCTCTATTTAATTAGTTAATTCTAAACTGATTATATAATTACAAATTTGAAGTGCCTCTGGATATCTATGAAGTTCCTTTAATGCATTCACTAAATCTAGTTCTATAAAACTACTTTTTTCGATTTAATATTCTTGTAAATTATTATTTATTCTAATAGCTTCATCCCAACTTTAGATGGCTTCATTTAGCAATCCTTATTTTAATAATGCGTTCGCTAAATTCTAAATAATAATTTAACCTTTCGATTTATAAATAAACATATCATTCCTATGAATATGTTCTTCACATACTTTAATAATTTCTTCTTATCTTTCTAATTCTGATAATGCTTAAACTATTTAATAATATCATCTGCTTATTACTTAAATTCTTGACTAAAAAGAAATAATTATATTCCTTCTATTTATCTGAACTACAAAATTCTATTAATTCATGCCATTTTTATTATTTGATTAAAGCATTTGCTGACAATCTTAATAATTTTCATACCTTTTTCCACATAAATACCAGGATGCTTCATTAGAGAAATTGCTTTATCATAATTATCAATTATTTCTTATTCTTTTCCCATTTTCTCTAAGATTTACCCTAAATCAATTGGTGCTTATAATTACCTTTTTTTTTGTATAAAAGCAGTTGATATTTATTATGTTTAAGTCCTAAATCTAAGCATGCCAACACTTCTTCATATTCACCTAATTTTTCTAAAGCTTACGCTATGGATTAATAAACTGAGATTTACCTTTTTCCATGTAGAACGAGTGATCATTGTTATTATACATAATCCCTAAATTCCAACATTCTGCTATTTTTCTCCATCCTTCATCAGTTATTAATCCGTCATTTTGAGTATATAAATTTTTTATGGAGATAACTTAGGATAATTTAAATGTAGAAATTTACTTTTCTAAATGTAAAATATTTTATGCTCTTTATTATGGTTAATTCCATAATCCCAGCATTCCAATATTTCAGTAAATCTCTTCTGTTCAAATAATTCTCGACCTAATGATTATGAAACTCCTTTTTTTACATTTTAACTAATAAAACGTAACATCTTTGACATTTTATGTTATTGCATAATCATATAATTCAATGAGCAGGTTTTATTTACCTTGATTCCTTAGAGCTTAGGCTAATATATTGAAAAGCAAGTCTTACCTTTTTCTTAATAGAAATTGAGATCGTGCGCATTATTTAAAATTCCTAAATCCCAAGTATTTAAAATTTCCTATAATTTACCCAATTTAGCTAAAAGTTAAGCTATTTAAATTTAACAAAATTTACTCTTTTTCATGTATAAAGTGATGTTGTTTTTGTTATTCTCAATATTTTTATCCAATTACTCTAAAGTTTCATCATATTTCCCTTGTATATTTAACTCATTTACTATTTTAAATATCATTTTATACATTTTGACTAAATGTAATGGGAAATGGAATTTTAATTCATAAAAAGAAAATAATTTAATATCACTCATTTATATATGAATAAGTTGTGGAGGTTATAAAAATAATCTTATAATTTTGAAATTAAATACAAAAAAGACTACTCAATATCAACTTATTCTAAATGATGAAAAAGAAAGTATTTACTTAAAAATCAAATTTAATATCTAGATCTAACCAACTTTTATATTATAAACGTTTTATTAATTAACAATAACGTAATTAAATAAAGATCAGTCGATGACATTATGTTTAATGTTTATTAAATATTCAAGAAAGACAATTTTTATATTAAACTGAATTCATAAACATTATAGTTTTCAGAATTCTAAACTTATATATAATAAAATAGTTAATTAAAATGAATTTTTAACTTTAATTTATCACACAAGCTAAAAATTCATTTTATGTAAAATTATGTTTTCAGCTAATCAATGGAACTTGCATTAATTTGTTATGATATAGAATTGATTCAATTGAATAATATCAATATTTTCAATTTACTGGTTGTGGACCATCCTTGTTTTCAAAGTACATATACTCAAACAAAATTGTGGCTGCTAAAATTAAAGCTTTATCTTCTTTCGATGCATTTTAAGGAAATACAACACTATTATTACCAGTGAAGTCAGCCCAATTTTGACAGCAACCTTTCACTTACTTATTCATTGGAGCTACAACCTCAAATAACTAGTTCAATTATTTACTTCTCCATTTGGAGTTTTGATATGAAATTCCACATGATTGCATTATTCACTGCAAGGAAATCTGCACCAAAAATAGCATTAGCAACAACTACCCTCTATAATGTATTTCAACTTATTTTCTGAATCAAAAATATGACAACCAAGTGTACAACAATAAAATGGATTGACAATATAACCTAAATTCCTGTTTTAACCATTTTCAACATATTATACATCTAAGCGTGGTCTAAATATAAATAAATACTCATAAAAACCTATTCAAACAGCAGCAAGTACATACATACTTTCTATCAAATTTGAAAATAATGCGATCAGAGTTTTCCTAGAACATTTGATCCATATTAGGTTGGAAGTCTTTGCACCCATAATTGCTGACAAACATCTCAAATGGTCGAAAGGATGGACTTAATGTTAAAACAAAGGTTACCTTAATGTTAGTCTAGCGCAAGATGAAGATTTTTCTTTACACTTGAATAATTCTTTTTGTTCGATCTATTCACCTTAATCGTTTGCAGCATACACTTTAAAAACATTTGGAGTCTAAAATCCTAATCAATTACTTAGATTAACCAGATCTACCTATCATCACTTAGAAAAACTCGAATTTCTGCTAAATGAAGATTCCCACCTATGTACCTAAAATATCTAAACAACTTGTTTGGTTTGTATTTAATGTGTAATCAGCCATTTGATAAATATTGTTCTACCCAATGCTATCATCAGTATTAAGAGGTGACTACATAGAGAAATATGAATTGGATATTTTATTATTTCATAACAATAAAGACTGCTTTAATATTAGCAAAAATGACTCATAGAGTTCTATATAATAAGAAAACCATAATAAAACCCTATGATTCATGGATTTAAATTAAATTTCTAATTAAAATTATAACTCAACACTAATTTTTACCATTAATAACTGAATCTCTTTTTCTTTGACATCAAATTGTAAAAATTGAGACAAATTTAATTATTAAATAAAAAATTCCATATATTTTATATTTAATTTAAAAATGTTATTACAATTTCATTAAATAAAGTTTGATAATTTCTGCCATTGATCCCTATAAACATATTCTGATTATTCTACCATACCTGATCAATGTTGATAAGAAATTATAATGGCTGAATTCTCCTATTCAAGTCTACCTTCATTTCTTATTTTCAACATTTACTAATAACTGATCTCAAATAATTAGAGCCACTGATTTTATACATATTTTATTATAAAATCTATATTAGATCGTTTAATAGTTCTTTTTTGACCCTTAATATCTTTAGAATTATTCTATTTCTCCCTTTCTCCTTAAAATATTTGTAGGCTAATCTATTTAATCTACAAAATATAAGAGCAATTTAGGCTCTCTACGAAAATGTAAATCTTATATTGAGCAATACTATAAATCCTTCTTCCCAAATTTCAGAATCTTCATATAGAAGAGTACTCTATAAAGATCATTGCTTAATTATTGAAAAATTATATATTATATTAATTCATTCTGTTGAATTCTTTTCTATAACTTTAAAAAATACTAGTTTATATAGCAGATATAGACTAAATTACATGGCTAAAACTATTCCAACAATGATGTATCTTTTGGCTTATTCTAAATCGCCTAATATTCTAAATTAATTTGGTTGAATACTTTCTCATTCCCATTATTAAGAAGCTTGAGGAGCTGATCATTCCATAGCCAACTAAACACCATTAAACATAGGAATTTCGTAATACGCACAATATGGTTATGGGCATCAAAATTGACATTGAATAGCCGTAAAGACACACGGTGTGAAAGAATCGGATATCGCTGCCAAGAATCTTCATTACGATTGTAAGTATGACAGGTGTTCCAAAACTTATGCAATACAGGAGTGCTGCTGATTAAGGAACATAGTCTACTGAATATGTTGTTTATCCTTCGAAATTCATTTAGTTGATATTTGCGACAGCTGTAATTAGGAAGATAATTGTTGCACTTATCCATAAAGGACCCCATCTAGATATATAGTGCTAGCATTTACAGATCAGGATTTCCTGCAACGCGCTCATGAAAGTCTTTTCGGAAAGGGAGAAAGGAGGCTTTGATTCTATCAATCACATCATCTTCAGAGACATTGAAGTAAGGTTAATAATATTGGACTGTTAAAAAGGCACAACATCCTTTTTGTTCTGGATGTTCTTCTTCTTCTTCCTAAAAAAATTCCATTTTATAAAATTAAATATATGATTAAAGTAAAGAGTTCAGGCAATAAGGAAGCAGATACAGCTAAGTACTTCCTAGAAGCCATGTTGTAATTAAGAGATTGCTTCAATGAATCGAAATCAATAAGCATTGAAGCTCAGGGTTAGGACATCTGTGTGGCAACTTGTGTGTTAGAATTATTAAAGAATTAATTTCCTAATAATAAAAATTCGATAAATACAAGTGGCAGTATCAAAGACGTCTAAGACTGTGATGTGAGCGGATTAAAAATAGACTTTTAAGTATTAGATTTTGGAAAGGATGTGTACAATCCAATGAGTTATGTTGAAAAGTATCTGCAATAATTGATGGAATATGAAAAATCATAGAAACGAAATAATAAAGAAGATACAAAACCAAGATAAAATTAATAATAGCAATAATAATAGTAATAACAATAACAATAGTAATAACATTAGTAATAACAATAGTAATAATAATAGCAATAATAATAACAATAACAATAGTAATAATAATAGCAATAATAATAACAATAACAATAGTAATAACAATAAAAGAAGCAAAAAGAAGTCTAAGTAGAATATGTATAGAAAGTGGATTCAAATACATAAGATGATATTTACAACAAATGGAGTAAACCAAAGAATAAAAACAAATAGAGAATACCTAAAAATTACTATGGGAATGATGAAGACTTGGAGACAGATGGCTTGCACGGATTTGCCGAAGCTTTTGATTAAAAATAGGGGAGAAATAGAAATGAGAAGAATAGAAATAGAAGAAGTTAGAATAAGCAAGAAGAAGTAATTTATTAGGAATAGAATTTTATAAGAGGAAATATAAAATACAGAGGAGGATTAAAAAATTGATAAATAATAATAATCGTATAAAATAATATATAGTTTAAACTCTGCTAAAAGTATTCAATCATTTTCATTATAAATTACAATTTCATTAGACATTACGTAAGTTTGTTAGTCCTCCCACATAAATTCTAACTGAATTACATAGTTAACTTTGTACAGTCTTCCTGGGTAGGTGCATGCATCATTAAAAGATTAGGAAATTGCAATATCAATGTCTAGATTTCTCTTCTCACTGTGCATGTTATCCAATCTTTGTTAGATCATCGTTTGTGGAGGTAACTAATAATTGTTACTAAACTTACTCGTTTATATTTGGTATCATTTTTAAATAGTAAATCAATTATTTACAAAATCGTAATCTGATTCTTAACTAAAGCAAATTGGGATCTAGTGTTGTCAACAAGCAATTTGCCTTTTAAATGTTCACCTATTCGATAAGCATTCTTCTCCAAACTAGAGATAGCCAACTAAATCCATACTTGAACTAAAGAATCGGAGCGAAACCTGCGAATTTAGGTTCATAATTGAGTGAAATTGGTTTGATATCGTATCTGTTCTTTTTTGTTTTGACTACTTGAATCTGTCTGGTATTTGGTACAATGCTGCTGCTCAATGAAGTGGCTGAAGAACTTTTCTGCGGTTTTAAGATATAAATACAGCTAAGAAACATTCTAAGTATACGATTGTGGAGAGTGTTTAATCGGAGATTATAGAGTAGTAATTCTGATAAATGGGTTCCCATTGAATGCGCTAATCAAAAGGAATGTGCAGTTGGGCTTCTCCGTTTAGTTTTCGTCGCATGAGGTTGATATCGAGAAATTGGTTGGATACTGTGAATCCTTTTGTGGTAATTTGCTCGATCCCAATCAGATTGACATATAAATGATGAGTGTTATCCATAGTCGGATTGTTGATTAAGACTGAACCACTATACTAGCCATGTTAGTAATCAGCTTGGGTGACTTCGAAGTTTATTTCTCCTTGAAAATGAGTAATCGAGTGGCATAATCCCATTATATAATATTTATTAATTAAATTACAAATAGATTAATTAAAAGAACATTTTTTAGAATAAATTATTATCTCAACTTCCAAAAATTGTACGTCATAGAACAATAATATTAAAATTACAATCATGTTAAACAGCAAAATCAAGATTTTCAATGATGACTCCCTTCTTTTCAGTAGTTATCAATATTATACGGTTCCATTTTTATATACAATGGCCATAATATTGATTTCCTACTTCGAAAATGCTTGGATAGCCATTTGGATCGTCTATACTCTAATTCCATTTTTGGATGAATTCTTCTCATTAGATCTTCGTAATCCAAGCAAAGATGAATAGAAGTAACTTACATATTAGATTATTACTAGTAAACTAGAATCAGAGATGAGATTCAAGCTTCCATTGTATGTATGCGTCATCTTCGATTGGATAAGTCTGATTTGGATGATCAATTTCCTTCTAAACAATGAGATCCAGATATTCAATAAACTGGGTATTATCTTTTTGTGTGGCAATTTGGCTGCATCCAACATCAACATCGCTCATGAATTGTTTCATAAAGATAATCTGCTGGATAAGCTATTGGGAACTATTACATTGGCAAGAAACTTGTACATCCACTTTGCAATAGAGCATATCCATGGTCATCACAGAAATGTTGCTACTCCCAAAGATCCAGCAACTTCATTGAAAGGACAAAAGATATGGAACTTCTTGCCCTAGACCATAATTGGTTCATATGTGTCTGCTTGGAATTTTGAAGCAGATCTTATGCTCAAAAAATATGGATCAGTTATTAGAGTCTAAAATAGAATGATATGGTAATAATTAATAATAGTGTAGGTATACAATATCTTATTTTATTATTCCATGCATTATCTATTATTACTTTGGAATCTTCGGATGTGCTTACTTCTTAGGCACTGTAATCAACAGTGTAGTGTACTTGGAGACCATTAATTATGTGGAGCATTATGGTTTGAGCCGAAAAGAAATACAACCGGGAAAATATGAGAAAGTAGACATTAGACATAGTTGGAATGCTCCACACAGATTATCCAATTATCTCCTCTTTAAATTGCAAAGACATTCAGACCATCACGAAAATCCATACAAATCCTACCAGACACTCTGTTCCTATGAAGAAAGCCCCCAATTACCACATGGATATACTGTGTGTATTCTATTGGCATGGGTACCAAATTTATGGTTTGAAATTATGGATTTGTAATTAAAGAATTGGGAACATCATAAAAAGAATGTGACCTCAGACCAAGTCAAACAGAAAATGCTTGATTTCATATTCAAAATTGGCATGGTCACTACAACATTGGCAACTGCTTCAATTGCATTATGAATTATTATTATGATAATATTCCTAATTACAAGTGTTTTCGCATCACATATCTATCCCATCGCCTAAAACCCAAAAACCTTCGCTTTTCAATTGACCTATCAATAAGGGTCCTTGACACTTGATTTGAATTCTTAATTGACCTTTATGAAACTTAAAGGAGAGGAAGTCAAATGCAATTCCTCTCCATTTGGAGATTAGATCGAATGTTCCTCATGCACTCCAAATTGTGTCATTGGAGATGGTAATTTGATGCAAAGTGATGCCATCCTCATCAACGTGTTATAAGAAGAACAAACAGAAAAGATGCTATACGTTTCCACGGATCAAGAAGAAATATTAGGCTTGGGATAATAGAGAGGATGTATATAATAGATTCTATATTTGTAGCCTCAAAAACTCCGTAGAATCCATTTCTTTCCAATATTTTTCATATCTGTCTTGGTTATGATAAAGGATTCATTTCAAAAGAATTCAAGAATCCATACAAAAAACAAATAAATTACAAATCAAATTCCTCCTCTAAATATTAAGTAGATCTCAAACAAATCAAAATACAAAATCAAACAATTGTCAATCTAACTGGAAAAGTTACATATGTCGATAGCAGAGATCCATACATTTTATTGCCTGAAGAAAATTATCAAAAAATCATCACGTATTTTTCCAAATTTCAAGTCGTTGAAGAATCTCATACTCTCATCGTGAAGAATCAATCTCTAAAATTACCTGATATTGAATTTATATTTGATGATGATGATGAAAAAATCATTATGGAACCAGAAGCATACATCTTGAAACTTTCAAATGACACTCATATCTTAAGATTCAATAGATCCAAATTAAATCGAATTGAACTAGGATTACCATTCTTGGCTTAAAAACTTATTACAATTGATTAAAATACAGAGAAATTCTATTTTTCTGATTTTAATTGTTAGGATTAATTCCAATAAATACAACTTGAAATAGATTACTTTAAACAAATACTCCTTCCAACATTATTGATATGTCTTGTATTCTATTGCATTTTGACTCAAAAAGCTAAAACTTATAAACAATCCAAAGCCAATGAAAGCTATGAATTGACTAAATTAAAACAAGAAATTGAAGAGGAAGAGGAGATTTGAATTAATTTATTTTTAACCTTATTTGTATTGCTATTTCTCTATATTTCAAATAATTGATTTATTTTTATGCAAAAATTCAAGATTTTCTTAATTTGAGTTTCATTGAAATTTCATAGTCTATTTATTAATAAGATGAATAATTGTACATTTAAATATATTTATAAATGAAAATTATCTCAATAATGGCGAATTTAGTCACTAGCCTAATAATATACGATACAAATGTTTTCAAAGGTTTTGATTACGATTTTAATCAACATTTTCCTTGTTCAAATACCTAGATAACAAGTTAAATCTTCTTCTCAGACTCATTTCCTGAAATACCTAAAATAATCCTTTCCCTTGAAAAAATTGATATCTGGATTATAAACTCAGGGTTTATTTTAGAGATCACAGACATTTAGCTTACATGTAAGTATTTAGATTAGTTAAGATTTCAATGTTAAGATTTCATGTCCAAATGAATTATATTTTGCTGTAAGATTTAAATGGTATGCTATTTGTGGAGGCGGTCTTCAAGTAATTAACTATATCAGCTCTGCTTCCATTGTCAATCAAACTTTTCCTCATTAATTGAGTAATGCGAAATATGGATTTGTGAGTTTAACAGGTTTATTATTCAAGGGATCAATTGATTTTCTACTTTAAGTAAGGCATTTATATAATAACATTCTCAGATAAGTGAACTGACAAACTCTTCTATTTCGGTTGAGATTAACCAAGTAGATGGAAAATTCCCTAATTTACTAAAAATAGGTTATTAAGTTGTCATAACATAACATGAGTTAATCAATCTAGGATTACAATATGCTCCTCAGATTTTTACAAGTTAACCAATCTAAAACATATGCAGTTAATGGTTTATTTTTAACATTTAAGGTCTTAATTATGAAAACACAGATAACTTAAGACTAAATCTAACTTATAATAATAATGCTGATATTATATCTTATTAGGTTGGATAATGTATTAATTTATCAAATTTTAGGGGTTGGATAATATACTGAAAGTTATCATTCTTAGCTATGGTTATTTTATTAAAATACTTACTTTAGTTGCACTATGATAAAAAATAAAAGAAAATTAATCTCAAATATCAATGATTTACCCGAAAAGAAAATTGTTTTTGTTGATTTGAATCTCCAATATATTAATAAAGGATAATACGAATTAATTTTAAATAAAACGCTTTCCTATCTGTAAATAGAAGTAGCTATGAAAAGCTTTTAGGGAAAACTAATTCAAAGTTCAATTCATTCATAAGATAACTGCAATCCATCATAAATTCAAGTTATTAAATATAAAAATGAAAAAATCTTCAACTTGATAACTTTCTACCTAGCATTTACTTCAACAACCTATCAATAATAAAAATTTAAGATTATTATCACAACCGGGAGTATTGAATTAGTTCAAGTACTTTTAAATTGCGCGTAAACTGAGAAGGCAATTCTGAAATTTGAATATATAGACGTCTGATTTAAGCAATAAAAAATTGCATTTTATTTAAATTTAAAAAATTAAATTATTAAGCATTTGTGTATATGTACCAATTATGATTTATAACAATTCTAATAATTTTAGTTTTTATTTGAATAAATATTACTTAAATTCTACAACGACTTAGTATCACGAATGAAAAACATGTAAATTAATTTTATCCTTCCTTACAAAAAAATGAAACATTTATCTATAGCCCTATAATCAATTTTACATCAATAATTGATATTCTTAATATAAATTAGTTGCCTAGATCGTGACGAGTAAAAGTCTTGGATTATTAAAAAGAGTTATAAACAATAAAACTACCTTTTCAATTCTTATGATTTATCTTAAAAAATTCCAAATATGTTATAAAACATTCACTTGATAATCTCCTAATGGTCTTTAGATATTTTATATTTAAATAGAAAAACTACCAATTTTAATGAAAGTGTTAGAATGTTAAATTTAAATGTAAATTATTATCGTTATATAGTAAGTCATTTTAACTCATAAAGATGAATTTTCAGAATATGAATGATGAAATAATTAATATTATTATTAGTTCTAATAAAACAATATTCATAAACTGGATAAATTTTAAAAATGAAAACGGGGAGTCAAAATATATCTTGAACTTGCTTCGAAATCATTCATAAAGTCAGTTTTGAGAGTTCTAATCATTTTAATGAGTAAGATGTTATTTTTAATGTCCTCGTCATGTGTATGCTACTATTAATGGATCAGATTACCAAAGTTGATTCATGTGCATCAATGTATTCTTCATAGATTTAATGAATATTCTCTTGATTTTCTAATTCAGCTTATATTTCTGCTTAATGATCTTGAATCTATTATTCCATATCTGCGATCATCTATCCTAATTCTGAAATCTGTTCGTTTAATTTCTCAGTCTTTTCATCAATATGTTCCAACAAGCGTTCATGCAATTCTATTCGTTATTATTCAGCATTAAAGAGAACGATGTTAGTGTCTGCTAAGTTTTGTTCCCTGAGAATAAGAGAAATGTATTTACATATTTGCAAGCATGTCAATAACATAAGTGACATGTTCTAGATTTCCAGTCTATTCTGGAATTTGGGCGAATGACTCTTTAGTTGATAAAGACAAGTACCAATGATTTAACTAAAGGGATTTTATTCTCCCAATTACTCCTTAGCCTATGATCGTACCTATACGAATTCTTATCGTATGTCCTCGTAACTAACCTCTAATTCATTGTCCTGCTTAGCAAATTTGGTTTAAGGTGCAAGATCTGGCATTTTGGGTATCAATTACCCAATCAATCCTTTGGATCTGCGAACGATGCCGCTGGACATGGTTATTTCGCTTCTCCTTCTTTCGAACATGGCAACCTAAATATTGGTTGATATTATTGAACTTCGTTTTCTCGAATTTGGACCAATTCAGAAACGGTATTTTCAGTCACTTCTAGAATAGCTTACTTTTCATCGATAATCTGTGCAAACTTATTGGTGTAATTGGTTAATAGAGCTATTTTATTTTCCAATGAAGTAACTCTATATTTGGAATCCTAGAGCATTCTTTGGGTTTCCTCAATGTTTTGAAGTTCTATCAAAAGTAATGATGTGTAATGAACCTGTGTCACATTGTTCTTGGAATTCATCCGAAGTAAGTGAGGCAACCTTGGCTTCCATGCTATTAAGATAAATTAAGAATTATGTTTGATCATGTCCTAGATAATCTCATTGACTAGTACCTTTTCTGAGAAAGGCCCTCACATCTTTGATCAGATGCTGGCCAACCTGACCTTCACTTGCGATGTTGTCGATATCATCCTTATTTTAACCGACTTAATAAGCAGCTGCTAAGTGTAAAATAAAATGTATAAAAATCATTAATTATTTATGGAAAAATTATTATAGATTTCATAAGAAGTTAGAGAAGCACTCGAGAAGGGTCAAGCAGTAGTAGCTTTGGAGTCAACCATAATCACACATGGAATGGAATATCCCACAAATGTTTAGACAGCCTTGGGAGTGGAGGAGGAAATCAGAAACAAAGGAGCTATTCCTGCTACGATCATTGTCACACAGGGAATCCTTAGAGTTGGATTAAAGTAAGAGGAGATCGAAGAGATTGGAAAGAATAAACACCACTACTAGAAATGTTCAAGGAGAGACCTAGCATAAATAATAGCATAAAAAGGATATGGAAGTACAACTGTGGCAGCAACCATGATGATTGCTCATATGGCTGGAATCAAAGTATTTGTTACTGGAGGAATTGGAGGAGTTCATAGAGGAGCTGAACACACTTTTGATATCTCTGCAGATTTGGTTGAATTGGGATAAACTCCAGTTGCTGTTGTTTGTGCTGGTGCCAAGTCCATTTTAGACATTCCAAAAACCTTAGAGTATTTGGAAACCTAAGGAGTTCCTGTCGTTGGATACAAAACTAAACATTTCCCCAACTTTTTCACTCCAGATTCAGGTTTGTTCTGCAGTACATCTGTGGATTCCAGTCAGGAGGCCAGTGAGTTAATTAAAGCACAATTTGAGTTGTTGAAGCTTAAGAATGGAATCCTCTTTTGTGTGCCAGTGCCTTAAGATTAAGCAGCAGATGGTTAGATTGTACAGTAGGCCATTGATAAAGTATTTGTTTACATTCAAATTAGGCACTCAAAGAGTTGGATGAAAAGAATGTCAATGGTGCTTTGGTTACTCCATTTCTATTGAAGAGAGTCAATGAAATTACTGATGGGATGAGTTCAAAATCTAATGTTGCTTTAATTAGAAATAATGCAAGAGTAGGAGCTGAGATTGCTATTTAATTGTGTTAAAAATGATTAATAAATAATTCATGAGTAAAAATCTATTATAATACCCAAATACCAAGTAATTTACAATGTGTAATATGTTAACCACAATGAATCTTATAATTAATACAGTGTCTTGAACTTTGGATAATTACTAAAGTGTAGTATTGAAAGTGGCACTAAAGTCAACCAAGCCAACACAGTAGAGAATACACTACTCTAAATTGTGCTCAGACTTAACAATCCTTTATATTTTTTGATTTATACCTGATATCCCATACAAAAAGACTCTTCTACTTGTGTATTCTCCTTTATATTTAAAATTGAAGCACGAACTCAAAAACAAAGTTGTGTAATGCAATAAAAACATAATTAAAATTGCTATTGCTACTGCCATCCTTTTTGGAATGAAATTTTCATCATCTTTTGAAATACTCATTAATAAGCTTAATATTATTAATGGAACAATTTACTTGGCTTGAAATTTGTCTTATACCTAACCATAAGGTCTACTTAACCAAATAGAGTTCTTCAAAAGCCATCTAAATCAATTCGTATAAGATTCAAATTTTTATGGAAAAAATTCAAAAAAGTCCTCCATAGTATATAAACCTTTACGTCAAACCTTTAAGATATTCTCCAAAAATAAAACTTCTTTGTAGCTCAATAAACTGAATACTATTATTTGCTATCTTCAATATCCACTCTATAATATTTAACAGAGCACCTTTTACATAAAGGAATAACTTAGAAATATTGAATTCTGTGATCAATCTCTACAATTCTGAATCCAGTTTATCCAATTCATGGAACCTATTTAAATTCTCAATGTGGAGAGTTTAATTGACTTCTTTATACTTCTAAAATTGAAATACTGATATAACTAAAGCACTTATAAAACTAAACTAAAGCTCTTACAAAATCAAGAAAGAACTTAATAAAATTTGAAGTAAGAACCCTTAATTACAAATATTTTCGTAAATATAGGTAATTCCAATTGTAAATCCCATTTTTTATACAGAAACACCCTTTCTATAAGTGCAAGTCAAGCCATGGTAATATATATTGAAAATTTGGTATATCAGTAGAATTGTCTTTCTTCAATCCAAGAACGATTGGAAATATTAATGATATATCAACCCTTCCAATCTATCATAGTTCTAATTGAAGATTTAAAGAATTTAAGAACCATATTGCTATGCATATTAGACTAATAATTTATAATAAACCTAAGGGAAAGACCTATTTGTGCTTTTAAATTATATAAGTGAAAAATGATTATATGATGTTAATATAAAATTAATATTTCAAAGTTGATCACGGACTTTTAAGTAAGCTTATAAATCAAAGTCTGGATCATCAAACTATTCTTTAAAAGTTATATTATACTAATACCTTCTCCCTAAAGGTCTTCTTCCTATCCTTCACTATCACTTGAACTGGAATCTTCTTCTTCTTCAGGCTAATAATCTTAGTCATAATCCTCTTCATTTTGTTCCTAAGGTTGTTAGAAAAATTATTAAGTATTCATTTGTATTGGGGCCTATTAAAATACAAGATTAGGGTTAAATTGGTTTTATTGTGCTATCAAATTCGTTCCTTAATTCCAAAACTAGGGTTGTTAGAATTATTAAAATTAGTTGTTGAAAGGGTTCATGGTGTTATTGGGAACACTGTAAAAATGTTAAGATTGATCAGGAGTAAAGAGAAATGGATTTTGGAAGCAAGGAGTCGAATTGGCTTGGGAGTTGTGGTTTTCAAATTCCATAAGCGCGAAATTTTATTAATATTAAAATACAGATAACTTTTAATATATATAAATCTCTAATAATAAACTATTAGATTTACAACATAATTTATACAGTATGCTGGAGAGAAATTACGGGTATATTTTTAATAATAACTCAAAGCAAGATAAAAAGGAATGGAAAAGGATTAAAAAATATTACAATATATTTTAGATAGAATATTCTTCAAAAATTAATAAATAATAAAAATGATCTTTTTAGTTAGATATATATTAATGAATTATAGGAATTAATGTATTTTATTGGCATCAAATAGAGGGTATACATAAGTTAAATATATGTTTTATGTAGACGAATTGGATTATTTAACATATTTTATAGATAACAAAATAATAATCATTCTAGAATATCGATGAGATGAATGGGTTAAAAAGATGCTTACAATATTAATATAACTTTATTTCAAATTAATAGTCAAGTGTAAGGATATAAAAAGGTTTTTATAATTATTAAATTAAAATTCCTAAAATTGATATCTTAAATTCTATTAGACAAGATAGATAATAAACTTATATAAACTAAATTATACAACTAATAATATAAAATCTAAGAGCTTTTATCATGATGAAAAATTATAAAAATTAAATCTTATAAAAGTAGACGATCATAAATTCAGTGATATATATAAAGCTCACAATAGTATGGGTAAGTTAAATATCAGTATATCTTGAAATAGAGTTAGAACATATTTTAAATCCGTGACCATTTGATAACTTGTTTGTTTCATCAAATTGATATTAATTTAAAAATAATCATTTTTCTAAATTGCAAACTTTTTGAATACCCTTCAAGAATTTAAATATCATAAATTAAGCTTAAATAAAATGAGAGGGCAGCAAGAAAATTATCTTTTCCAAATTAAGCAATTTGATCAAGATCTGCTTTAGATTGATTATAAATGCAATAAGCGGTTATTCTCTTTAAAAGAGAGAGTGAATTCAAATAATAATAACACTTCCTTTATCACATAAAATTTAAATTAATCTTATTAAAGAGCTGATTTAAAAATGGAGACCGCCTAAAATCAATTTACTCCAATTACTCATTTGCAAGTTCAAAGTAAACAGGATTTGGGAATAGAGAGACAGTTTTAAGAAGTGTATTAATCATCATAAGAAAGCAACAAAGAACTATATAATATTAAATGTATTCATAAAATAAAAAAGGAGAATTAATATTCTTCATAAAAGAAAAGGAAAACCTAAAAACGACCTTTTCAATTAACCAGAATACCCGAATGCTCAAGAGCAGCCAACATAACCTTGATATTTAGAGAAAGTGAAAAAAGCATGGAACTCAAAGATTACTCTTTGAATTTGATAAATACGTGCTATCAATTAAAGCAATAGATTCTATGCGAATTATTGCAAAAACAGCTTTTCATAACTCAAAAGATTAAAGGCTATATTGAGTGCTCTAGATTATTAGTAAATGGAAACATATTTGAAGATTAGATGTTACTTAATGAAATCAGACATCCTATTTTGATTGAGATATTTTAGTTTAAGACTCCAAATTTCAACCAAGATTATCATTATTAGTTCAATCATGAGTAAGTATACCAAAATTAGTATGATGGTTTAAGAGTGTAAAATTTATAAATTATGTATAATAATAAGCAAATAAATTGGTCAGGAATTGTTGATATTTCTCATATTGATTTTGAGGAGATTTTGAAATTAGAAAATGGCTATGAATTATACAATATCAACAAGTTGGGTTATTTTAGGATACCAAATTAAGGTAAGAAGTTGAATTGCAAAAGAATGGTCAAACTTAATGTTCCTGAGGAATTGCTCATACTGACCACTGATGACAACGGAAATAGGGATAAATCATACTTGATGAGGAAGTTATCTGAACAATGTAAACTGTTGAATTAAGAGTTTGTTAGTTTAGATAATGAAAGTAGATATTATGAATTCATTGAACAATGATTATTTTACTTAAAGAGATTAAAAATTGATTAATTTATAAATATTCAGGAATTCGTAGACTTCCTCAAAATGTCCATCATTTTAATTAAGTCTTCAATCTGCTAATTCCATAACACTTATTATTCTTTATTTTGAGTGTTTAATTGCTGGATTTAAGTAACCAAGATATCATTATTTTTTCTTAATTGCAAATTCTCCTATTTCATCTAATGTATTAAATCCTAATTGATTTGATACTTTGCTAGTGATTCTGAGATTTTCTCAATTTGTATTTGCATCTGCTCCTTCTATTGCTTTAATTTGACCCTTTGCTTTTCGCTTTCCAAGAGCTTATCCTCTAATTCATTGATAATCTTCTTGCTGAAATCATCTTTAGCATTGCTATTTTTCAGAGTGTAGATTTGTTATTCTGCTTGATTCAATTTATTTTGCAGTTCTTCGACCTAGGCTCCAGTATAACCAGACGCACTTAGCGATTATATATTTTCAGCATAATCAACTAAAATAGTTTTGATTTATTCATTCAACTGTGACGGTAAGATGTTGCTTTTGAATAGGGTCTAGAATTAGGATGTATAGAAATCAAGTAATTATGAAAAGGTTTGTGGTTTGAGAAATTTCTTATTGCCTGAGTTTGGTAAAGATTGTTAAGTTTGTTTTTTACCTGACGACTGATTGGACTATTTTAAACTCTTAGTAGTTTGGGGCTGAGGTGAATTCTTATTGACATTATTTACTCTCTTCTATTCTTAAGAGCTTTCTGAAGATGATGAGTGATTCCTTTCTGGCTTTTTCAATTTCTATTCGCTGTATCTAGATGCACTCTAGGTTGTCTTCTTCCATTTTTCAATTAATGAATCCATTAATATTACTTAATAATTTATTATTTAAATTATAACGACGCATAAATAAATATATATAATAATAATAGATTGTTTTTTAGAGTGTTCTCATGATCCAAATGCAAATCTAACATTAATAGATTCTTTAAATCTACTTACATATCTCCTGTGGGCAATTGAATAAAGAGCACTTATTTTTTATTAGTAGATAAATATATGAAACCAAAATTACAATGGTTTTGAGTAAATTGGTTAATCATCCCTTGAAAATACTCTCCTTTACTTTTCATACAGAAATAACAAAAATATAATAAATTTATGAATTTTTGCCATTCAGTTTTTCCTTGCTTTTATTAAAGTTATAACTAATAGAATATTTTATAATGTCCTATTTGTTTGTATTGTTGGAATAGGACAATAATTATATAAAGTTATGGCTAATTAATTACCCCCTGGTGGTTTAAATAAGGGCTTGGTTGTATCCTTACAATGTTCCTGTCCCCCTGGTTGTTAGTGTAATTCAAGAGATATTAGAAATTGGCATCATAAAGTCTGTGGTTGCCCATCCTTCATTAACGAATTCGGAGATATTTTTTGCAAAAACTTCAAAGACAAGCCAGAATGCTAAGGTTATTTTATCTAGCATGCATAATTTCAGTGTTCTATTGCCTAAAGAAATGATACTTGGATCGGTTATAGAAATGCAGCTTAATTTATGATGGCCTTGGCATAAGGAATATAGGCAGCAGAATTTCAACTTAAGAACGATAAAAACCTTGTTCATTTTACAGCAACCTTGAATAAGGAAGTATAGAGGAGATGGAATAGTTGAGTTTCTACATCTATATATATATAAACAAATGTATTCATTTAAGCCTTCTTTTCGCCAAAAAATTTGTATTTGATCCTTTGATAAGGAAGAACCAAAGGGAGATTAGACTTTAAGTTTAAAATAAATAGAATATAATTTATTATTAAATTGGTTACCAAATATAAAATCATTTCTATTTTTAATACCTAAAATACCAGTATCGTAAAAGGAGTCATTATTCTATATTACATCTTTAGTAAAGTAGCCTTCTTTCATTTTTACCAATTTTAATTCGAACTAATACAGAAAGGAATATCAATTTAGTGTTCTGGTGAATTATATAGAAGTAATTTTAAGAATTAAAAACCAAACTTAACCAGGGGTATAATCAAAAATAGATCGGTTTCTAAACTTTCTATCCTATTTCTTAAAGTTTTGAGTCAGGCCTTTGTGAAAAAAGGGTAACCTTGTTATCAACTTAAATGAAAGTTTAATGTATTATAAGAGTATAATTATACTATTCTTATTTGTATAAGTATCTATGTATACATTATAACTTGTATATGTTAAAAATATTCAAGTAGTTTTACACTAAAAAATTAAGATTAACTTTATTCTTTTATTATTAATATATATGTATGATATTATTAGAAAATTAATCATTTTTATTTGATTTGGAAGCATCAAGCTTTAATTAGACAAGGACGTTGACAAATGACTGAGATCTATTGAAAAAACATCCAAAAAAAATACATTATTCTAATTATATCTCTATGTTCAGTCTTTGGTATTTTCAGTTATCATAATAAAATGTTTTTGTCTATTATTGTACCTTGAGTTAATTTAGATAAATGTTAATAATCAAATAGATAGGCGTAATTTGGATAAAGAAAAATTATATTTATTTGTTTTGATGATTTTCAGTCTAAAGTATTATTTATATTTATTATTAAAACAGATGAAGCATCATTACGAAAGTGATGAAGATGATGAGGAGCTGAAAGTAATGGATCTACAAAATGTTAGGTTGGAGACATAATTTAAGGAAGATTCAGTATAAGTTAGAAAATTGGAGAGGGTTCCTTCGGGTAGGTGTATAAAGTGATAGATCAGAAAAGTGGGGATCAAGTGATGGCAATGAAAGTAGAGGTAGAGGAGGAAGATTACAGTATGTTGGAGAAGGAAATCAAAGTGTTGATCGAAATGAGGTAGAGAGTAGGATGTTAATTATTAGAAAAAAAACTGGATTCCCTTAAATAAAGTTTTATGGATAGGAAAAGAGATTTACCTATTGCATAATGACAATGCTAGGAAAGAATTTGGAGTCAGTGGTGAGAAAGTGCGGAGGCAACTTTGATTTGGGGACATCCTTAAAGATCGCAATTCAAGTAGGTCATCGATACAATATATAGTTAATAGATGATAGATAGAATCGAAACCCTCCACAATTGTCGTTTCTTGCATAGAGACATCAAACCTGATAATTTTGTACTTGAAGCAGGACCATCACCGAAACTGATTTATTTGATTGATTTTGGACTGTCTAAACACTACATAGTAATTAGATGTAACTAACATAGAACTCAAAAGGGGATCACATCCAATATATCAAGAAAGCAGGTTTGATTGGAACAGCCAGATACGCCAGTATCAGTGCTCATGATGAAATGGAATAAGGAAGGAAGGATGATTTAGAAAGTATCGGCTATGTCTTGATATATTTGGCAAGTGGTACGCTGCCATGGATGAATTTGCAGATTGAATAGAAGGATTTAAAATATGCTAAAATTCATCATATGAAGAAGACCATCAAGCCTGATGTTTTGTGTGCCAAATTACCAAGAGTATTATATATATTTAAATCATAAGTGTTTCACAAAGTTCATGCAAGATGTCAGAGGCTATGAATTTAAATAATAACCAAATTACTAATTATTGAAGAGTTACTTCTCAGAGGAATTGGAGTAGATTCAAAAGGAACGGAAGGGATAATTTCAGTATGATTGGGAGAAATTACCCGAGTATTAATAAAAGAAGAAGCACCTTACAGTTCATATAATGTAATAAAGTAGCAAAGAGGAAAAGGTGAATTTGATCAAATAGAAGGAACCACCAAGAGTAATTCCTTAGACTTTCGAATAAATCATGCAAGATACTAAGAAAAAGAAAAGCACTAAAAAAACAACTAGTCATAAGACAAAGAAGAAAGATCCAATTATGATAAATATAGCAGAACCAGATAGTCCTGCTTAAATGCCGTCATTTGGAATATTAAATCTTAAGCCATATCAATAATAAAATTCATTCTTACAAATACCTTAATTAAACTCAAGTGGATTAATAGATTATTTGCCCTCGTTGAATCCCTCAGTAGCCACATCAAAGATGAACAACTATCATTAGAGTGAAGATGTGGTTAGTGAGGGTAGATTGCCAATTTGGGAATTGGGAGATGGTCAAATTCCAGGATTTTAGAAGATGATTGGTTATGTGACCAAAGGAATAAAAAAACCAAATGCTGATTTTTAAAGGAAAACCAGGAAAGCTCATACATGTATGCACATATTTCTTATTTTTAGAGATTGATACTATAAAAAAGATGTCGTAAAATTTAGTTCAACCGAAAACAATAAAAGGAGATGATGAGGGGATTCCTGAGGGATTGGATTGATTCTATAATATAGAATATAAAATATATATTGATTAAGAATTCCGTATTGTAATTCAACAACATCCATCGTTTTTTGAGTTTGATTTCTTAGTGTCCTTAACATCTTTGATTTAGAGACCTTTCTTTTTCTTGCCTTTGCTTTCTTAAGCTTAAACTTTGATTGAGATGCCTAATGTAATCGGAACAATAATACTTTCGCCTAAAGCTCTAAACAATTCAGTGATGCCTAGCCCTGCTTTGGCCGATGTAAAGAAATGCTTAGCTCCTATCTTTTTACAATACTCTTCGACTTCGTTTTTATCAATTTGCATTTAATTCTTCATGTCACATTTATTGCCTGCAACCACGATTGAAATATCCTTGGTTCCAAATTGTCTTAATTCTTCCACCCATTTTTCGACCTATGAGTTGATTTGAAATGTTCTACTTTGAGAAATGACTCTTTGTAAGTGACATCATAAACAAGAACAGCTCCATAAGCATCTCGATAATATACGGTGGTCAGTGCATGAAATATTTCTTGGCCAGCAGTGTCCTTTAGAAATGAAAGATTGACATACCCAGATGGCCAATTTGATGTCCTTACCACCTCCCAGGTCCACAACTTTATCAAAGTAGGTGGCATTGACAGATGATTCCTAATTCTCATTAAATTGATCCTAGCAATATCTCAAAGTCAAACAAGTCTTGCCTACTCTGCCTAAAGATTAAATGAATATGACTGACCCTCTCCAAGCATCACAATCTTTATTGGTGCACTCATTCAATTTAATATTTATATATATATAATCAAGTACTAAATAGTGGTGTGAGTTTTGCAAATTCCTTATAAAACAAATTTCGCTCCTCCTTCTTCCCTCTCTTCTTCTTGTTGAACTTAGCCTTCTCATAAAAGAACTTAGTTTCATTCTCGCAAGCATTGAACAATCCATTGATATCTTATAGGATGGTCTAAACAAATGAACTACTCTGACTAATGATATCGTAAGTAATGGGACTCACTATTGTCAACTAGAAGTCCTCTTTTTCCAAATAAAAAAATGGACTATTGTTGGTTCATATAAATATACATACTTCTAGTCAAAGCCCTTGTAGAAGATTCCCATAGAATGAGGGTTGAATTTGGTTCCATAAAACTCTAGAAATTTGTACGTCGCCAATCCAATTGAATGGAATCCACCGTTTTATTAATAATAGTACTCCAGAAAGGCCACTACAATTAGTACCAAACAGAACGACGAAATTCCACCTTTGGATTAATCATTCAATCCTCTTTTCTTAAGTAAACTTTTAAATAAAAGTGTAATAGTTTTCAACTCCTAGTATTCTTGAAGCCAAAAGCATGTAAGTTCCGTTGATGTCAATCCCTAATGCTAAATGTGTCCAAAGAAACTGATATCTACTTAAATCAACTGGGATTGGCACACAAGATCTATGTGAGGCAAATTCATATTCCCATTCCTAAACGGGATACTGGGGTCCACCCATAGTTTAATGAGTGGCAGAGTGGTTTGAGTAGGATAGATTGGTCTAACATTAATAAATGGATTACTTAATTCGCTTGATCCAATTCATTTTATACAGGAACTCGATTATGACATCCATCTTTTGGTTTAATTGATGCGTCTCCAGACCAGTGATCCCTATGTCAATATCACTATCAGGCAGAGCCAGTCTTGTGGCACAAGATCCAAACAGACAAACTCCAGCATCCTTAAACAAGAACTAAATTATGAATTGAATTCGATTGAAGACTAACTGTCTAATTGGAAATTGTAAATCATTATCCCTCCTGATCTAATCGATAAATTCTTTAATGTCAAGATCTAATTTCTTTATCATTTATTAAAATGCTTGATTCATTAGATTTTCATCTATGGGATTTTCGATTAATTCAATTGTTTTAGGTAAAACTAAATTCTTTCTAATTATTTTTTTCTTTTCAGGAGTACTAATATTTTATTCTTATTATAATTATTATTATTAATAATCCTATTATTATTATTCTTATTATTATTATTATTAATTTTATTATTTTTCCTCTTAATTTATCACTTTTATTTATTCTTAATTATCAAAATCATTCTTACTTATTTCCTCAATCTCCATTTGTTGCCTATTTTCTTATATTTAAGTTTATTGTTCTTATTATTCTAAACTTAATTATTTTTCCTTATTTGAAGAGGATCCATTAGAATGGTTTGGAGATTTCTACTTTTTCTTCTTTGTCACTACAATCCAATCTTCAGTGTCTTGATTATCGTCAGAAGTAACATCTTAATTTTCCTGCTCCTTCTAAACAACAATTGGAAACTTCTCCTACGTCACTTAATGTATCAGTTTCTTTTGCTTATTTTATTTCTTCTTCTTCTTTAATTTTTATTGAGATGCTTATTGATGTTACAGATGATGATCATTCTTTGTTAAACATTCCAATTCTTACAAAATGGATTATTTATAGGATTCCCTTATGATTTGTAGAACCTACTTTTCACAGAGACTTTAAAGAGTCAAAGCTTGATGTAAAGGCAAGTAGAATATGGATTCGAGTTGATTATCGTTGAACTTACTGAGAAGACTCTGAATATCAATTTTATGATCCTTAATGAAAGAGGTGTATTGTTAGAGTAGAATATTCTGATCTAGTCGAATGACAGTGGAAACACAATCAGTGACTTTCCTCCTTATATTGTTGCCGTTGTTGATCCAATATTACAGGACGCATTCATGATTGATGAAATTGATGTGTTTATAATAGAGCAGAGTGACTTACTTTTCAAACTCGTTAATTATCCAACTTAGACAGGTCTAGGGTTGAGTAGAATCAAACCAAGGAGCATCTTGAACCTTCAGCTGTTTATTATCTTCAACAATTTTGAGTTATTCTGCAAAAGCCTTGCCATTTGAGCAATCCCGTAACAAAGTGATGATTTCATTCATGTCTCCTCTGATACAGATGGTATCGAATATTTCATCTTCATCCACCAGGGTGAGTTAAGATAATAGTTTCTAAAGATAATGGTGAAGACGTACTTCTTCTAAATTGTTTTTTTGAGTGCATTCCGAGATTTAACATATTTGGTCAATAGAATCCTTGAATTGAATCGATTGGTTCGATTTCAATTTATAATAGGATTTCTAGACTAATCTGTCATGTAAATACATCTTTAAGATAAATAGGCTGATAGATCTCTGACCAATGACTAGTTGATTATTCCCATTGTGCTTTCTCACCCTAAACTAATCAATCATGTATATATACCAACTCATGAGACCAGAAAAATACGATTATGACATGATATACTTTGGATATTAATTAACAAATAAAATATTTGCGAAACTTCATAAAATAGTAATGGTTATATAATAAATAAAACTTCATCATATGTAAACACATTAATCACCTTAAGTACTCTGATCTCTACTTCTCCTTGAATTCCCTCAAGATCTCAGCTGCCTCCTTACTGATAAAGGTTTCTGTGTCATTAAACTAAGAAAACTTCATTGTGGGTTATTTATAACTATCTCTTTCATTTAATTTATTCAATATCGAATCTATCTGTTGCGTTTCTGCAGAATCGCAAATCCCCTTCGATTTCAATATCCCACTCAACAACTAAATTGCTTCGATTGCCAATTGCAGTTTTTCATCAGTGCTCATTTTGTAGGTCTAAGCAGGTGTTTAAGACAACCTATTAATTTGTTGCTAAGAAGGAGTTTGTGGCTACTGGGGTATTGCCGTATTAGAGTTGGATTACTTATTTGTTGTATTAATGAACAATTGAGGTTACGACGATGACTTTAGTTAACTTCCATAATTCTATTGTCTTTCTACAGAAGTAACTTACTTATCCAATTACTATAAATTATTTTGTTATTGTTATGATTATTGTTACGATTGTGAATTATTCTGTTACAATACATCCAATATTAAGTTGGCTGAATCTCTTACTTGTTTTATCTAATATAATTCAATTATAATAAATACCTTATTTGATTTTAATTCATACATTAATTCCTTAAAGTACGAATGTTCCTGAATTTTCTCTTTTTATAGCACCACCAGGGAGTACAATATGTCTAACGCCATCTTCTTCACTTGCCATTATTGATTTGACAGCAACTATTGCAAATGAGGGATGATTTCATCGGCAAAAATACTAGGATTAATGAACTGCTTTACTCTGATTATTCTTCCACACTCAAGATGATTGCAGCCATTCCTTCCAGGATCTCCACTTTCCCATTTTGTTGATTCAACAATGAGATGAATTTCCGAAAGAGGAACAAGGCATTTTGTTCTAGGATTTCGAAGGACAAGAATTAGACTACTCGTGTCAAACAGAGGGCGTGTTACGCATTCTAATTTAGATGGTTCATGAGTGGTTTCAGAATGCTATTGAGAACGTCTCCGTCGAAACAACAGAGCTTAACTATTTTCCCTATAATTTCAGCCACTTGGGCACACACGCAACTCATCGATTCGAAGTCCTTGATTCTCTTCAATAGATGGGTGAAGATCATGGGTAATTGAGGACTCAAGTTTTCATTGGCACATTCAGCCAATAATCCGAACAATTTCAATTGTTCTTTGACCACACTAATTTTATCCGATTTGGCTTCTATGAGTACTTAAACTATCATCTGGTATTGATCGCATTCGAGAAATATCTACCTGAATTGCGGACTTGCAATGGGTTTTTACAATAAGTATTAAAGTTGTTATTTGTAATTTTTCATTCGTTATAATTTTAATTAAAAAGCCTCCATAATTTTATCAATATATTATAGCCCACTTCAGCATAATTATATTTCATGAATTTCTTAAACAAAATATTTGCAAGTGCCCACAATAGAGGCTCTTTTTAAATTGAGGATGTCTCCGGTTCCGAAGATGATTAGGATGAAATCCCAGAACACCAAGAGATTCCATAATTCAAGAAATAAAGCATCCAACAATTATCGAGTTACAATTCTCGGAAAAAACCATAACCTAAAATTGGTTAGGCCGATTTCTTGGCTAGATACGATGAAAATTTTGATGATGTATTCGGAGACAAACCCGCCCCAATAGATTTCCCGAAGAGTAGGAAAAGGAGGCAAGAGGAGGAGGAAGAGGATGAAAATGACAACGAAAGGAAATCATCTAAGAAAAAGACCTAAAGTAGGGAGAGGAAATAATAATAATCAAAGGACTAAAAAGATTAAACAAAAGATTTAAAAGAATAATAAAAAGATAATAAAAAAACAACAAAGGAATTTAGAGAGACAATCGATTACAAGGAATTTATCGACACTAAGGAATTTAAGGACTTTAAGGACTCCTATGAATTTAAAGAACCTCTTGAACCAAAAATATTAAAAGAACCAAAAATAAGATTACCAAAATTTCCAAAATAAAGAAAAAGGATTGCTAATAATCATCTTTCAACATTAAGATCGAATTCCGATGGACGAGACAGTGTAAGTAATAAGGATAGGGAATCTATATAACAAAATAACAAGTATAATCCTAATGAAATTGCATTACCTTAAACAGCATTGCCAAAATCTGAAAAGAAATAAGACAAGTAGAAAACAATGTTTTTTACGTTTGGAATGAATGATGATGATAGTGAAAAGGAAATAAAGAATAGAATCAATAATTTATTTTACGATCAAAAGGAAAAGAAAGATCAGAATGAATAACTTAAAAATGGTAACAACAATAACAATAACAATAACAATAATAATAATAATAACAATAATAATATCAATAATAATAATAATAACAATAATAATAATCATTCAAAAGAAAAGAAAGAGCCAGAAAAGAAACAGAAGAATGAGGAAAAGAAATAGAAGAATGAGGAAAAGAAGTAGAAGAATGAGGAAAAGAACGATAGAAATGAGAAGAAATAAAGAAAAGAGAAAAAAGATAAAGAAAAAAAAACTATTAATTACTTGAACGTATTTGATGAGATTAAGAATACATAAAAGAATGTCAGTAGTAAATAAAACAGTGAATAAAGAGAAACAAGGAAGATGAACAGTGAATAAAGAGAAAAGAAGAGAGATAAGAAGAGAGAATCGAAGTAAGCTGGTAAGAAGAATGAAAAGGCAAACTCGAAATCTCCATCTCCTGAGTTGAAACTTATACAATATGAAACTCAAAAGAAAGTAAAAAGAAGCCAAAAAAGAGTTATTGAGGATTTGGAAATGCTAAATGTAGATGAATTATCATTAAATCCCAATATTGTAGAATGCAAACCCAATTTATATTTAGATTACACACCTGTATATGATTGATTGATTTATAAAATAATGTAATCACCTACATCGTCTATAAATAAATTACGAAACTCTCTTACCAGCTTTTATGTCAAAAGCAGCTGTTCCAATAAAACCTCGCCAATCAAAGAAGATCCTACAATACTCCAAAACCTTTTGAGAATGTAACAGAAGGAAATCGACAGATTGGAACATCAGAATAAGAATCTCTAAGTCCTCACATAGCATCAATGTTCAATGCTTTATTAAGAGAGAACGTTACGAACAAACTCTACTAAATTGTAAATGCATTCAGATTTACCATAACAACAATTACCCAATGCCAGGAATGCTCGAAGATCGACTATAAAGAATGTATTATAGGCCATGAAACCACCACCTCGTAAGATTGTAGTCTCCAATAAACTCTAAATGACAAACAACGAATGTTTTAAGCTAAGTTCAATTCTAGAAGCCACTAATTAGCAAGCCAAATAATTATACCATGATGACAGTAGCATATAATTGGTCAAAGAGATCCTAAAAGATGAGGATTCCTTTATTGATATTATTACGACATATCCTCCTCAATAAGTTTCAATAATGTACGACAAAATTAAGAAATTGATCAACGAACATGAATAGATGTTTGAACTGATCTTAAAGTTCAAATCAATCATTGACAACTCTTTTAGCCTATAAAATATTAAGTTACAATTAGAAGCTCTCAATCAGTTGAGCTAACAGTGCAAGAACATCCTAGAATGCAAAAATGCCTAGATCATTACTCATACTGACGAGACAAGTAAATCATATATACAACATGTCTATAACAACAAGTAAATCCTCAATTTGAAGAATGCAAAATTTGATGAACGATTTAAAAATGAGAATTTCAATCAATTATTAGCAGCTCCAATTCTAGACAACAACAGATGTCTAGGAGTTATTGTTTGCTAGGATAAGTCAATCAATTTTAGCGACGAAGATGAAATTTTGATCTAATACATATGCAGACAGGCTCAATATATACTAAACAATTAAGTATCCAATAATAAAATAGAAATTCAACTTCAGAAGTATCAACACACTCTCAAAAGCTTGTTATTGCTGTAATAAATCGATGATTTAGATACTAAATTACACTTCTCAGAATAGAGACTTTGCGAAATTATGAACAGTAATGAATGCAAGATTATCTTACTTTAATAGAACTGCGAGCTACAAAAGAGTATCATTTGGGAAGCTATTCAAAACAATCAAACTCTGTTTATTAATAATTGCTACAATCATGAAAACTTCTAACCAAATATAGACATCGATACTCAATTGCCAATAATTGCTACTCCAATAAAATATCAAAATAAAATTATTGGAGGACTGGAATTTATTTTATATAATAAATAAATTTCATCATTAGATTAGGAAGTTTTAGATTTGTTTATATAAATTTTGGGAATAAACTTTTATCATTTCACAAACAATTAATTTTGAATCTCACTAAGATTTGGTAGTTGTGATTTTTAATTTATTGGAATTTCATTTTATAATTACAACTACTTAATTTAATTTTATAAGTATTTTATTTCAGTTTGCATCTATAACAATTCCTCCTGATTGTCAGAATCCTTTAATTTTTAATTCAATTCATTTGTTATATCCAAGAGTTTTTCTCTCTCTTACTTCAACTTCAAAATGACCTCCTTTGAATTCTAAAGCTTTTTACTAAGATTCTCTATCTGTAGTTTTAATTCACTAGTTACACTTTCCAAATCCTCATTATTTTTTGTTTATGCTTAGAGAATTAAGATTTATTCTTTATATTTCAAGATTTCCTGCTAGAGCGATTAGATTTTCTCTTTGGCCTAATAACACTCTTGCTTTTGAATATTTAATTCCTAAACCTTCAACAATAACTAATCCTTTGTATTCTCCATTGTTTGATGCATGTCTTTCACAAACAATTTTAATTGAGTATTTTCCTATTCCAAACTTCGATGATGTTTAGACAAGGATTGCTTGGATTATTTGATCTGCTATTGCATAGATCCCCTCTAAAGTAGACTAGATACAGGTCCTTCATCTCCACTAAAGAGGAGTTTTTCAACCGATTCCACCTCTTCCTCCTCATCTAAGAACTTCATCTTGGGTTATTGAATTGGTTATTGTTGCTATGGCTATTATTAAGATGGTTTCTTATTGGAAGGATTGGATTATTATAATTGTGGTTTTTTGTTAGTATTATTTAAATTATTATTTTTCCTTAAGGCGACCACTTCCTCTATTAAAATATTATTTTCATTCTTCAATTCTTAAATTTTGGCTGCCATATTATCTAGTAATTTGTTGGACTCATTGATTGTCGATTTTAGATTTGCTATTTCATCATTTAATTGAGTGATTTAATAGATCTTCAGATCCAAATCATTCTTTGATTGTTTTTTATCCAACTCATTATTTTTAATTAATTACTATACTCTTTGTTCATTATCAAAAATCAATCGATTAAGCTTGGTTTCTATTTCCTAACATTTTTCCTTTTAATTTGCCTCTTGTATTTATAACTTTTCATTTTCAATCAAATACTGTTGTAATTAGTATTCCAATTTTCTAATCTTCTCCTCTGACTGAGTTTGAATCGATTTCAATTATTGTTGAGTCTGCTCCTTCAACAACTTTCCTTTAGTTTTCTTTTTTTATTTCATCTCCAACATTTTATAATTTGTTTTAATTGATAGAATCCTATCCCTATTAATCATCGTGATCTCTTTTGATTTAATCAATAATTTATTGTTATTATTAGATTTTCAATTTCAAAAGTTGATTATCATTTTGAAATTCAGCTATTTGCTCATTGAATTATTGTTTCTGAAGATTAAGTTTCTATTACAATTAAGCATTTTCATTATTGATTTGGATGTGCTATTCTGAAGCCTGCTCCAACTTAATGATGATGTTCTTTTGATCATTGTTTTTTTGGAGCAGTTATTCGATCTACTCCTTTTAATCATGTAATTGATCCTATTGATTTTTGAAATACAATTTTTCATTTTTCAATTATTCTAATTAGTGAAGCGTTTATTTGTATTTGGCTTAGAATTAATTTATCTCTTCTTCATGAATGCGCTTTAGATATTTAATTTCTTTCCTCTATTCATCATTCTTGGATTTCAAATTATCCCGTTATAATTTCCATTCTTCCTGCTTTCTATGTATCTCAGCTTCCAATTCAATATATTCATTCAGCTATTTATCATTCTACTGTTTCAGGGAGAGGAGCTTGTCTGTTATTTCATCCAGTTCCTCATCCCTATCTTTAATAACTCTTAAATTGTGCTAATAATCATCATAAAGATTCTTGTATTTGCTTTGCAATTCCAATATCAATTGATCCTTCATTAGTAACTATTTCTCTTATTGGGCTATTTTCTATCTTTAAAGATAATATAACTATTTTTCCTATTCTTCTATTTCATTCATATTATTATTATTATTTTATAATTTGAATAAAATTAGTTTATCAAATTTCCCATTTTGCCAATATGTTCATGCCTAAAAGAGAAAGTCAATAGGGAAAATTTGAAATTTTATGATTTGAAAATTCTTTTGGAAGTTTAATCTGTGTGAATAATCAATAAATAAAACATACTAGATTATTCCAAGATATATTCGAGAAAATTTCCAAAGATGATAATTATAATAAATCAAGAATAGGTCTCCTATTACTAAATTGACTAAATTAGATTAAAGATATTGATTGATTTATATTAATATTTGATACTCAATAATGATATTAATTTATATATTGAATATTTTAATAGGAGGAGCAGATGAAAAAAGCATTGCAAGTACTCAAGACATAAAGTCTCAATTACAACTCTATAAAGTCTGGCTTAAACTATAGAATGACTATAAGAGAGAATGGCCAGAGGATGGGACATATTTCAATCAACCTTAATAAATCTAATAATGCTCAAACAAACACAATCCTTAAGAAGCTTCTTTAAAATCAAGAGTATAAAATCTTACGAGATTAAACCAAGATGATATTCGAAGGATCCTTCGATGCTTTAAAAGCCTTAACAGGAGTAACAACTTATTACCCAGACACAGGTTAATATATTTATACTAAATTTAGGTTTATTAGTGTATGATTTAGAGGCCAACAAACTTATATTGCATTTAACCAAGGAGGATGTGTAATGTTAAGGAATTGTCTTGGGCTATGTCATGGATTAGGATGCAATCACCATACTGAACTCTCTTAGAGCTTCTACTATTCCATTATAAGCAAGATTGGAAAACACTTATAATTATTACCTAAAGAGAACGTTGAATGTGAGCTTGGCTGTATCTTTGCTAGTATTTTATAATGCATTTAATGGATCTCAAAAGTCCAAATTTGGTGTTTTTGAGCGTGACGAAAAATCACCTAAAGTAGATTCTAAATGAATAAGAATTAAAATTAATATATAATCGAAATCATTGTTAAATATATTATGATTATTGTATTAATTGATAAAATAATTATCATTAAGATAAATCAATATTATATTAGTTTTTCTTAATGGATGATTATAAAGACTCAGCACTATTTTATAATTCCGTTAACATTATTTTGTATAACAAATAGACAATTTTATCTAAATAGAGTTGGATCCAGTTATTGTAATATATTGAGCTGTTAAAATTATTAAAATAAGGCAACTAAATATATGATAAATATTTAATTTTTAAAATTTTACTAACATAATAACATAGGATCAAAATATTTGTTTAGATTTTCATTTAAGCAGCCTAATATTTAAAGAAGCAATTGTTGACCTCATATATTTAGACTAAGAAGAGTTAAATTCAATTATAATGCTATTAAGTTAAAACATTTCTTAATACATCAAAAGTAGATACACACCGTGTTCTTATTTTTATGATGAAAAATTAATTTCTTTCATTATAATGAATAGATATTGATTAATTTGATAATTTGATTTTTTTAATAAAATTATATAGAATAGTATTTAAGTTTATCATTTTTGTCTTTGGCAAAAGTGTCTTATGAGTAAGGGTTAAAATTAATGCAGGTTTTCTAGATATGATTATATAGCAATATTTTATATAGGCTTAAGAAAGTAAAACAGATAAAGTTTTTTGAGCTTTATTACGACACATTTTATGACATAATTAATCATAAATAACTCATGAACATCCCTCTAACTGTCTCCAATGATCTGCCATAACCAAACTTTTACTAGATGAACGAATATAGATAAGTTACAACTAGAACAAATAGCCTATAGATAATGTTCTCTTTACCTGGTATCTAAGTTTAAGAGTAATTTTAAAAAAAGTCCACATTTAGTTTTGGTAAATATCTAGATATATATAGGTTAACAAAGGGAAAGGTATTTCAATATATTTCCAACAAACTTTTGTGGACAACCAGCATTATAAATGCCATTATTTACAAGCATAAAAACTCATGTTCCCGAGCGATTTTGCGGGTATAATTTTAATTGTATCAAGTGGTGACTTGCCCCCATTATTAGTATTTGTATAGAAAAGTTAATAACCAAATCTTTAATAAATACCCTATGGACCAATTCAGGATGGATTCTTTTTGAAATTGGAGAGAAAGTGGAGATGCAGTTAATGTTGTTTTAATAGGTACAAATATAATTATTATTTCTTTAGATCTCCTCTAGATGTAATTTATATTGAAAATGGTTAAAATGTGCTCTTAGGATAAATTGAAGTTCCATATGCCATACTACATCAAACTTGTAATATATATGATAGGAATAATAACCTAAAGTATAATATCACTTAAAGGCTTTTCGGGGAATCTACAAAGCTTAGTTTTTTTCCTTGGGATGAAAGAGAGAGTCAACTTTTCTTTGATATCAAGGATTCAAGAGGTCAAGTATATGCTTAACAATATCATTTTAGATAGTTTCATAGATGAGAAAATAGACTAAAAGTAAGTTTAATTATGATGTATCGGTTAATTTTAGTCTTATATTTCCTCAAAATTCAATACCTGAGGAGAAGGCTTTACTTTTAGCTGCAATATTAATGTTTGAATGCATGTATTTTTGAAAGTATTTCGAATCATTTATTCAATTTAATTCGAATAGATAAGTATTTTCATAAATTCGATATTTTTATATAATTTCATCTTTATAAAAAATAATCTCATCTAATTTTTCATTTTAAATTAAATTCATCTGTTTATATTTCTGTTTATTTTGGAAAAAGTGAGTTCAAAGAGGCAGCTTAACAATTAGATTTTAATCCTTTCATCTTATTATAAAGTATATTATATCTTATTCTAAATATAGTAAGGCAAAATAAATAGTAATAGATTAAGATCATAAGTATTAGTATTACCAAGTTTTTAAATAAAATAATAAGTTGATAATATATTTAGAATCTCAATTTTATGTTCTAAAATACTCCTGATTATTATATAATATTTTATAATGTTTGATCAAATTTTATTTTAGGAAACAAGGGCTCCTACTTACCAATATGAGATCAAGGAGTAGAGCAAGCTCGGGCAATTATTGTATCGCGAATTTAACCAAGGTTATAAATTGTACTTGGATGAGTTCTAAATAAATGATGTTACGAATACTTTTGAGGAATTCATTAAGGTGAATGTGGATAATCAAATATTGGGGGTCAAGGAAATAAAATAGCATTTTCAGACCTTAACCATATCGAAACAGAATGCAAATAAGAAGCAATAAACATTGGTTTTGAGATCCAATTATGGGTTGAAGATTGAGAGTCAGGATTAATATATAAGTGGGACAGTGTTTGACTTTTAGGAGTGGAGTTGCATAGTGGTGATGATGATCACTCCTGAATTGAATTACGAGTATGTGACTCATTTTCATTCTACGGATAAGCAATACTATTCCTTCTAATTTGAAATAGGTTAGTCAAATAAGTATATCATTTTCAACCTAAACAAATGCCATATTTGTTTTTATAATGAAAATCTTATCAAATATGAAAAAGTGAAATGTTTATAATATTTAGAATATATTATTTAATAAATACATTATACAAATTATTCTTCATTTCATAGAATTGAATTTTAGAATACGCTAAACAAGTAGTAATTTATGGACTAGTTTTTATTGAAATCCGATGTGATCAAGTGGATTGCCCAGGATTTTGAGTACGAAGACAATCAGAACTATTAGTTATTCAAGCAGATAAGATACAAGGAGGATATAGCTTATAAGGTCCCTGAGATCTTCATAGCTTTAGGGAGGTTGTCAAAGTTGAAGTATCTTTACATACATAATTAATCAATTGTGGGGGAATGTTTGTTTGGCCAAATAGAATTTGGTGATGAGATATTATTTATTGACATTTCGCCTAGTCAGCATTTCATCCATTTTTACGAATGTGAGGCAGAGCCAGTCTTCAAATTGCAATCCTCAATATGGAGATACAGGAAACCATTCAGCGATTATAAGATAGAATTATTGCAGAAGGATAAAAAGAAGCTTATAAATAAGATAAAGTTGAAAGGTAAGGCTGTTAAGGGAAGATACATCTATGCGAAGAAATATTCTCTGTATGTGATATTTCATGGGAAGATGAGAATTGTGCAGAGTGAAAACATAATGATAAATAGGGTGATAGGGGAATATTCGTAGAAGGATGAAATTGAATTCGAGAGTGAGGATGGACAATGTATAATTAATTTTATATCAATTTAATAAGATTAAGCATATAAGTACAAATTTAAATTTTTTGAATGATTTGGACTAATGCAAGGAAAAGTATATCTTAAATTGATTATTATACAGTTTTATTATAAAATTTTAATAATATAATTTAAGACTGAATGAGAAATAGGAATAAGGTATTGATTCATTGAGACTTTTTAAAGTTAAGAATAAAGGATATTTTGGGATAGAATGATATTCTTCTGGATGAAGCAAGCAATGAATAGTTTCGTATTCAGCAAAGGTTCTTGAGGAATCATCAAAACATGTTTGAATAATTGACATCTACCCTTACGACGAGGCCATTAACCTTTGCGAAGTTTTCATTTCAGAAGGCCGAATTAGAATAAGACGAATAATTAAGACCCATTGTGGGTGGAATTTATTAGAATCAGAAACAAGGCTCAATGCTAACCAGCGAACTTTGGTCCAAAAAGCAATTTCGATAATATTTGAAGTAAACCAAGTATCCTTAATGCTTATATGCGCAGCACATACACAGCCAAGGGAGTTCTGAAAAGATTCGCTCATTGGGAGTGGGATTAGAATTCTAATAAGGATAGATTTAAGAACCTCACTGATAAGGTCAAATAAACGATTTACACCAATGAGAATGAATTGGTGACCAAGTTGCAGTTGGGCACTAGTGAAGGGGAGAAGAAATTGAGATAGAAAATACTGAGAGATTGGAGAGTCTAAAAGAGTTATGATATCCAAAAGAAATTAGAGAAGTACAAAGATTCACAGCTTTTAAAATAAAGAGGAACCAAATATAACCAATCAAATTAATCATTTGAACAATAATCGTTAAGACAATTATCAAAAAATAATCAATTAATTCATATTATTACAGAACTTTCGGAATTGCAGGAAGATACAAAGAAAGATAAAAAGAAATTAGATATGGTGACATAATAAAAGAGAAATACTAATCGTTTATAAAAGATAAATTTTGATTAATTTTTGTAAGACTGATTCTATAAGAATTGCTTAGACTTTGAATTTAGTTCATTTTTTAAATAATATATAAATTCGACTAGAATGTTGCTCAATAATAATTAATGAACTAATCAAGTTGGTTTTCCCTTGAAGAAGTAGAGTTGCAACATTAAATTACTGTACCCAATCCTCCAGTCATTAAGGAAAGGAAATTGCCAGAAAAATTAGACATGGAGACTCTCCTCTCTTAATACAAATCAATTGAAATAAATCCTAATCTGATCAAATACATAGTAGTTGAGAGTGAGACCACTGAGAATTCTAAACAGATCAACTTTAAATCAAAAATTAAACTCAAATGTGAGGAAAGAGATTTGGATGGAAGTTTAGCCAATAAGGGTACTAACAACATTCAGGCCACTAAAATCTCCATGGCCTCTAGTATTCCATATATCTAAGGCTTGAGATCTGCTTTTCTTTCAATGAAGGAGGGAGATGTTGCCTGGTTCAAATTATCCAATGAATAGATGTACACTGAGTAAGAAATTGCAAGTGGAATCTAAGTCCAGTCTTTATAAAAATATTTCAAAATTGATATTATAGAAGTAACTCAACCTGAACTACCCCTAGATTTAACTAGTTTAGACAAGTAAGATTCCCCTATATATTTGTAGTCGTCTAAAGCAATTGGATAGCTTTAAAATTGAAGGAAACCAATTTTATGAAAAGCAATAATATCAAAGTGCACTATTGAGATACCAAAGAGGATTAAACTTTTTAGAAAAATGGCCGAAAAAGTTTGAAGACAACCCTGTTGCCATTGAGGCCAAAAGGAACTCCTTATTGGTGTTATCAAGTAATAAGGCGCAATGTTTGATTAAGTTGCAAGATTTAAAACAAGCCATCTCAGTACTTGAGCCCTTGATTGGTCAAATGAGAAACAAAGTATTTATTTGAGTTAGATTTAGCCATTTGAAGTCAAGAATTACTATCGGTTAATTACTTGTTTGCAGAAGGTGGATGAATAGGTGAAGGCAGACTTCTACTTTAGACAGGTTTCTCATATGTGTTAGTTATCACAAGATGAAAAAATGCTATTCAAATCTATAAAAATTAAGAAGTGAAATAAGAGTGTGACAATATATTTAAATAAATTTTATTGCTATATAAAATCAATAAAACCCAGGCTATTCCCCTATTAATATGCCATTTTCAAATATTCCCCTTATTTCTTCTTGATCTGTTTTCCTCCAATCCAGGAGATTATATAACTTATTATCCTGTTTACAGATGCCATCTCCATGGAATTAATTATCTCTGAAGAACCCTGAATAAATTATGTCGTTCTGATATTTTAGTACTCCATATCCTTCGAGAATAATGTCATCTTTAGATTCCCTGTATTCTCCTTAATAAGAATATCCATCTTCATAAGTTATTACTCTGTGAAATGATTTAGTCCCTCCATTTAGAGTTTCTTGTATTGACTTTAGAATCGAAAACTGCTCAGATTTTATTCTGCGTTTCTGAGATTCATTTACATACTAATTCTTTGTTTCGATTTTCTGCCTAGTTTTAAAAGCACTAAAAGTGGGAATGCCTTAATAGTGTATTTTAGTGGGTATTGTTTTATCGTTCTTAAACTTTTCAAACAATTCCCTCTCCTTTAGATTTGAATTCTATAGATTTTTTCTTGGTTGTATTGGATTATAGGCATTTTTCATGATAATTAGAAAAGGGATCAGAAATATTTAGCAATAAAATAAAATGGGATGTTTTAATTTTTATTATTATATATTTCATTGAGTTAGGTGGACATAAGGAATTGAGTGGGGAGGATCGAAAAGAGTGAATCATATTGGATTAATTGGAATAATAAAAACATATTAATCAAATTCTACTAGTTTGAATTGAAGTATAATTTGAAATTAAATCATAGCGTATTCCGTTATTATGCAAGAGCCAATGCTTAAATGTTTGCATGAGAATCATTACTTCAAATAAATAATTGGTGTTTGTGTTAATTCAAATTGCCAAAAAATCAGACCATATTGTCAGTAATGTCTAAAATGCTATCTGCATTCAGAACATCTCCATGATCTTCAAGATTTTACAGACTTTTACGATTATGTGCAAGAAGGCTTGAATACCTACAATAAAATGCAAAACCTAGCAGAGGAATTACAATCCATAGCCAAACTGATTACCATCATTATAAATTAATTAACTTTCAACCCAAAGATCAATCTTAAAGATATGTCCATAATCGCAATTAACAATCTGATAAATAAAATCATAAAGGTGAAGGAAGTGGAGAAAACCCTCAAAAACAATTTAGAATTGGCAGTGATACCACTGCAAAAAATCAAATAGGACTTTAAGGAATTATTACAGAAAAATAGTATGATATTTATGAGTATTTCGCAGGTGAGCAATAATTGATCAGAGAGGAGGAGCCTCTGAAGAAGACTGCAGTGAAGTCTAAGAAGCAGAAGAAGGCAGGGAAGGAATCCTCAAAAGGGTTATAAGGTAAGAGATGAGATGATTAAATTTAGTGGTTTAAAATTAAAAATAGACAAAATTGGAGGAATTTAAACATCAAGTTGTTTGTATTAAACCTAGTAAATTGAAGGATGAAAAGAAGTAATAATAACAATAATAGATTATCCACAATCAAGGGAAATATCAATTCTCAAATATTTACAAAAATAGAGCTATTAATGTCATTTAGCCAGAGAATTCAGCTGAGGGTTTTGGATTTTGTGTATGTGATTAGGCAATTTCTAAAAGTGGAACCACTATCATCGCATTTCGAATAGTAAAGTGCGATTGGAGAATTCACATCGGAGTGTGTTATAGGGACATGCTGATCGAATCAAAATATGATCCCAATTTGGCAAATGTTGGTCATGGGTATGTTGTAACAATCAATATGCTAAAGCACTTATCTGATCAATAATTAGGGAGATGTCTTCTCAACGATCGAGACTGAAATGAATGACAAATCGCTATCATTTAAGTTTTACAATAAAAACATCATTACAATAGAGATTGATTTTGTATAGTCGCAAATAACTTGGATCAAAAAACAACCCAAGGAAACCTTTGTATGAATATTTGTTATAACAATAAGACTCTTAAATTTGACACTCAGAAGGAACTCTACCCGTGTGTCAAACTCTGGGGCTCTTCCAAAGTAGAATTACTCAATCCAATAATTCTGCAATGAATAATATTAAATTTACTAACTGGAATAATCATTACCAGCTAAACTGTACATTCATTAATTCAGATCATAGAATAAAATTCATTCATTGATCCCTCCAACTCTCTTTCCCACAAAGAGTTATTGTCATCTTATAAAAACTTACCATGTCTCGAATGGTATAAAGCGAGTCCTAAACACTCTGCCAATTTTGGAATGGCATCTTATTTAACTCCTTTATAAGTCAATGGAATCAAACTAAAATAATATTCAAAAAATCTCACTTGAAATCCAATCTAGACTCCCTAAAGTGTGCATAAATCTGAGATAATTCTAATTTTTTCGAATCTTCCTAACTCGCTTCTATACTAACACAAGTTCCTGAAGTCTCGATCAATGGGAATTCTAATTACATTCCCTTAAGATACCTTTCAATTTCAATTGCCTTTTCAATGCAGCACAATTGCCTTTCACCTATTTAAACAACGCTTGGTATTCAGCGTGTTAAATTTCTCCCAAACTCACAGCAATACCTGTAATAGTGTGGAAATGAGGGCCAGATTAATAACCAGGATAACATGCCTCATCAACCTCCTCAGAATACGCCTTGTCTGAAAATAGTAGGCAGCCTTTGGGACCCAACAAACTGAAATTCATCAATAGAATTACCTTTGAGTGTTTACTACGACAAATTGATACTGCTGTAACAATTTTGACTCCTCCTCCAGGAGATTAGTAACATAAAACGGAGCCTTTTCTGTCACATCCAAAAGAATAGGCGTACTTTATTTGTACTTCGACCTAAGGGTATCTAATTGCTCCAATTTAGAGTCAATAATCAAATCAATTTCACCATCATAATTGTCATTCTTAATCACATTATAATACTTCTCAAGTGCCTTCGTGTCTGTATTCCCTCTAGTCAATATAGTGCCTCCAGGTTTAACTAAGGCTTTGCTCACAATAAACTTAGCAGTCGTAACACTTTGCAATTGGACATTCACATTAAAGTTGTGTAGATTAAATAGTTTTTGAGCTCTTTCCCAACAAGTTTATTCTATTTTATCGTAAATCTCAGTTCCAGGTTTGTTTTTCTTTCCAGGATATCCAGATGCATATTTGGTTGACATCATAGATCCTAGGGATTATTGGACAGCCAAAGAAGTGGGAGTTTCTGTAAAATCAATGCATTTGTGATTGGATGCCTCTGAAATCAAATGAAAGATTTCTGGATCCTGTTGAGCCAATGGGAGATGATGATTTTTAGCAAAGCAATTGGAGATAAAATATCTTATAATTTTAGAATTCATATAAATAAAATTCAATGCAAAAATCAATTAATGATAATATATAATCAGCTTATGAATATAACTATTAAGGTAATATCATCAACTACTGAATCATCTTCCTATGTTAATCATATAATTGTTTACTAAAGTCCACATCTTATACGATATCTGCATTAATTCATCGCAAGCACCCTCCAAATCCCCTTAAATGTAATGTTTGCCTACAATATCAACAACACTTTGATTATCAATGAATTCCCAGACTCCATCACTCCCTAAAATAATGAACTTATCTTGAGGAGTCAATTGGTATTCAAAAATCTCTACAAATATAGAAAATACATTTAATTACCAGGAACACTAGACACACCTACTGATTGTGCAATCTAATCTCCAAGACTTCGACTCATAGCCAATCCTGGGTAATTTCCATCTCTAACCCAAACTCGAGCTGGTCCAATCGAATTACCTAATGGATTAATAAATGATACCTTGATCATCATAGTAGGTGTCTACTCTCCCGCCATGCATGTGGATCCTATTCATTTCTTTTTCAAGACAGGGTTTGTGATCGATTGATAGAGGGAATGGTTTGAATTTTTGATTGTTTCCCAATTTGCCAATGATTGCTCTACTGTCTCCGACATTGGAGCAGATTAGATGTCCTCCATCTTGGATGATGATGGAATTCATGGTGGTGCCACTGAATTGAGTGTCAAATGGTTGTTAATTGATTAGGTTGGCTAGGAGGGAGATAGATTTGACGATGGCTTGTCTGGGATGTTATTTTAATAGATGATCTCTTTTGAGTATTTTAGTGAAATGATCTCTAACATATTATGAAACAAAATGCCCATTTTAGCCATGACCATCACACACAGAGAATAGATGCATGTCAGAGACGATGTTGGTTTCGCAAATGAAAGTGTCCTAATTAGTTTTATTGGGATTGGATGCCAATTGACCTTGTCTTGTTCTGGTGCTGAAGGAGAGTTTGAATTGTAGGAAATCACGATTGTAATGCAAAGATTGAGCAGATCTATATTTGAGATCGCTCTTTGGTTCTGATCGCATGTTGTGAGTACTTGAACTCTAGGCTCTGCGCACTTATTGGTCGATGATGGAATTGTTGAGCTGTAAAAATATGAATATAGATTCTGTTACAAAATTATGCCATAAATTTCTTTTATCCACATTGGTCTTCTACTTTTGATTGGCATATTGTTTGATCAGATTCTAAGTGGATTCCACTGCTGTCTATCTCTTCGGTTACAGTGATTCATAGGGTCTGGATATTTCTGCTGTTTAAGGAACTCAAAATACTTTTTTAAGAGTTCTTGGCATCAATGGTAGCAGATCTGGGCTATCTCAACTAAGAGAAATTGGTCTTGAGCTATTTGGCACTGGATTTCTGTGTCTGTTCAATGCGTAGATTCTTGATAAAGTAATTGTTGGTGATTTGGGAAAGGTTTTCCTTCCTCATGAAAATGCTAACAATGAGTACAATTTAGCAATGGTTTTAACATCACTATTCAAGTATGCTGCATATGACGTCTGTGATTTGCTACCTATCGCCTGTTTTGGTTTCTTTACATTTGCTTTGTAAATATCAACTGTTCTTTTCATTAATTAATAAATGAAATAAGAGGATTCTCAGTCACCCAGTCTTTGTGGGTACATCAACTTCTTTCAAGTCTTGGGAGATATGGAATCAGAGGGCCTAATCACGCAATAGGAGAAAAGGATCATCAAGCAGAAGATAACCGTCAAAGAACCCTCTCTCATGCTGCTATTGTCTCAATAGTAGGAGGAAACACAAATCAAATCCGAATTGCTCTCGTACTTGTCTTCTTTTCAGCTCACTCGTTCTAAGTCGCACACTCAGGAATTTGGTTCATCCAAAAAACAGGGACAACAATTACAAGTAAGACAGATACATATTTCACATAGACTCAAACCATCCAACTTATGGATCAACTGATCATCCAACTAAAATGCATGCAGCAATATGCCAATCAACAGGTAATTGTGTTTCGGCTATTAGTCCATTAGGCCACCCAAGAATTCAACTCAAAAATTGAACAACTCAGAAATGTACTCAACTCATTGGATCAAGACGAAGACGTCGATTGCACCTTCATTGAACTACTCCAATCGAATTATTCACTGATAAAGGTAATATTGCCGTTACACTTAGCAAAGGTATTCTCGTTACATGAATTCACTTCTTGAATTGATGGATGAGAAAGTCGAACCCAAAGATATCCAAGCATTCCTCAACACCTTCCTCAATCAACTCATCGGGTGCGAATCCTACAGCTTCATCCTCCTCAAAGATCAGAAGGTTCAGATTCATTACGAGGAGAAGTTTGAAGAGTTCCCCATCACCAAAGATGTCATAGACGAACTTGTTAATTTGCAACAAATAACTGAAGTCCACTCCCTCAACACACTCAAACACTACTACCAAACTCCCCATCATTACATACTCAAACTCACCGATTACCAGTATTTTGTTATGCAATTGGATCCAAACTTCAAGTCCTTTGTTACTTTATCCAACAAGTACAATTACACTGACTCCTTAATCGAATTGGCTCAATTTGTAATATACACCTCTCAACAGATCAAAGTCCAATACTTCAGCATATTGTCCATTGGAGACACAATACTGGAGTTTGGTCTGGAGATTGTGAGATGCTCCAAGTATTTACTCATCGAAAACATACTCCAAACCATCAATAAACAATACTAGATCCACGAAATTGCTGAGAATCAACCCAACGTGGTCACCCTCAAATTTAAGGACTCCTCCTCCTCATTCCTCTTTGCCTCCAATCTAGATCTCAAGAAGCAGCAAGACTTGCTAGTTTACAACACTGTCAATCAAGTTTATCAACGATACCAATAGTTCATTAAATAGTGTTACGAAAGAATGCAATTCTACAAGTACTTCTTGAGATCCAAAAACCTATTCATGATTGATTTCGACAAGCAGGGTCGTCTGCGTTTTTTGAGCAGAGCTTTGTCACAAAAGATCAAAACTCAATTTCACATTGAGAAGATCCAAATCGATTCGACTTACAAATAGATATTCACATCCAATCAGCAGATGCTTCAAAGCATTGAAAACTACATCAGCAATGCAAAGTGGAAACTAACTTAGTAAGAGGAGGACTAGAATAAGCAATACGAAATATTCATAAGAAAGGAGGAGAAGCAATTTAAGGGATTCTCCTTAATCCTGTTAGAGAACGAATGGGTTCGGAAGAAGACCCTGCCTCCTACGAATGGAAAGACTGTTAGGAAACAATTGCTATAGACAGAGACCATGGATTACATCAAAAAACTGGAAGAATTTAACCCTGACATCAGAAATTCTGTAGTTGCTATGTACATGCCTTAGACGTAGGAGTTCAATCAAACAGCGTTGCAATCTCAGAAGACCCCCACTTTGGTTTTCCGAAAGATTGATAAGGGATAGGTTGTGGGAAAGAATAGTTTCTTTTTTAAGCAACGAGAGGAGGAGAGGAGATTTATGAAAACAAATCCAAATAAACTTAATGAGTGTCATTTGATTCTCAAGGAGGAGGACAATCAATTAGACTCTCTGGAGTTCAACATTCATTTAGTAATACATAACAATAATTTAGCTTAAATCTGCAATCGAGAAATAAAGAATAGTGTGGGCAATGCTGGAAAGAAACAATTTTAATTAGATCTTTGCATTGCCTCAAGAAAAGATGATAAACTTTTTGATTGAAATGGAAAATCAATACAATATGAATAACAACCCTTATCACAACTTTGATCATGGAGTTGCAGTCATGCAAGCAGTAAATTGCTTCATCAAATAATTGTCAAAACAATTAGATCAATAATTTTTCAATAATATGACTAAGTTTTGCCTATTGTTGTCAGCCTTGTGTCATGATGTTGCTCACACGGGTAAGACCAATGCATACGAAGCCAATTCGTTGAGTCAGTTGGCAATTCGCTACCATGACAAAGTGGTATATTGTATTTTGTTACCTATTTTATTAGATCCTGGAACAACATCATGCCGCAACAACCATCAAAATCTTGAGAGATAGTTAGACGAATATTCTCTGCAACTTTTCTGATTAGGATTTCAGAACCTTTAGGAAGTAACTCATTTCCAACATCTTGTCCACTGATATGCAAGAGCACTTCAAGATGCTGAAGGAATTCGAATCCAGAGTAGAATAATATGGCAATGATCCTGAGGATTTGTCTTTGTTATGTGGGATGGTCACCCATGCGGCTGATTTTAATGGCACTGCGAGGAAATGGCCGTAGAGTAGATTGTGGAGTGAGAAGATCAATTAAGAATATCGGGCTTAGTATGCTGAGGAAGGGAAGTAAGGATATCCTTAGTAGCCGTTCATGAAGGATTTGGATAAGGTAAATTAGAGTATTTAATATCGAAGTTGCATGTGATGTCTAAAAATGAAATTGGATTCATCAAAGTGATAGTGAGGCCATTGTATCATCAGTTGAACTTGTTTGGCAAAGGGGCATTTTAGGATTGTGTGGATAATTTGGACGAAACCATTTTTGAATGGGAGAAGGTATACTAGTAAGAGTTGAAGGCATTACAACAATAGCAATAGGGTAATTGATGACTTATGATGATATTTTTGTTACGCAAAAATAATTTATATTAAAATTAAATGAATTTAGGCAAACCAGATCTCAAGTGGTACATTCAATAGAAGGCAGCTCAGAATGTGAAGGAGAGACTCTATGGCTATCCCACTCATTTGAATTAATTGCCTGTGCAAACTCAGATCAAGTTTAGCATTCCCACCGAATTCGTAGGATGCATCAATGATCAAGATCAGAAGGATGTCATCAAGATACTCAAATTCACCCATCTCAAAGTATTCATTCTATTTCACTCTTTTTAGTGGTTAGCCAAAAACAATAGCTTCGCTTTGGGGTATAACAAGATCAATAATCAGAAGCGATAAGGACACTTGTCAATCTTTGATTTGAATGACTGGAAATTGTTTTACAAGAAATTTGCAAACGACGAAGCAATGGTGGGGATCCTGAATCAAGAATATCTAAACAAGGTATTTGGAATTGGGAGTAATGGAGGGATCTACACGATTGAAAAAGGATAGGGAGGACTTGAGTAGAGACCAGTATTGGAGACCAAAATCTTGCAAATTACGGAGGGATCCTTCTCTCCGAATCATCATAAAATTGCCTTTTCGAGTTAGGATAAGTTGATCTATCTGTATGATGTCTAATCGGAATCGAAAGAGACTCTCATGGGACATGGTAAGGAGGTGTACACGGTGCAATGGAATCCAGAAAACAGTTTGATAATCAGTGGAGCAGATGATGAGACTATTCGTCTTTGGGATGCTTCGAGTAGAGATGAGATTCTGAATTTAAAAAGACACAATTTAGGAGTGAAAAAGGTTAGGTGGAATAGAAATGGGACATACTTTGCGACGACAGGAAAGGATAAGCAAACCTTGTTGTTTGATCTTAGGAAAATGGATATGGAAATATTTAAATTGCATCAGACTCAGGTTGACACCATCTTTTGGCATCCAAAATATTAAAATATATTTCTCACAGGCGATGCCAATGGTTCTATTTCATGTTATAACATCAACGCTCCAAATGAACCCATGTATGTGCAGCATGTACCTGAAACCATTGTGACTGATCTGGCTTTGGACTCAAGTGGGTCTATGATGAGTGTGATTAGAGCCAAATAAGTACAGCCAGATTAAAAAATCAGTATGGCTGATTAAATATCTATTTATAAGACTGCATGATTTATTTATATATCTTAATATACATTATATACTATAAACAATATTTAAATAATTATATGAGTAATAATATCGAGAGAAGCTTTTCTGTGAAGAATCGGAATTTTCATCCAGAAGAAACTACTCAAAGCACTGGCAAAGTCAAAGTCACTAGACACTTTACTAATCAAGTTTATTAAGCACAAAACTCGGATCAAAAACCTACTAAAGATGTTGAGAAGGTGAATGAACTAATCAAATTGAGTGAATAGATCAAGAAGGAATTGTTGAAGGTCAAGTTTTGTACACTCTGCAAGAGAAAGTTTCAAAGTATCAAATACTTAATTGAGCATGAAGAGAATTCAGATGTACACAAAAAGATTAAATAATGATATTTATTAAAATTTAACGTAATGCTTGATGAATTAGAATTATTGGTTGAAAAAGAATTAGCTAAGTTAAATTCCCTTAACGGAAAAGACAAGGTCCCCTAGGTTGTTCAACAACCATTGATGTAGAACAAGGATAAAGTCAATCTCATCATCTCCATTGACAATAAACCAAAAGATATTAAACATCCATCAACTGAGCAATGTTCATTCAGACCCATGTTATCGAGGAAGTCCCTGAGGATTGCTGAAAAATTGGGGGATGCCAAGGAAAGACTTACTAAGCCTAGATCAGTCACGCCTGAAATCAAGGAATAATCTTAGTCGCAAACAAGGAAACGAACTGTCTCTGGAGTTGCACCAAGATGGGAATAGTTATACACTTTAGATCAATTTTATAAGACAAAGAAGGAAGCATTGAAATTGTAAATAGAAATGGATAGATCAAAAGATAATGAGACAACCTTCTAGCCAGATCTTTCAAAGAGTTAAACTAAGTATTGTGATTTTACCATGCCTTTTGAATAGAGAAATCGATATTGGGAAACTAAGAAATAAGAAAAACTTATTTAATATTAGAAGGATGTACAAAATGAAAGTCAAACGGTATGCACCTTTAAACCTCAAGTAAATAAAAAAATAGCACAAAAAAGTGTCAAAGTATCAGAATTCAATAAAAAAGGACTCATCACCTACTTCGAAAGAGTCTAACAAGCCAATAAGAAGAAAGAAGAACCCAAAAAATCCTCAAAATGGAAACCTGGAGTTACAATACCACAAGAATTCAAATTAAGTCATACCAATAGATAAATATGATTTTCAATCAAATTACTTAATCCCATTAAGCTAATTATTAATATATACTTATACATACTCCATCCTTCTCCATACATTAATAAATATTGAAATATAATAATAAAAATTGGCTGTTAGTTTCATGCAATAATTTCAAATATTCAAAACAAAACAAATAGGTATTCAATATCAATACTTACAATTAGCAAGTCCTAGTTAATAATAATAATAATACTAAGTACGCTCTCCCTTTCAGAATATGGAAAACAAAGGTTTTATTTAAAAGTCTTCAAATGACCAAGAAATGATCAGTAAACCTGTATAGTCCACAAAACAATTAACATAAACACCAAGTGCCTCTGAATACAAAATTTAATTCAAAGTAGGCGGAGCAAAACAATAATACGATGAACCTAATACTATGATTTCTTAAGCTATACCCTTTGTTCCTATGAGTCCGTAATAACATCGTGAAAATGCCTCAATCTTCTAATCTCCTTAAAATAAAATCTAGTATCAATAGCAATAATTGCAATTTTAATCTCCCAATCGAGATTAATACCAAACAAACTTATTTTACTCATCAAATCAACCATTCATTTAATAATCTATTTCTCAACCTTATTAAAATAATTAGAACTCACAAAAAGTAGTAAATTACACCAATACCATTGCTCTTCAAGAAGAGTTGAAAGCTTTATAACTGCAAAACACTTCTATGACTTAAGAAATTCAAAAATTAGAATCACAAGCATTTAGAGGCCAATCAGCTCAATTCATTAAGGAATTGGAGGATAAGATAAAAATGTTATCATAAATGAATAAAAAGTTATCAATCGATAATCGTGAATTAATAAATGTGCCTGATGCGTAAGTCTTGAGAGATCTAATTTTAAAGTATTAAAATGACAGAAAAATAGCTTATAATTAGCTATCTGAAATGAAGACTGAAATTTAAAACTATAGAATGAAGTAAGAGGATTTAAAGGAAAAGCTTTAAAATGAAGAGTCGACTTAGCTAAATAACTTAATTTAAGAATTTGAGAATAAGGTATAAACTCTGATTTTAGAAAACGATAGAATTAATGTACAATTAAGAAATGGAGAAAACATTATGAGTTAGGTATTAAAGTAAAAAAATGAGAATGAATAATTAAAGCAAAAGCTAAATAAGTTTAAAAAAGATGAAGAAAACGCTCACAAATAATATTCAAAAGCAGAAGCCAAAGCTAATTTATTTGAGACTTGCTTAGACAAATTAGATTTGTTACAAGATGAGAATAGGCGTCTTCAATAAATGATTAAGGATTCAGAAATGACTTAAGTGGATTTAGATAGTTTATTGGAGAAGGTATAATTATTAAATATCTTTAGATTTAAGTAATTCGGTATGATAATGAAAGAATGATGAGATCATTACGTTGTAAATAATGAGTTTAATATATATATATTTATATGAATAATTCAAGGGAGTGATACTAATTTTGATTAGAGATATTAAATTATCCTGACTCTAACCTAAGGTAAGGGAGTATTTAAGAAGAAATAATACATTATTATACATTCTCTGTTTATACAATAAAACATTATAAAAATACGTTTGGTTGATCCCAGAAATAAAGTAGTGAACTAAACCAAATATATACATGAAAACATATTGGATTTACAGCAATTTGAGAGATTATGAGTAAAGTAGAGTGATGTGTTAATTGTTTTGAAGAGACTTACAATATAATTAAAATGAAGAAGGAATTGAAAGTGCAAATTATTTGTAATTTCTATAGGCTATTTAAAACTCAGTGTACTTTTTGAAAATAAATCAAATAGTTTAGAAATCAATTAATAATAAATTAAGAGAAGATTTTTTAATCATTATTTATATTCAAAATTAAAGGAGAAGTTAAAGAAATTAACATTATCATATTGATTAAATAATAATTCAAAGAGTGATTCTTGATGATTTCAATTAATGTTGAATTAGAATTGAGTTGATAATGTCTATATAATTATTATTTATTTTTATAATGGATGATGCTTATTCCCATCAAGCCTCAACTCCTTCGGACAGACATCACAAATCTAAATTGGAAACCATGAGAAACGAGAACATGAACTTTGTTGAGTAATTCTAATTAGATAGTCTATAGCTCAAACGACGTGATAGTGGAATACTACAAAAATTAGTACCTAATGTTATTATGGCTTTAGATAAGCAAGTGGATTGGATAGATATTTTCTGGAAATCGAATAATGGCTGGAAGAAGATAAGACTCTTCATACTAACACACCCTTAGTTCTCGAAGCAGATGATGGGATTGGGAAGAAAACTCTTTTAGTGAAATGGATGGAATATCATGCCAGGAATAAGAAAGGGGTAAGAATATAGTGAATAATAGCGATATCCTGATTTTATCATTCCTCATTTTGCCACATAATCGGGCAAAAATAGCAATTATTATTATGCCATCTATAGAATCCTTATTAAATTGAGAGAAGCACTCAACATCAAATAGAAGGTGGAGCTGCTAGAAGAGAAGCTAAGAAGATATTTCCAATATTGGCTAGAAATTTGTAGTAGATAATTAGATTAACAAATTATTAACGGAGCCCAAATCATTTATGACAAGGTATGCGATATCCTCATTCTGTAGGTTATTTTAGTTTTTGAAGGGATAGATAATTTCAGAGAGTTACTGGATATGCACCGAGAAGCCAATGTAAATTTTTGGTTGCCAAAGTATTTCCCAACCAACATCAAAGTCATTGTAACTGCTGAACGGTAGTCAGCCTCGATGAGATTGTTGAAACCTGATTGTCAAGTGATACCCATAGTGTCTGATAAAACAGTCATGAAATAGACAGTCAATCATCATTTGGGGAAACATCTACTCATTTAAGTATTCATATCTACTAAGCAACAAGAATCCTTAAAATCTGTTGGATATATTCATTCAGTTAAGTTATAAAGTGAGAAATCAACCAGTTTTTGTGAGATCCTACTTTTCTGTCTTCATTCCATATCCTTCAGAGGGAGTAGTCGAAGAAAATGAAATTGATTAAAGAATTGTTGAATAAATACTGTAACCATTAAAGTTGGAATATTTCATATCTATGAAGGTAATTGAGGATCTGTTTGCATTTCAATTGGATTACTTTTCGAAAGCCAATATAATGGAGGTTGCTAAATTTAGAAAAGTCTTATTAGTATTGTCTCTTACTTAAAAAGGATTGACTTATCAAGAAATTGAAAGTGTTTGTAACATTACGATCAAAGAATGGAAGTTATTTCTAGTCTTCTTTAAAGTGTACATAATGAAACACAAAGAATTATGGATAATTCATAATGAAATCTTTAAAAAGTAATCATCAATACTTACTACGTTGACATCAAGGATATCTTAGAATTGCATGATACTATAGCTACAACTATTGACAAGATTACTCCTAATTCTATAAGGAAATTGGAAGAGCAAACATTCCAATTATATAGTGCTAAGAACTATTTCTCTTTGAAAGAAGTAATAAGTATCATCGAAAACTTTCTACTTCTCTTTAATCCTTCTAACAAATATGATCTATGTAGATATTGGTAATCCCTTGAAGAGAATGGATTTGATCCTGTTTTGGAGTACAATAAGGCAGTTGAAGGTTTCTAAATTCATTATCATCCTTCATCTGAAGACATGTTCAGAATAATCTTACAAATCTCAAGGTTTCTCAAGGAATTTGGTGATTTTGAAACCAGGAACACACCTATATTTAGACACCCACCTATAATTGGAGTATTGAGTGACTTATATGATATCGGATTGCTCTAAGAGATACTGAAACTTGACCTTTATTATGACAAAGCACCTGAATTAAAGGAGTTTGATCCAGCTAAACATTTGAAGCGTGTTGCTAAACCAAAAACAGCTCCTGTGCTTTCCAAGATGGAGTCACTCAATGTAGAGATACAACAAAATAGATAATTGATCAGAACACATTATCTTTCAATGATATCTAAACCCTTCGAGTAAACTGAAAATGAAGAAGAACCTTCTGAAGATGTGGATTAATTGGCTGAAGAACTTAATCACAAATTGAGAAAGGTCATTTAATAAAGGGAAGAGAACCTATCCTAAGAGTAATTGTAATCAAGCGAGCGAGAATCTACTGATTATTATTATAAGAGATGGATTTGGATCCAATTTCCATGGGCTTGTATGAGTATTGATAAGAATTGCGATTACTCCGTGGTCATCAAACAATGTTTCTCTTCAGCGACAGATTACATGAGCGTTGAGGATGAGAATGCTTTCACAGAGTCAGCACTTAAAATAGCACTCGAAGCAAAGAGAAAGCGAAAGGAGATGTATGAGTAAAAGCAAGAACAAGAAACTCAATTATAACTTATTCCTTAAGTGCCTGTGCTAGTATAGAAGGGATAGGAGGAGGTCTTGAAAAAGCAAAAAAGAGAACAAATAGAGTTTAGTACGATATCAAGCCAAAGATATGCTAGATCCTCAGCAGTAATCTTACCTCCTGTATCTAATAGGAGTGCTGTGTTGACGTAGGAAGATGCACCATAAGATAATCATAAAAGTCATTTGATGTTTATAACCTCAGATTTTACAGATTCAAATTATCTTAATGAAGAATCAAAAACATTTAAATTAAAGTAGGCGGTAGTACCAAATGATGGATAAGAGACTTAGCATTTACTTGAGAAATTGAAGAAATAAAAAAGTAAATTTAAACAGTTTGCTTCCAATTCTGTTTCTCATGGGAATTATAAGATTACTGAGATTTTTCCAATCGTCAAGGGAAACATACTATAACATTCGACATCCCAGTTCAACTCTACTACAGTATCAAGCAAGGTAGATGAGGTAAAAATTGGATTAGGTTATTTATGAGAATTTGTAGCTGGCTCAGACGTACAAAATCTTAAAGATAATGGACTTCAATAAGGGATATTTGAAAAGGGAACTTAATAATCTAGAAGGCTTGAAGTAAGTATAGAGGGATCTGAAGCAATAAATAGAGATAGCTGAGAAGGAGTTGAAGAAATCTTGTAAGACAAAAATAAGGGTGAAAAAGATCTTGAAAATATGTAGAGACAACAAATAGTAAAATGAGGAGTATATTAGATATTTAAATTATCTGACTAGAAACTTCACTAAGTTAATTAATTTTGAATAATTGGAAATTAAAAAGAGTCAAGAAAATATATAATAAGCAAAGCGACAATTTGATGAATTTTTAAAAGTCTATCGTTAAAAGCGATAACATCAGACAACATTATTGCTTCAAATCAGAAATAGTTTAAGAGAAAAACAACATTTAGATAAAATATTTTAATTAAGTGATTTACAAATAACCGAATAAGCTCATGGTTCAATCTAAAAATTGAGGAAAAGATTAAATAAAAAGGATGATGACACCAAGAACAAGAAAAACAAAGAATCTTAAGAAAAGGAACTCAAATTACAAAGAGAAAAGTTAATGATCCTAGAACAACAATATCGAAAGATAAAAGGAGTTTTTGATATTAAGAATAGTGATTATCATTTGAATAAGGAATTCGTAGATTTTATGGCATCGAAAGAAAGAAAAAGCGAATATGAAATTAAATTGTCAGAGTGTCAATAGAAATTAAGTGAAGTCTTGGATCTAAATACAAAATTGAATGAATAAGCTAAAACATATGAGAATGCTTATTCATCTCATAATTTCAATTAAAAGGAAGTCAAAAAAGACGGTACAAGTTATATCTTATAGCATTAGAGCAATCTTAAGAGAAAAAGCAAATTAACAATATTTAAATGTAAGAATTATAACTCAAGAAACTGATGGTTTTGGAAGCTCGATTAACCAGTTCATTAGAATTGATCGGAAAGAAGTGTGGAGTTAAAGATGAAGATTAGGTAATGCAAATTTAGATTATTATCAGATTTCTATTATATTAGATTAGAGGAAACAACACATTATAAAAAATGAGGGATAGACAAATTATTAGAAGATTTTAGAGCAGTAGTATTAAATAGAGCCGCTTTTAAAATAGCAAGCACCATTCTATTTTCCAAACAGATACACAAATAATAATAGCAGTAGTAACAGTGAAATTTGACATAATTTAATTATATAAATATATAGAAAATAAAGTATAAAAATAGTAATTATTTAATATTTATCGATCTTATATTGTGATAATCTATTATTCCTTTCTTATTAATTGATTTATTGTAGGAGATCAAGTATGAGTATACGTGCAGAATAAAATTATTTATGATTTTCATTTTAAATAATTGTATCTTGAGTAACTATTTAATTATCATCGAAGTTATATTGAAAGTAAAGTGAATTATAAGCTCATGGTGTATTTCAATGAAAAGTTTAGAGTTTAAAATTAAATTTATAAATAAGAGCTTTTTGGCAATTTAATTGTGAATTAAATAAAAGCATAATTTGAGTTCAAACTGACATTTATCAATAGGAGATATTCAAGGGAGAGTTGAAATTGAAAAATGATTGGAAACACTCCACTTATAGGAGATAAGAAGTTTGGTCAGTGATCAGTTAAGGACGTTGTCGTAATAAAAGATATTTAAGAAAGTTTATTTAAATAATTTTACTCATATGATAAGATATCATCAAAGCATGTCTAAGAATTTTTAGTTTAAGTTTTTGCTGGAATTTCTCTCTTACTTAGACCTTAGTGGACTCTGAAGTAGAGTGCCAGATCTCATATCGATAATAATTGTATCGGATATTTAAGTCGATTTCTTAAATAGTGAATAAATCAATTACCAATTCCTTGGTTTCCTTCAAATCACCAGAAGTTGTGAATTTAATGGGTATTTTGGAATCAATTTAAGTGATGGAAGGTATTTACTGAGGGATCTCGTCAAGGAAATCCATTTTGTCGATATCTCCCAAAATTGAGATTTTTAAGGGTTCCATAGTCAGCCCTCTTTGACTAAGGACAATAGAAGGAACTTTAATCTTGTGTCTCAACTCATTTGCTTTTAGAGTAATAGTAGGTCTATCTTAACAACAGCCCATTATTTACGATAGTGTTGAGAAATTGATTTTAAATTAATAAAATCCATAATACGAGAGTTTATATCGTTGATATACCAACATATATGACGACATTATATGAGAGAGATTGCTTCATAGTATTCAGAAGAATTTATTGTTTAAGGTTCTAATAGTCAACTGTTTTGTAGAATGGTATTGAGTTTAGCCTATATAAATAAAACTTCAGCTGTTGAATGGGGATTGTTAGTACTATCGTAAGGTTTTCTGTTCTCGAGTGTTAGATTGGATTGTTAGACAAAAAGGAGTCAGACAAAAAGGAATCATTCGATTGGGGAGAGATTAAGAAGTCTTTATGATTTAAATGTAGTTCATTTGAACATCTTTGCACAACAAACGATTAAATAATTTAATTTAAGATAAATTCAAAGCTCTTACACAATCTTTATTCTTTGTTTCACCATTCCGTCCAATTTAAGGCAGACTAGATAATGCAAATAATCTGTACCTCTCTTATATACAATTTGTTAAAGTCATCTTATTTCAGTTTCTTTATTGCTTTTTCTCTTTGTTCTATTTTGTCATATTGCACAACAACTTGTTTTGATTCAGGCACCACATTGGCTTGTCTGTGTAAGTATTTATCGAAATCAAACTTCGACTTTTTCAAACTAGCCTAGACAATCAGATGGGATACTAGTGCGAATTTAAAAGATGTAAGTACTGTATTTTTCATTGCTGCCCAAACAGATAAAGCATTCCTGGAACACTTTTTGATTCTTCAATTTCAAACTATTGAAACTCTTTTGACTATTGCCATGGAGTTCGATGTAGCATTCTTAATGGTAACTGTGTCCACATTAAAATGCCACTGCTTTTGTACACTTAGTGATTCGATCATTGCATTCTCCGCAGTATCGATCGACACAGACTCCTTGATTCATCTATTGAAAGAGTTTTTTGCTTAATCCCTTGTAAGTGATATCAGTCTATTGCATGGCAATGTTATAGGAAGGCAATTCAAAAGCGAACTTTTCCTAGATGGATTTGTTGGTCTTGAAAAACACTCTGAGTGGAATAGAACCATAGAGTTGATTCATTTTCTAGATAATCATACAAAGTTTACATCCAAGAGTCTGTCCAATTCTATGCATTTGGACATGGCTAAGAACACTTCGGATACAATATCTCCGTGCAATTTTCTGAGGGCTTCAGGGACTTTAAGATCAGTCAATTGTTCCAGTTTATGCTATTTGAAAAAAGAGTCTAAAAATTAAAACCAATATCCATCGTCTTCAATTTTCGAGCAGAGATCAATGATGTAATTCAACTTCTCAAAGATCTCTTCTTAATCAGTTTCTGAGACTGTCTTTGATCTTGCGAACGATTTGTGACAATCCTTCAATCTATTGATAAACAGCAGAGTCAACATATCCAGAGCCTTCTAGATGGCTCCATTCTTCTGAAGCAGGTAGGCAGCAGCATTGTACACCTTATACTTCTCACAGATGGCCAAGGCGTCGTCTAGAGGGAAGTCTCCATTCTGGACATCTTTCAATACCTCTTTGGGTGCTCTTTAACACAGGAGATCAAGATACAGTAATCTAATTGAATCGGAGGCCTTTTCATTTTTGATGTATTGTTTGAGGTAATGCAATTGGTTTTATGGTGTTTTTTCTAATTTTTGAATGATTTGCATTTACAATTTGAGATCGTGGAAGTACTCCTTGAAAATTCGATTCGTATACTATTGACTAATGTTCATCAAGGTATCGCAATTCTCGATTATAAACTCTTACAACTACATCAGCAATTAAGCATTAGAGTAAATCAACAGTCTTTCAATGACTTCAAATACATTTCTCTTCATCATACTGTTCTGCATCTGAAAGTAATTAGAAATGCAGGTGATATAATCGTTTTGTTTGTATATGAGAAAGGTACGGAATTCAGGAAATGGGATGCTTCCATCGAAAACAACGGAGACGTCATTCAATTGACTAGTGTCATACAGGTGAATTAAGTAGGCATTCTTATTGACTTCGTAAGACTCTAAGTAGATGGGATCAGTATCTTGACTGTTGAAGTTATATTGTTTCAAGGTTTCGAAATAGGATGGAGACAGGAGATCTTGGACTAGTTTCTCTTTGAATTGTTTTTTGAATTACAATGGGAATTGCATTAGTAATTCAGAGTAGAATAGCAAGAAATGATTAAGTTATTCAGCAAGGGATATTTAATGATATTGTTCAGTCTTGTCATTATAAACTATCTGATAGTGTTCCTGAGCTTTAAGGTCCTCCCTGGTGTTCTCTATGGAACTAAGCATCGATTTCAGGATGTCAGGGACGTGATCGATGATCTCAAACTTAATCCCAGGGAGAGTGGCTGATTTGATATTGGTATAGATGTGATGCTGCATGAATTACATAAGCAATTGAAGTGATAGTCGAATGTCAATGAGTATGAATTGTTTTAAATTCTCTGTATTAAAGATGAATGAAACCAATCCCCTTAACATATCGAAATAGATATTGTGTGGCACCCTCTCTCCCAGGATATTAATACCCTTCACACACATACGAAAGTAGGCCAAAATACTGTATCCTAGTTTAATTCTGAACTTCCGCAACTTCTCCTTCTCAATGTGGCATGACTCCTTCTATTCCAATTACCATTTATTTTCCCAAAGATCCATCAGTTTCATTAATCCAGTGATGAAGTCTCCCTACTTTGTGCACAGATAAATCATGGCCTTGTACAAGTGATAATCCATGCAGACCTTGATTAGAAGAGTAGGTTCTTGTTGATGTAAATCTAATTGCAGTATGAGTTATTGTATCATCTCCTTGTCATTTTAATAAAAATTGACGTAGTCCACAAAGAACGATTCAGGAATCACAGCAATTTATTTGTTCTTAATGAAGGGATCCAAACAAGTGAAATACAACTTCATCTATTATATGTCCTTGAAGAAGTCCTTCAGCACAACCAAAGCATAAGTCATGCTATCAACTCTGAGCAAGAACTCTATTGTCTTTTTTATTTTATTCTCCTTCTCTTATTAAGATAATGGGATATCCAATGGTTTCAGTGCAAACATTATATGAGTAAAAGCAATCTTCTGGAACATCTAACTCATTTATTCTTAACGTGCTTATAGAGAGGAAGCTATCTCACTCAGTATTTTAATTTATCCTTGGTAGATCAGCATTCCTTAATGCATGGCTTTCTCCCATTGATTCTTCTCAATCAAATCCTCTAGATATTCATTCCAAGTTTGGAGTCTCTCTATTAAAATGTTATTCTTCCTCAATGATACAATTCCATTCTCGTATATTTATACCTGACAAGGTATACTTGGACCTTCATATGAAACACAAATCTCAGCAACCTATGGTTCGACATCTTCCTTTGACAGCATTCTTGTTTTCGATTCCAATATGACAATCCCATCATCTTGCTTAGCAAATTAAAACTATGTAGTATGAATTAAAGCAACCCAATTAGAATCCGAAAATGTATAAATGATATTATTTGTTAAAAAGGAACTCTTAATTATATTCCCTTTCTCTTTCTCTAACTTATAAACAGCACTGATTAAATATTTAAATTATATTACCCTTCTACAATTTCTAGTTCATCCTCTATATTCATACATTTGACTAAATGAAATATGTCACCCCATCTTATACACAACAACTTGGCATTCTGATATGACTTTTCGAAGTACCCCTCTCCCCACGACAATTCACCACTTTCATTACTATCATTTTAAGGGACATCAATTGAGAAAGTATGTCTTTTCAGAGTATACACTATCTCACATTTCAAAGACCCTAAATTTTGATGCGTATGGCAATTACCTTTATAGAATTTAAGAATTTCAACGCGATTAGAATATAATACAGCAGCAATCACTACTTATTAAATATTTTGATTGAGTTACTGGGTCATAGCTTCAGGCATCAACTTAATATCCAGAGCAAACTTCGTCTATTAGCCCTCTGTGTCACTGGAGTGCTTGGCTGATGGATCTGTATAATCAGTGACTTCCTCTTCTTTTTTGAATATGCTATCCCACCAGGAGGACTGCTTTTATTTTGGCTATTGGGGGTTGCGTTTGATGTGATAGATTTTGCCATTCTTATAGATCTTGTCTTTGGAATGAGTGACGATGTATTTGTCCATGACAGTCATCACAGTGAAGGAATGTTTGTAGATGACTCCGTGTTCATCCAGAGATAGTGCTTCGATAGTGGAGGATGGTATGAATAGGACTTGCATCACTCTGCCTGAATGCAATCTGGATTCATGATGCAAGCGTTCCCATTTCCGACCTACCTCGTATAATTGAATGTCTCCTCTCTCAAAACCAACCAACATATATTTCTCCCAACATTAGATTGCCAATACAGAGCCATATCTTGTTTGTCGTTCACCTGCATTGAGTATGGCTTGGATGGACTCCACTCTTCCATTCACCACTTCAATGCAGATGATCACAGAATGTTGAGTGCCAATCATCAGATACCTCTTTTGACGATGCATATAGAAGCAAAGTTGAGTTGGTTGTCCATAACTACCATACAATTCATTTGCTTATTGTGTAAACCCATAAATAGGATTCACTTGGAAACAATCTGGTTATTGTTGCACTTTTTCTTAAAAGAAGGTGTTTCTGTCTCTGGACTCTAAGGAGAACTTTTTTAACACTAACAATGGTTGATTACCTTAAGAGATTGGTAGATTGGTTCAAGTTGATCGAGAATATTGAAGTGTGTAAATTGGTGATATCTACTCCGCAAAACTTCTTAATTTAGATAATACATAAAATTATTATTCTGAAAATCAATAATAAACAAACCAATAATCAAGTACAATCATAATAACAAACACAACTAATCATGATAGGGTTCATTCATTCTCTCTTGAAAAACTATATTGAACTGGGTTAGAATTAGAATTAATAATTGGATCAATCTGTATTTCAGCGAAATAATCAATTAATCTCCATGTATTCTTCTATTATTCATATGCAATTGGAAATTATTAATTCGTTCTCCTTCCATAACAGGACTACAGTATTTATTTGTTTCCTTTATCTAATATAAAATTTAGAAATGATTAGATATTAATAGTTTATTGTAAATTGCACTAAGATTGATTTGATATGGTATCCAAATGTCATTTGATTGACAATTACAGAAATAGAATTATAATCTGATTACCTATTGAATTTCTTTAATATCAGAGTTTAATAGAGAGTGTTTACTCAAACCTTCGAATAGTTGAAATCATTGGACGATATCCCTACTTCTCTTCAATCTAAAGAAACACTCGATATTTTATAATAAATAATTTTATCACTTTTTTAGATTAATAGCTTTAATCATAATACTCGATCTCTTAAGAGGAGATCTTTGGGAGTTTTTACGTTGCACTTTACGCGCTGATGCTTTCATTCGCTCTTGTGGGACTTGCTTGCTCTTATAAAATAATTCAGGATGGAGTAGGGAGAGTTGTCTCACCAATTCAAGGCTTTCTTCTAGTGGCCGATTCAATTGGCTACGTAACTCAATGAATTATTTGATCTTAATAATAATTTTAATAATGATACAGTACCACATTCATATCCAAATCCTCAGATTGGATCTCCTATTTGTAGATCCATCCAGTCCATTATTTGTTCTCAATCATTAGGAAATGTTGAGCTAACATCAATAGCAATTCCAACAGAGTCATTTATGATTTCTAACTATTATACACCTTTTCATTGAATTCCTCTGAAAATAGTAATTAGAAATAGGGAGATGCATCTTTGATCGTAAAACACTCATTGAGTTGATACTCGTGTTGTTCCTGCAATTCTTTATAGTATTTGAGTACTTTCTTTAGAGATACAGAACTCAATTAACGATGCTCTCGGATTCCAAAAATGATTGCATACAATTGATTGATGGGTTAATCGAGATCGCATTCGCTAAGATAAGTCAAAATGGCATTTAGTTTCTCTTCTTCGCCAACCCAATCGATAAAGATCCTACAAACATGATTTAGGAAATCTCCGATTTGAGTCAGGTAATCCAAGAAGTTACATAAGAGGGTTGAGTAATCCATTTCTAATTCCTTATTGACTTCAAATGGTATTTGAAAGGGATGGACTTGCATAAATATGCCTACAGAGTTCAAGTAATACAGTTGGTAGTTCTCCTCTTGCAATTTGTGACATCCCAATCGAACTTGTGCTTCTTGATGTTTCATCGGAAGAGGTTGATTCAACTTCTGCTATTTAATTAAAGCACTGCCCAATTCCTTGATGTCCTTTTGGAAGACGAAGGAATGTTGGGCGACCACCTTGTCATATTGTTTGAACATGCTCTCCAATTCCAAAGCCTTTAAGCCAACTGAGTTCATTCTCTCTTCGGCAATTCTGAGATCACTCATCTATTGGACTGTCACAATGTAATCTTGAAATTCCTGTTAGACTGACAATAACTGTTATTATAAGTATTCATTCTTACGAATGTATTACGCTTCCATAGCTTTGAATTCCTTATCCATCTAGATCATCTAATCTTCAACTTTGATCTTCTGAGCCACAGCCTATTTGAATTGCTCCTTGAACTCTTTGACCTGAGTCTCAATGTAATCGGCACAACTCTTGCCCATCCATTGCAATTAGATGTCAATCAAGACGATCCAGAATTTGCAAAAGCCTTCCAAAAATATCCCCAATCTGGTATCATGCTTCAAGGCTTCTCGAACACTCTGCACCATAGTGTCAGAGACCAGATTCACAGCATTTTAGACAAAGTGCATCTTGAAATTAAGCACAGGTCTGGTCTATTAATGTAGGGGTTCGATTATTTGTTTGTCCAACTGTTAGAGTGTGTTGAATAGTGTAAAGATGAACTTTTCATCTAAAATGGTCTTGTTTTCACACATCTTGGCTCGTTGAACCTCGTACTGATTTGAATAGAGCATCATTTTGATGGATTGAGGCAATTCGCTCAAATTTTAAATCAACTATTCATGCTCTCTACAGAGGTAACTGTACTATTCATATTAAGCACATATTGGAATATTCTCTGTTTCAGATGGTACCCTAATGCGATGTTCTGTTCGACCCTCCCCTATTAAACTGGCCCATCTAGATTTCCGTTCCTCCTTCTTCAATGATGGACACATTGTTCCTGTGAGGGATCCCTTGGCTCTCTATCTCATGATCTGAGAAATGGTGGCCTTCTAATAAAACATATTGGTTGTTTGGGTTGGCCAATCATTGCGAGCTGTGTTGGATTACTTCTTGAATACGTCCTTAATGGCCTGGGTGAATTCAGCATCGTTGAACATATCGTCAATCTCACCCAATGATATTTTAGTTTACTTGTTGCCATTTACCTTGCGTGCACTCATTAATTATTATAATGTAAGTTGCATTTAGTGCCATTTGTGTTGGATTAGACAACGCTGGCAAAACCAGTCTATTGCGCACACTCTCCAATAGTCAAAGGATGGAGATATTCCCAACACCCACCATGGAGATCCATTATGTCATTTGTCCCAAAATAGGGAAGTATTGTCTGGTTTATGATATGTCTGGAAATGGTCGTCATCGATCTAATTGGAGAATTCTCTATCAAGACGTTCAAGCCATGATCTACGTCATTGACACCAGCGATTCAGAATACAGGTAGCATACAAAATACATATATCTCTAGATTCCATTTATAAAGACATCTTATTGAAGAGGTTCTTAATGATGATTTAATCAAAAAAAGTGCGATCCCCATTCTATTCCTATTCAACAAGAACGATAAAAAGAATAGATTCAACAAGGACGATCTCATCAAAGTACTAGGATTGGACTCCAAGAAATTCAAAAATAAATTCATTTTCAAAGAGACTACTAGTTTTGAAATTTCAAAATTGAAAGAAGCCATTGATAATCTCACTGATGCACTCTTTAGCAAAAAATAATGATTTGTTATTATTATATTTACTAATCATTCATTTATTCATTTCATGACTTGCCTCCCCCAAACAACTCACCTACCTAATTATCCAAATTGATGCTATAGCTATGCAAATACATGCACACACCACTTTAAATATATACAAATAATCGTTTATCTAAATTTATTTACTTTATTTCTCAAAAGCAGCCAATTTAGCAAATCCAATTTACTTATTGTCAATGTCAAAAACTGTTACATGCTTTCTTATGAATGTATCCCCCAGAATCCAATAACTATTTGAACTCTTCGTAAAAGACAACACACACACTGATACATCAATTTATATGTAGTCACTAGGGTGCAATTGCAAACTCAAATCACCTTCAAAATTTAATTCAAATTCAGGAAAGTGTGAAAAATCCCCATCAGGACATGAACATTTTATTTAGTATTAGGAATACTGACAAAACTATTTATAATCATCTCTTAAAATTGATAATATTGAAGTAAATTGATGAGTAGGTACAACTATCAGAGAAGTTCCAGTATCTATCAATGCTGATACATCCTTAATCAGGACTTTTTTATTCAATTATACATTGTTTAGTTTAACTGACCATGAATCTGTTTTATCCAATTTAACATACTTTACTTCAGAACTCATGTAATGAGTATCATACCCACCTATGAATAACACACTTGCATTATTGATGTGTTCAGGTATCGAATTCAAGAAGAATGCAAAAATGCGCTTATCTATCTAATGTTGATCATACAGGATGTTGATTAACGAATTGAATCCATATTAATCTTGTAAACCCAATCCACAAATACCATCAGCTCTCAAATTCTCCAAATTAGTTTATGAATTCACAATCAAAAATTGAAAATTAGAAACTGTGAAATTGGAGACTTGCAACTAGTCAAAAGCTTTGTTTCCTCCTATTTCCCCTTGACCATATTCCACCTTATATAATTCTTTTGTCATTAAACAATTAGGACTTGATTAGCAATCAAAAGATGTTTTCTTTGATTGTGTTGGACACGTATTTGAGAATACCTTTATAGTGAGCACATTTTACCCAAAAAATAGAAGAACCTGTATCAAATAGCAATTCAAGATCCTATTCCCCTATTTTAATAATTCCCGTGTATTGCATATTCATAAAATTGTTGATCACCAGATTGTTCCTCAGATGTCGATTTGAATTAGGAAGTGTAGTCTTATGCAAGTCGATCCTCACATAGGCACTAATTAGTTAAAATAATAAATATAATATCATTAATTATGGAAGCATCGCAATATAAATTGAGTCAAACAATAGCAGCACACAATGGAATAGTGAGATCAACCTCAATTTAAGGGGATTAATTATTGACATGTAAGGACATCATCAAAGTTCCTAATAGGTTCAGGTGATAAGACTGCAAAGTTGTACGAACTGAAGGATAATTAGTATCAATAAGTGACTTTGATATCTTTCTTCGAGAAATTCATTTATGCCTCATGTGCAAGAGTGAATGGAGGATATGCAGTTGGACAAGATAAGCAAATATATTTGTTAGACAATGAGGGGAATCTCCTTGGTATTTTAGATGGACATGAATAATAAGTGTGTTCTTTAAAGAGCATTTCAAAAGACGTACATTCAATCATCATCAAATTAAGTTACTAATATCTGGATCCTGGGATGCAACTGCTATTATATGGGATATCAGTTAAATGAAGTAACTTTATAGATTGAGTGGACATAAATATGGTGTGGCAGTATACGGGGATGAAAATTTAAATGTTCTAACTGGCTCATAAGATGGAGTTCTGCATTCCTGGTCCAAGGAAACTAAAATCAAGAGCGTAGAAGCTCATGAGGATATCATCAGAGAAATCCTACCTTCTCCCTTTGGTGGCTATTTAACTTGCTCTAATGATGAAACGATTAAACTCTGGTCTAAAGATCTTGAATTGATTTAAACCTTTTTAGGGCATAAAAGCTTTGTTTTTACAATGAAATATCACATGGATCAAGTGATTAGCGGAGGGGAGGATAGATTAGTAATTATCTGGAATTTAGATGGTACTTCCAAATAAACCATTTAATTGCCTGATACTGTGTGGACTGTAACTATCAATAATAATAATGATATTGTTGTTGGAACAGCTGATGGTAAGGTCAGAGTATTTACTTCTGATCCAGCGAGATATTCCTCTTAGAAAGAAATTGAAGAGCTAAAGCAGGAATAAGCCTCTTTATCCAATGCCAAGTAGGAAGGAGCAATATCTGAAGAAGAAGTGCAGAAATTGCCAGGAATAGATAAACTGACTATGATGGCAGGAAAGAATGATGGGGAAGTTAGATTATTTTTAAATGGAGATAAACCTTAGGCATATATTTGGAGTGCAGCCAATAAGAATTGGTAAATGATTGGTGGGGAGGAGTCAAGCTAAAAGAAGATCTTTTATGGAGACAAATACTTTGAGGCTGGAGAGTATGATCATATCTTTGATGTGGAGGATGGCAATGGAATTGCTAAACTCATGCCCTATAATGAAGGGGAAAACCTTTATGTCACAGCTGAGAAGTTTTGTTTAAGGGAAGGATACTCTAAAAATTACATTTAGTAAATAGTTGAATTCTTGAAATATCATACATCCTTTGGGTAATCGCAAAGGTAAAAGAAATAAGAGTTGGAAACTATGAATGAATAATAATATGATTAGGAGCAAATATTATAATAAGAATAGGCTAAAAACCAGCTTGATTATCAGTATATTCCTTACACTAAATGCACCTATTATGAGAATATGAATTTACAAGGTTTGAGTCAGAAACTGTTTGAGTTCAATGCTTTAATGTCTGAAGAGCTTAGATTAACGGAGAATGAAACTTTAATATTCAATAAAGGCATTGATAACTTAGGACAAATATCTATGTAAAAAGCTGTCGATATCGAAAATTCTGTTAGTCTCATATTCGTTGAGAAATTATTAAAGTGGGATGCCCAATACTTATCTCCAGTTTATGATTTCTTTAGGATCTTTTCCCTTCATCATAGCAGCGAATAACTTTTCGCGGATCAAGAAAAAGGCATGAGTCTGTTCTTGAATATTGTCACTATAGCCAATATATAACCTCCCAATGCTGTCCTTATAGGATTGGCTTTGTAAACATTATGTAATTGCTTAAAACATAATACTAATTCTTGTGCTATCCTCTATCATTTAAGAATAGTTAAAGATATTATTCAGAGTCTATTAGATACTGATGAAGATGTAAACATATTTTATAATCTAGACTGTCCACCTACTTAGTAATCTCATTCTCAATTTATCTATTGGAATATATTAGGGAAACGAATTGATTGACAAAGCAAGTGAGATATTATCCGAATCGATAGTTACATTTTTATAGTATAAACAAAGAGATGCTGAAACAATTGCTAAATTAGTGACTGCACTTGGTAATTTATTGAGATCTCCTGCTTAATAAATTAGAGAACAATGTAAGAAAATCAGTTATGGTTTTATTCAATCATTGATGATTGATACAAATAATTAAGACACACTTAAATGTTTGGAAGACGTTAAGTTGAGTATGTAAATTTGAATATTATAAACTCTGGAATAATATATGAATAATTTTTATTAGACTCTCAGTTAAGCCACCATTTCTAAATGTATTAAAATTTAAATTAAATGAAAATAATTAACACAGCATAAACTTATATTGATTACATTACTCTAAAAGGTCTTATTTAAATTAATTAAAATATTTAAGATATAGTTAAGTTTCAAACTAAAATTTCATAAACATTATATTAATTAGAATCAACATCCCAAAGAACCATATATTAGCCATCTTTAGAGAGAGAACCATAATTAAATTCTGATTAGCATTAAATTGGATCAGCCATGATCTTCAGATTTCCATCTAATTACTTTCTGAGAATGAACACAGTTGAATTGTGTCTGATGACTATTATGTTTTTTGGTTTATTATATTAAATAGGAAATAAATTCCAATCTTACTTCTAATTATTTAACAATAGCTAATTCTCAGGTTTTTCTTGAAACCTAAAGTTTGACCCTTCAAAGAAATGGACTCTCCCTTAATTTTGCTATAGCCAGATAAATTCAGTATCACTTAAGAATTTAATTTATCTACCGATATCTTGAACTGATTATTTCAGAACATCTTTAAATTTCCAGATGCCTTACTATTTCCCCCAAATCAATATATTTTAGTCTTCGCTACATGATATCATACATGTTTCAGAATCATTCATACTCAAACTTAATAGTTTATGTTGATGTTTAAATAAAGAGTATTCATAAACTAGGTTATTCTCCTTAAAATCTAGTTTCCAAATTACGATGGATTTATCCAGACTTCCAGTTATTAACTGAGTCTCATCGTGATTCACAATCATGCACCTCAGGCCAAATCTATGCTGTTTGAATTGCTTTGAAGACTTCCATCCAAAATTATAGTCCTATTACCAACATACAATTGAGCCATCTTCATTCCCACAACCTGAAATGAAGGAATTTGAATAATTACTAAAGAGTAGACATGATACATCATCGATATGCTTTTATAAAATAGATCCTAAGGTTAGGCGTCCTTTATTAAAATCCCAAACTTTAATATTTTTGCCACTTGTTGAAATCATGATCGAAGTATCCTTATTGAATTATATGGCATAACAGCAATCTTTTTGTATAATTTCAGTGTTAATCAATTTATGAAGAATAAAATCATTGGAAACAGATTACCTTTGGAGACCCTTTAAATTATTGGTTAATACGCCTTGAATGCAATTTGTAAGCTTCGACTTAAATTCTTTTCTCATTATGATAACTTAATCATTTCCTATTTCATGTATTTTTTCAATCAACTTATTTAAAGATCCTTCATTTATAAGCAAATCCAAATTCTGAACACTCTTAAAATATTCCCCATTCTGTTACGATATGCGATTTGTTAATTCTGATTCTAAGTGATGTATAGATTAGGATAGGCGTTGTCTTAATCTTATTAAGTTTGTTAATTGCTCTATTATTTCTGATTAGATTCCTTTGTTTTATTCTGAAGAATTAACTATCATTTCCTTAATATTAGTGAATTCCTAATCACAAATATTGTTTTGCTTCATCCTTTCTATTTTCTCAATTACAGTTCTGCATTGATTCTCAACATAGAGTTGTTGAATAGCATCTTCAATATTAACTTTCGATAATTAAAGAAGTGTCTAATAACAAGGATCAAATTTATTAAGACTATTAAATGGAGTGATTAGAGAATTCAAACCAGGTAAATATTACTAAGTGATGTTTAGAAACCGATAATTTACTTCATTTAAATCCTCATCATGAATATTACCCTAGTAGTTATTGAATGATTGGTCAAATCTCTGAATAAATTCTTTATTTTATTGTTATTATAAATTTTATAACCATTACAGTGCTTTGAGATTAGTTTATTCACAAACATCTTTAATTTCAACCTGTAATAACTTAAAGTATTAAATGAATGTATTTAAATGCAGAATGCTTTGTAGCAAAATTTAATTTGAATATTTTGATGTCTAATTATAATTCTTAGTAGCTTGAGCAAATGCAATGGATATGTTAATTAATTGAGTCTAATCTTAATGCTCATTCAAACATAGATGGCACAATAATCTTTACGTAGGGTTGATCGAAGGATCATTAATAATTTTAATTGCTTGAAGGTTGTGTTTACATAATAGGGCACTTTCTAATTCCATGATTAAAATGTTTATATATTTAATTGTTATCAAGGTAATTTTACATGTATAGAAATATCTTGCTTAACATATCGTTACCTTTGTTACAAGATAACTTAATGGATATTAATAAATAAATTAGAGCAAAATCTCATAAGTTTAAGGATAATCTAATTCATTACATAATATATCCATTATACCTATGATGTGAACTTAAAATACACTTAAGATAATTTAATATGGATTTTTGGTATTATAATAAAATTGATCATAATTCTATTAAGAAATAATGAAGTCTGTCATAATTCCTTTTAAAGATTTTGATGTTATCTGTTCGTACAATCACAAAATTCCTGCTGCTTATATACTGAAGTATGGAAAAGAAGAACCCACCTATATATGCAAAGATTGCTTATCTATTTACACACTACCCAAAAATGCCATAAATGTTGGCGAGGTTGTGGAAAAGTGTAGACAATAAAAGCAGAGGTATTGTAAATTAGTTGACCCATTATTCGAAGAATATAAAAAATGTATCCAACAACTATCGGTTAATCTCTTCGATTTCAAATCATAAATAGTATAATAGATAGATTAATCGATAACGACAACAAGGCTGTGGTTAGAAGAATTGGAAGTACTCTAATCGAAAGAGCTGATATTAGATTACAAGTATTAGTCATAATAATTTCATTTAAATTGCGAAGAGTATGAACTAAAAGAATTCATTCGAATTGAGTAGATGATACTCAAGTGCAACAAATCTTATTTTTTAAAATTAACCCAGTATTTAGAAGATTATGTCAATATAGATTAATTTTAGCCATGCTAACAAATAATAAATAATTGTTTAGATAATTCTAAATTAGATGGGTTTCTTTCTTAATAAAAAGAATTTGACGACAATCAAACCTATGCAATTTCAAAAAGTCCAAATAAATGGTTTCTTCAAGGGAACATCGATCCCATTTCGGATGATATTAAAAACCACTTAAAAAATTGGAGGACTTATAATTTGAACACTGAACTGATGAGATACTTCTACTTTGATATGAATAACAACCAATATTTCCTTTCACATTTGTTCCCAAATTTCTTTTAGAGTTAATTTTGTGAGTATAGTGTTAGATTAAATCCTCAGGAAAGAAATGAAATTATAAAAGATAAGACAGTAATTCCCATTCACTTAAATTTAGGTACTTAATTAAATTGAAGAGCATCTTTAAATGTTTCTTTGTTACTTGGGAGTGAAATTGGTTGGAGACTAAGTAGCATTGATTGATAAGAATCGATGGGAGGAATATCGGAAAGTCAAGAATAATAAGTCAGGCTTATAAAGAGTGATATCTTCTTTGAGTGTCTTAAATCAACGTAAAATTGCCTTGTAGCTCGTCGCTTTTACTAAAGAAATCAATTTCGAATATAAAGAGACGTTCATCAACTACGATCTTTTGAAAGAGGAAGGCAACACGAGCGAACAGGCGTTGACATTTTAGGATGCGAAAGGATATTACTTATAAGACGATTTGATGAAAAATAAATGGGCAACATTTACGATTCTGACGAATCAAAATTTAGATGAGTGAGATATTCCATTAAGTATATTGTATTTTTCTCCTGTGGTAATTATATACCAAAATATGACAGGGGAGATATTATATCAATATATATTTAGTTTTAATTATTTTTAATTATTATAATTTAATATTATCAACATGTTGCAGTAATATTTGAATATGGGATTCACTTAGTAATAGATTATCAAAGCATAACAGATTTGCAAGTAGAATCGAAACATAGAGATCTTGGATGTGCTTTTAAAGAAAATGTGTAGTCTCCAATTAAGGAGTAATCCCAATCCCAGATTTTGAGAGAATTGTCATTTGATGTTTTGACTCCTGATCAGCGGTTGCGATAAAAGGGAAAGCCTGTGGGATTGAAAAATCTGGCAAATGGTTTTTGTGATATCTATGTTAGTTTGCTATTTGAATTCTCTGATTCAGACTTATTTTCATAACCCAATCTTTGTGAAGGAGATACTGAGCTTTAAATACCCAGTGCAATTGAATTTTGAGGATCTCTTAAATAAGAACGAGGCAAAGGCAAAGCGGATAAAATCATCAATCGATTTGGTTGTGCATTTGTAGAGGTTTGCAAGAATTATAATTTTAGACTGTTTGCTTACTTAGTTCACACAGACAGAAAGTACGTGGATCCTTACAGAGTGTTCTTGAATGTAGTAGATGAATTTGGTAATAGGTTTTAATTGGGAGATTAGAAGGATTGGGCGGAGTTCAATTTATAATTTATAACATGCATCGATGAGGGATTGAAATATCACGAGAATAAAATAATGGATGCTGAAATTTAGAACAAAGATGAGAGTGGTGACATGCATGAATCAGATTAGTATTAGAATGAGAAAAATAAATCTGGCACTACTTTAACGAGATCGATGATATTATTAGATGAGAACAAGGCCAAATTGATAGAATAATAGCCATTGCAATCACAGCCTTAGAATTAGACAATAATCAATAGATTATTCTTTGGAAAAACCAAAGAGTATATTACACATCCCAATCAGAGAAATTAGAGTGAGGAACAAGAGTAAATATTTTTGTAGATTATATTGAATGTGAAGAATAGGAGTTTATATTAAGCTTGGGAGGCAAATAACTCTTTTTTGATAGAGGGTTATCGCAATGGAAGTGAAGTGATTGAGGTGGCCGAAAAAACCATTTGGATCACTTAGATTCCTGATTCCTTACTATTTCAAATACAAAGAGTGGGGTATGATCCAGAGAGAGGACTGATCAAAATGAATGATGAATTTCGATTTGAGAAGGAGATCTATGCTGATAGATTCCTTTTGGAGAACAGACAAAAGGTTATAGAAACGTAATAGCAATTAAATGAACTCAAAATTGAATAGGCCAAATTACTGTTTCAGATGGATAAGTATTAAAACTTAGGAGGCATTTCTATGCTAACCATCTTAAATACAGCTACTAAGTATGTTAAGGAGGTGAAACCAGATGATGAGATCATGCAATAAAGGATTGAGCAATGTAGATTAAGTATTCAAATGATTTTATAGAAATTTCAGTTTCAATTGGATGAAATTAATTAGAAGATTGAAGACTTGTATGCTATAATGAAAAAATATAAGTATTTTCTTTAAAGCATTTTAATACATGAAGGGGCGGCAGAGTCTGGCCATTATTATACTTATATTTATAATCCATTTTTGAAGCATTGGTTTAAGTTCAATGATATCAATGTAACTTAGGTGAGTGAGGAGAAGGTGTTGCGTGATGCCTATGGAGATGGAAAATCGAAAACAAATGCCTATTGTTTGATCTATTAACGTTCTGATCATTTTGAACCTCAATCTTATTCAGATTATACGAACAATTCCGTTTATGCTCAGTACATCCAATAGAATCTATATGAAGAGGTCACAAATGACAACAAAAAGTTTTCAATTGAATAAAAAGAATATGAACTTGTGGAATTAGGAGATTTGGTAGTTGAAATCTATAATGTGTAATTCCAATAAGTAAATGAAATGGCTAGGAAATTTAAAAATAGAAATGGTAATCCACTCAACAATTTTCCAACCTATTTGCGCACTCTGCTAGATCAGATGAATGATCTAGTCAAGTGGAGCATTTTGGATTATGCCATCAGAGAAGCATCTCAAGGCAAAAGGAATTTGAGAGATTACCAAGAATAATTGATCTTTCAATAAAGGTGTATATCTATTATATTGATCCTAGAATCAAATACAATTTTGAATAATTGAGTCAATTCAAAGTGCCATCCAAGTACGATATTGACAAGCAAACCATCAAACATCTTCAGTATTACTATCTGTAATATATATCATCACTCAGAATCACTGCAATACAATAGTTTCAGCATATTTGAATTATTTTTAATTATATTATAAAATGGTTTCAGCATATTCAGTTGGGAATGGCAAAAGATCCAATGAAGTTCAACAAGGACCTGACACCCCAGGACCTGGACAATACTCTGGAGACAAGAAACAAAAATACACTCCTCCCAGTTTCAAGTACCAATCCTCATTATAATAGGATTCCACAAGCACAAAGATAAACGTTTCAATCAAGTTTCACTCCAGGACCAGGAGCATATGCTTCTTCTGATGTATACTCTCTCTCTAACTTAGAACCTACTCAAAGGACCCAAGTTTTCATTTGCTGGCAAAAAACAATAATCGGTTACCTCCTTTTAACCTGGACCAGGGGCTTACAATCTAAAACCGACTAAACAAGCTCCTTTATACAGTTTCGGAGGCAAATATGGAAGCCATCCTGATGATTAACAACCAGGACCAGGAGAATACTAATTAAGCAAATAATTGGATGCTCCATCCATGAAGTAACACTAATCATCATTTTCTTAGATTTCCTCAATCCAAGAGAGATGATCCTCATTTGGAAAAAGTACCTGGACCAGGAAGTATCATTACTAATTTTATTAATTACAAGCCTACAAGCAAGAAAGATCGGAATCTGCTCCCAAGTACCGTTTTGGCAATGCCCAAAGAAGAGGACTCTATGACAACGAACTTGGAAAAGTGCCAGGACGTATGTTAACTCAGTATTTAATCATATAGCTGGATAATACAATTATTAGTCATAATTTGAGTCTATCCAACCTAAGGGTTTTACTTTAGTCTCTAGGAAAGAATAATCTTCATAATAACTTGTTGTCCCAGGGCCTGGAGCATATGATCCATAACCAGTTAAAAGACCTCCTTCCTGTAAGATTGGCAAGTCAATGAGAGGATTATAGTTTGCCAATCCTAATCCAGGACCAGGAGAATATGAACCTTAAATTGACACAGTTCGACCCTAATCAGCCATGGTCAGAGTAGGATCAGCCTCGAGGAGACCACTGAATGATGTTAAAGGAGTTCCTGGACCTGGAACTTATGATTTACCATCCAAAATGGTTGAAGGGCCATAAGTTAAAATATTGGGTCATAAATACGATCCTGTTTAGGCTCAAAAGGATTAGGTACCAGGACCTGGTTAATATGAACGTCCCATTATGTAAAGGCCATAATCAGCCAAGTAATTGTTAACTCAAACTATAATTTCAGAATTGGTACTTCCAGAAGACAAGATCTTAATTCCACTTTAGATGTTCCAGGACCTGGTCAATACAAAACTAAGGAAAAATTAGGAGGGCCTTCTTGGGGATTTGGAACAGGTAAACGACCACCTTTGAATCCTAAAAATGACACTCCTGGACCTGGTGGATACGACTAAGGAAATGAATTTGGGTCCGTACCAAAATATGCTATGAAGAAAATACCATGATCTTTATAGTAAATAAACTTACCTTCAAATTAATAGAAATTTTTTATATTTTCTTGCATCTAAAATTTCTGATTAAAATTCATTTATTTCATGAAACAGTTCTTTTGATTAGATAATTAGAAATTATAGCATATTTAAAATTATAAAATTAATAGACTCTAATACTTTGAAGTATTGAAAGTGTCAAATATTATTAAGATAATTAAATCATAAAAAAGATCATTAGGTAGAATATACCTAGATTATTTAACTAAATATCATTCACTAAAATCCAAAATTCATGAATTATAAAGATTTAATGATGCACTATAAATTTTCAACAATTATTTTTAATTAAAAGAGAATGACAATCAGTAAAAAGATTTAGGAATTTTTGTTGAAAATACCTACTGAAAAGTTTATTCAATTAATAGTTTAATAAAAATTGAAAATTTTATATGAATATTATAATATTCATCTAAAATTCCTTTTATATTTGGAAACTTAACTTAATTTTCAATAGTCTCATTTTTTTTACAATTAGAATAATATTATACACATGTGAGATAAAATCAACTATTTTGTGAACGATATTCAAAGTAATAATTAAACTAGTATTTTATAATTCGACATAATTATAATTATATAATCATTTTGCTCAAGTAATTAATTACAGAATAGATTCTCCGATTGCAAAAGTGTTTTCTTTTTAGTAACCCCCAGATAGCAGCATGAGGAATGGAATTTTTTTATGTTATGCCCATTTAAATACTACTTCATCTCTTCTTTTAATTCCTGCTGCAGAAATACAACAATGCCCAAGGGGATCTCCTGCCATGATATCTGTGCCTGCATTATAAATAAGGAATTCCATATCATCTTTGAGATGCGTTTCAAGATCTCTTTAAAGTGTTTTGATGTATTATTGATCTGAAGTATCCTTGTCTATGTGTTCGAAACAACTAATAGCTTATTCAGCTATATGATCCCCAGGATATATATACGAGTTATAAAAATCTATGATGTAAACTGAAGAGTCATTAAGGAAATCTCTTTCATAGCCATTGCCCTGATGAGCATCCAAGTCCACTATTACTATTTTCTTCAAATTGCAACATCTCTTAAGGTAGTTAACTACCAAAGTGATATCAGGATAAATACAAAATCTAATTGAATACTATGGTATACATACCCACCACCTCGATTTAAAGAGGCATGATGATAGCCTCCACTTAGATTGATTGCCCATCCCTTTTCAAGAGCTAGTTTGGCTGCTTAAATACTACCGCTTGTTGCAAGAAGCATTGAATCCAAGAGACAGGATCTCAAGAAGGCTCCTGGCAAGAAGAATACAGGCAATTCAATTAAGGTGGAAGCATATGCACTGTAACACATTTTGAGCAAGTACCACTTACTCATACCGAGGTAAAGGAAAGTTCCTCTGGATAGCATTTTTGGAGTAAAGTGCGAACCCTTTACCTATTGCCTAATTTGTCTATAGACATTCCCATATTTGCAGGAATCAAAGGGATGCCACTTTTCTATTCCGCACGCAGTGATATTATAACTCTCATCATATACGATAGGTATTTCAGGCATGTTTCTTATGCAGATTTCCTCTCTCACGCTTAGGAGATTATAGGAGAATTCCATTATGAAAGGGTAGATAAAATATAGGAACACTCCTAAAAGGCAGGCTGCTCCGTTGACATATACTCCTAATAGAATGGCTAGTACAAGAGATCCAATCGTGAAGAACCAATCTATAATTGTATATAGTTACATTTTAATAAAATAAATGAAAGAATCTAAACAAAAATATTTACATCAAACATTTGGAAAGGCTGATCGTTTCCCTAAACAGAAATACTGCTGCGAAACTTCAACCTTCTGTGAACTAATTCGAATAAAAAAAGACAGCGAACTCAGAGGACCCACTTTCCCCAAAGGCTAAAGAAAAATGTTCAATCAAAACTCGGAAACCCCAGGTCCTGGAAACTACAACATTTCTGTAGTAAGGGTTTTCAGAATTCCACCAGAACAACCCTACAAGGTGAACAAGGAGTTTTTAGATTACATGAATTCCAGACCTAAGTCCATTTAACACGTCTATCCAGGCCCGGGTGCGTATGAATTTAAGTCTACATTGAGTAAAAGGAAAATTTCATTTACAAGAGCAAGAATGGGGAGCTTTAGTGTGTCATAATCTCCTGGGCCTGGATAATATACTATTAGTAGGCCTGTTTCTAGAGTTTATTGATTTTAAATTTCATCATGAGTAAATTTACTGAATCATATAATCATGGGAGTACTTATTGTGATTTACTATATGTTTATGAATTTGTAGAAATCACTTGAATTTAATTTTATAATTTCTCAATTCAAGTAGACGAGTGGATCAATAAATCATAAATCATAGTTTAAATTAATTAATTATATTATATAATAATTTATAGAATTATTGATGTGAATCTTCAGTGAATTGTGTATCCAAAAGATTCAATTTGATCTATTAATAAATTATTAGTTGAGTAGAAAATGACAATTTTAATTAATATACAATTAAATATTTAATCACTTCTTAGATAAGTATTCGATCCATTTTTGTCTAATATTTTAAGCATAAATGGAAGGTAGATTACGACAAAGTGCTTATTGCAATAGATCTGCTTCTGCTAATTTGTCAGCTTCTTACAATGCCTTTTGGAGTACAAAGGTTCCGAATTTGTTTTTCATTAATTCCAAACAGATGATGTCTTAAGAAAGTTATTTGATGAACCTTTTTTGAGTTTTGGGAGATGTTTCAAGTATGCACTTTTCGACAACATTGGATGAATACTTATGGATGGATAGCTGTATGAGTTTAAGAAGTATTTTATCAATAATGGAAGCACATTTAAGATCTCCATAGACCTAATAAGATAACTGGGGAGATTCATTACGTCTATAACATGTTGGACTCCATAATTTCCAAAGGGATCTTAGATAATTTCATCTAAATGATCCCTGATTTTATTGATTATGACAGTGGATTTATCTAAATTGTTCTTAAATTTGGTGATGAGATCTTTCAACACACATAATCCAAATTGATGATTGACAACCTAAATGAATCTGTCCATCAATTTATTAAAGATGTTGTTGAGTCGATCTTCTGAGAAGCGTGCAATGATCTTTTTGATGAGATGAGTTCCTTGGCTGTCAAGAGTAAGTGAGATGATATTATTTTTGATGCTGTTCTCAACCATTTATTCCTCTTGTTTGCAGGAGATTAATGAAACTAGAGACTAGATGGCATGAGTTCCCTTCTTGTCACATGCAATATCAACAAGACGATTGCCAATCTAAATATAAATATCTATATGTATACAGTCTATAAGATATATAATCTTTAATGGGGAGCACAACTCTGACTGAGACTACCAAACATGTAATTGGCATAGGGATCAATCATTAAATCTGGTAGATGCGATCCTATTTCCTATAGCATTTGATCTAATTCCATTTGAGTGCAGGTTGTGAAGTGTTTCTAAATCAATCTGCTGCCATGTTGGGTTTTTACGAAGTTAACAACATTCCCTCTGATCTACTCCAGATTCTGTAAATCTTCAGTCCATTCCTCAATAGGTGTTTATGCTATGTCTTCAAGTTGGAGACTTTAAAAACGAGCTCTTGGTTGGATTGGACCTACTTGAGGAGTGAAGGTGTTCACTTTGGGTGAGAATAAGAAGGGATCAATGATTGGTGAGGATTTGGGGGATTGCTTTATTAAACTGGTGGTTAATTCAGTCGGGAGTGTGATTTGAAGCGATTTAATGGATAATTAAATTGATTCTTCTTCTAGTTACATTGAGATGCACACTCCATCGGATTCCAAGGAAATATATTCACCCACAGTTGCTTATTCTGAATTGTAATAAAATTCATAGGTGCGAGCAGCCTTACCCTCTTGCACAAGATTGGCATCTATAATGTAGAGTTCGATTTGAATGCGTCCTTGGAGGAAGGGGATGAGGTATTTGGGACGCTTGCCAAAGCACTCTCTGAGATTGGCATAATCTATTAGAATGGAGGTGGTTTTCTTTTATTTAAGCGTGGTGGAATGAGTGAGATGCAAGAATGGCATTTGGGCAATGGTGTGAAAGACTCGGAACTCTACGAAGGCTTTGATGTTGAGGTCGAGGAGGTCGTATTCTAGGGGAATGCGCTTTACAGATTTGGCCATTTGGATGCGTTGATGCAATAGGGCCAGAGAGGCTGGCTTTTGTTTACACATTAGGGCACATTGGGTATGGACATCGAAGTAGAGGGAGAGGTGATTTGAGTACAATTGCGTGTTGCCCAGATTCGCACAATCTGATAGCAGATGGGACATATGGAATTATCGTTTTGACTCTTTCCTATTATTTCATAATCTTCATCGACGACTAGGGGTTTATGTGGAGAATACTTAGGGATTCTTCTAGGGTGCTACTACACTTCCTGGAGTTGGAATCGTGAGGGATTTCGGTTTCTTTCTAGAGACACTTCGAAAATATCTCTTTGAATTCTGTGGGAACTGGTTCGTTCCAACCAAACAATGGATATAGATCATCTGACATGAAACTAGGCGCTCTCTCAAGTATTTTAAAATAATAAAATTGCCAATGCAAATAAGATTCTAAATTTAATTCCACTTAGTGGGGGTTGTAGGATTTAACTAATCTTTTGGTGGGGAGTATAGATGCCCCACTTTACCAATTAATTCATTCTTTTTTTAATCAACCAAAACATAGCGCGCTTCATTCCAGAATGGACATTTATTAAAATGAAAAATTGCACTCTGCTCAAACAACTCGAGATCAGCACCACCACTCACATCTTAGATCTCATTCACAAGACTTCATCCAAACATCATCTATCTGACTTATAGACTCAACAGATCTCACAGTATTACAAACAACCACCTTCCATAAACTCATTTCTAGAATTGTATTCCCTCAGCATGTTGCGTTGTGATTGTGTCAAATACCAACAAATCGTGGATGAAATCAATGATCAGATTCATGCCTTCTTCCAGACTCAGACCCCTTTAATCCAAAAGATAATGGCCTAAGAAAGGAAGTCCTAGCCAGAGCCAGAACCAATGCAGATTGAGGACGATGAAGATCAAAATAATATGAACAATCCAGATGATCCCATCTAGCAATAGCAATTACAATAAGAGGATCCACAACAACAACAACCATCCCAACAAACCAATGTCCCTTGTTCCCAACAACAACAGCCAGCCAACACCTAATAGACAACTCAACCATCCCAAAGTATAGAAGATGAAATTTGCATTCCCAATTCTGTTAAATTAAAGTACAGAAGAATAAATAACGGACCCTCTGAAAAAGAAGCCAAATGCGACAACTGTGTATGTCAAGGCAAACCACCATCAGAATCAGATAATTTAATACAATGCCTTTTATGCCTAAATTACTTGCATTTCAACTGTATTGCCAAATCCAAAGAATCCTTTGACAAGTGTTACAAAGATTTAGAATTTGTGTGTCCTCCATGTGTGCTCAAATACATGGATCATTTCAACAAAATATAGAGTGCCTTGGTTCCACCCTCTCCCTTCCAACAAATGGGCCAAATCAATCACAAGGCCTTCAATTTCGCCTGCGATAAAAGCATCATCAATATCAGATGTGTGAGACAAGAGAATAAGACCAATTGTGAAGAAATCACTTGGCCTGATATTGGAGAACTCTTCTTAAATCAAAAGAAAATCCAGGATTTCAAACCACTCATTAACAATCACAGTCTCAAAAAACGTAAGGATGATCACATCCTCACTACTGAAGTACTCCCATAGAATTGTTTGCAAATTAAAGAATGTATACCTACTCCTGATCAGAGGAGCCAATATAGAATCTCCTTGGGTCACTTGTATTTCCTGGGAGTATATTCAATAGAGTAATTCAATTCAAAGTAATTACTCGATAATGTCTTCAACAATAGTGAAAATTGGATGAACATCGAATAATGCCAGGATTTCATCTCTCTTTATCTGAACAAACATTAAGCTGATGATATTAAGGTAGATAGTCTCACTGTCCAATTGACATGTGCAATCACCTTCAATTTGATGAATACCCCAGTCAGAGGGTCTTTCTGTTAACACATCCAATGTTTTGGATTGGAAAACTACATTACAGCCATGTACTCCATGCAACCCAGAAAATGGAGATGTCCCCTATGTAAAAAGAAACTCTTCACTATTTAGGTTGATGCGTATCAATATGCGATCTTGAACACAATCAAAAAGTGTGATATCTAAGTGAATGAAATCACTTTCGACAACAATGGACAAATAGTCAATGAGAACATTCAAAAACTGCTCTGTTTAGACAATCTGCCCAACTATGCCATTAAGAATAACAACCGTATGATAAACTTAGAGATGCTGTCCAATGAAACCAACAACATCTTCTATAAGTTGTAGATAATCAAAAACAAGGAGTCTGTCAACCCACCCGTTTATTCAAACACCTTATAAAATGTAATTAATAATATGATGTTGTCGTCCAATCAACATCTCAGGAGCAATAGTTATGCGAACTTCTATGCCAATAATTATTACATAAATTAAATGAAGATACAATAATAAGCAAGAATGGAAGAACAACAAAAACTATAAACAAACAAATCTAAGATTGGACAAAATCATGACTCAGCCATTATTATAGAATGAGTATATCTATATTTTTTATTTAATCAAATTAATTTCCACTCAATCCTCTAAGAATGTGATGGCTGCTGCATAACTCACTGATGAATCCTTCTTGTCTCTCACCAAACAAGATTGTGCATATCTAATGAACTTAGTCTCCATCATATGCGTGTTCTAACTCATTGCTATGCACTTTCAACATAGATTATTTACAATTACATGTAATAATATGGCAATGCAATGTTTCCCACAAACATTGTTCTCATATTCTCTCAAATAATCATTGAACTTATCCAAATCATGTAACTCTATGTGTTCCATTGCCTTCTAATCTAATTTTTCAATGGATTCAAATATCTCTCCATCTGCACTGTTGTAATAAGTGTAAGCGAACTTAGTTCCCCAATGACAGAAGTCAGTTGATATAATAAATAGAGTATCATCCATATCGAAATATTCACTTAGCAATCTTCCATAATACTCTTCAGATTTAGCATCAATAGATCCAACCATTATTGGGATGATCGTAAAGTTATCAGTACCCAAAATATGAGCTAAGAATGGCAATTGCATTTCAATTGAGTGTTCTTCCTCCTCTGCATCCTTGTCTGATTATTCGAATAATCCTTGTTCATGCAATTGTTTTACAGCTAAATGTGATCACCAATTACTTACTTTCCAGATCTACTTTGATGTTCCCGAGAGGAGTTTCGTATATTTCTTATCTAGTTAAACAACATTAAGTTATGTAAACATAATGACAGGGACCAAGGATGAACACCTTCAATTTTTCAGAAGGAGGGTACTTCTTCAAGTATTTGTAACTGAATGCTGCAGTTGGACCAGAGTAGGCATAACCTGCATGGCTTAATTTAATGAGAAATGCATTACGGAACAACCAAGGCTTTCAATTAGGCTACTGTGGTCACTTCTGCCTTTGCCTACTCTAACCAACAATTAATCTGTATCTTTAATTCATTGCTCTTGCTTGAATACCAGGATCCTGCATGTACAGCCTCCCTCACATTGTATTTATTATTTAGCATATGCACATATGGGATTTGCTATAATTATTCCTCTGTCTTATTCCCTTATTGTAAAACTTCACTCTTTTGTTGTTGTTCCTCCTCCTTCTATTGTAACTCTTACGATTCTTCTTCTGATTGTTCAGACATAATTAATAATTACCAATATGTCCAAAGAATAAGAATTACAAACCAAAATTAAAAGCCTCGAAGATGACATTCAAAATAGACATAGACAAATAGTATCACTTACTGATAAAGTAGAAGAATTGCAACGATCCATCTAAAACAATTCAGAAGTAGACATCGAATCATAATTGCTTAGGTAGTGGAACTTGGAGAGAAGGTGAGAATGCTTGAATCTCAAAACCTTAAACTCATAGAAAAGAATCAAAGTGATGTTGTGGAATGGCGATCGAAAGAAAGAGATTTCAATGTACATCTTAATCCTATTCAAGAATCAAATCCAAGCACTCCAACGCAAATTGAATGAAGTCGAAGTTCAACTGACTGAGGCTAAGGATCTCAATTAACAACTCATTGCTAAGTCTGGAGAAAACAGCAATTCTGAATCGCAGTTACAATAAATCACCTAGCATTATGAACATCTTCTCAGCGAAAAAGATGCTTAACTCAAAGAGAGAGATACTAAGATCTACAATCACGAATAAATGATTCCACAATTGCAGAAAGACTTAGAAGAAAGAGATTAATCAATCAAATCATTGAATGAACAATTAAAAAGCCAAAAATAGCAATTGTCTCTATTGACTCAATAGAATGGCAATCTTAACACTCTTACTACTGAACTCAATAATTTAAAACTACTAAAAGACAATTTGCTGAATGATAATTAAACACTCAACTCTTAACTCCTATAACTAAACACTACCAACGCTGACTTATTAAATACACTCAAACTTACAGAAGATCAAAACAAAGCCAATTCTAAGCAAATCCTTGATCTTTAGAATGAATTGAAGGATTCACAAAAATAATACAAAGAAGAAATGACTAAAATTATGCAAATTCTTGAAAAAACCAAAGAAAAAGTATTTGTTTTATTTAACTATTTATTAAGTCTGCTCACGAGTAAGAACTATTTAAAAACAGATTACTTGAAAAGGATGATATTTTGAATGAAGCCAAAAAATAATTCGAATAAACTACTAAATAATTTGAAAAGTATTTACTCATTGTATTTATATCAAAGGGAAAATGCTGCTCTTACTACTTAACTATCATAAGCGAACAAGACTCTCAAAGAATAGTCTAAGAAAATCTCTGATCTTGAACTTAAAATCAGAGACTTAGAATCCAAATTGCAAGAAAGCAATAGACAATACATCAAATCCCTAGAGCATTCTAAACAATTAGACATCGAAGTAACAGTATACCTTATTATCTTTAGCTCAAAAAATCTATTCAAGCATCCTCAAAATATTAGGAATAATTAATATTCAAAGATGAAGAATTATAAAAATCTAAATAGCTTTAACTAAGAATTCTTTAAGATAATTCTGACTTAAAGGTGAAATTAGAGTCTTTGTTGTAAATGAATTCTAAAAGCAAGTCAAATGAATTATAGAATCTCAAAAATCAGATCCTAGAGAAAGATTAAGAAATCGAATTACTAAAGTAGTAATAGAAATCCTTGGCAACCCAATTGAAGACTAGTTAAGGATATGCAACTAGATTCAAACAAAGAAATAAGCAATTAGAAATGGAAAATACAGAACTATTGAAATCTAAGAACAATTTAGAAACTCTGTTCTAAGAAATACTTGATCAAACCAAATAAAAATCAAATGTAAAGAATTTATCAGCTTTATCGAATAATCCAACTAAATATTAAATGAGTTTACTCACATAAAGAAAGAATTATATGCAAGAAAACACCTCAACTCATTCACAAGAAAACAGATCGTCAAGTCAAAAATCCAATAACACCACTCCCAATTAAGTGGCTAAAACAGGAGATGTGTCCTTTAAACGAGCCATCCTAGTGAGTGGATCGAAAAAAACTACTCATTCAGCTTCTTAAGAAAATATTAATTCTAAATAATCTAATAAAGCACTCAATGAAATACAAGAACTTGATGAAAGCTAATAATAAAATAAACCGCAATCTTCACAGGGCCATTAAGAGTAGTAAATACTGCAAGGCTAACAGAAAAGTGTATAATAACAACAGGAGCACAAAGAAGATCAAATATATGAAGACTAAGAAAACAATGAAGAAGTTGCAGATTTCATTGATGACGACAATGATCTTAATTGACATCTATTTAATTGATAAAGTATTATAGAAAACATCCTCTACTATGTTCCTATTACAAATAATTGTCTAACATCAATTTTAAATATAATATTATACTTATCTAATGTTAATTGATAAATTATTAAACAAGATTTTTCGAATAAACCCAAGATATGATTAGAACAGAACTAAAGGTTTTTGCTGTAAATATTAGAGATGAAATCTAAGTATGTTAGATGCCTAGAATTGTATACCAAGGATTCCAAATAAAGTTTTATATAAATAAGATTGAATTATAAATATAGGTATTCATTTATTTTATTTTCACTCATTCAGCTAGTCTAGTATAATTAAGGCTTGCCCATAATTTCTTTAAATTCTTTCATAGCTTCCTCGTCCAATTTACCATCGCAATATAATAAACTAATAATATCATGTTCAGTAAGATTAATTGCTTTTTTCATTGTATATTTTTTGAATTTCATTTTTACAATTCCTTCTAATAATTGCAATATTGTGTGATGAATTGAAATCTTATCTAATTATTTTTCTAGATTTTAAAGTAATTCTAGAGCAATTTATAAGAAATTATATTTTTTGTATTTTCTTGGACAGTTATTGTTCGTTAATTTAACACCTTCGACATCAAGAGAATTTATTAAACCCAAATAATTGTTATATTTTTAAAAGTCTAGAAGATTAATCCAACTGATAGACTATTATTTATGCCATTCTTTTAATTTTATCGTAAAAATTTCCTAGGATTATAATATTTTTAATGAAAAAGCAATAATATTGAAAATATTGGTATTGAAAAAATCTTCTCTCGTATAAAAAAAATCTTTCTAAAAAAACTAATAATACTCCTCTTCTTTGTATTCCATGCCTTTCTTAACTTCATCAATTACTTCTTAGATTTTAAGTGCATATTTATTGATTTTCTAAAAGTGTTTATACTTTAAAAAACATCTTAATAATCTCAAAACTATTATTGCCCTATCCCATTAAAGTTCTTTAATGTTCCTCAAATTATTTTTTCCTTTCATTTTGCTAATTCTTTTACTTATTAATTTTTTATTCACTACATAAACTTTCTATATCTAGGGAGGATCACCTTGATGGGTTTAATCACTATAATTAGGTTTTCCATAATTTTTAATTTCTTCTGTTGGATTTTAATCAAATTGAGAATTGACACCATCTGAAATTGAATAGTTAGTTATTGAACTTGATTCTTAAATTTTTGATTAATCATATAAATCCGAAGATTTGTCGTGATCATTTTTGATTTTTTCCATAATATTATCAGAATTTTATATCTCTACACACTTTTTTTTCTAAACTAATTCTTTACCCTCCTCATCATCCACTACTAAAATTTCCAACTCATTCACAACTTCATCCTTATTCACATCTTCATACTCATCATCCACGTCTTCATTCATCTTATATACCTTATCAATAATCTTCTGCATTTTTCCCTTAATTTTCTCTTCCATTTCAAATTTAGAAAGTATTTTAGGCTATTTTTTTGGGTATATTTTTTGTGCTAATTTTTTCATAAAAATTAATATTAATAAAATCTATTATTACAATTTTTTTTCCAATTTGTTTTGGGCAACAAAATTATATATATATACTGAACTATTTTATAATTCATTTTGTAACAACAACAGAAAAAGCCATTTCTTTTTCTTCTAACAACTCTTTCAAAGTTTTGTCAATCATCGACTATTGGAATTGATCCCATTTCAAACCTTCAACAACTTTGACGTTTCCATCTTTGCAAATGCATGGGAATGAAAAACAAACTTATTCTTTGATTCCATATAACTTTCCATCTGTAACGACTCCCATGGAAACAAATGTCCTGTATAAAATAGATGAATTACCCATTATCAGTTCCAATGAGCCAATCATGAATATGATCACAAACAGCACTTGCAGCAGATGCAGCTGAGGATGCCTTTCTCTTTTCAATAATGGCTCCACCTCTCTTGGCCACCTATTCAACGAATGCCTTTTAGAGCCAAGCATCATCAGCCACAAGTCCTCGAACACTAAAATAGTGGAGTAGATTAATACGTTTATGAAATTCCATTCTATTACACAGTTGCTTGACTGACATCAGCAAATTGAGTAGTGCTATGATTACCCCAGATGATAATGTTTCTAACATCCTCAACATTGGCACTGACCCTTTAGGCAATGATGGATTGAGCTCTATTTTAATCTAGACGAGTGAGTGCTGTGAAGTTAGATTTTGGTATGCTTGGTGCAAATTAAGCCGTAATTAAGGCATTGGTATTTGCAGGATTTCCTACAACCAAAACCTTAACATTTTTGCTAGCGTATTTTTCTAATGCCTCTCCTTACTCCTTGAAGATACGAGCATTAGCAGCTAACAAGTCCTTTCTTTCCATGCCTGGTCCTCTTGGTTTTGCACCAACCAAGATAGCAATTTCACAACCCATGAAGCCTTAATCATATTGGGTTGTTCCTCTGATTTCCTTCAAGATGGGGAAAGCACAGTCTCTGAGTTCCATCATTGTGCCTTCCAATTGATCCTTGGCCATGGGCAATTCAAGGAGAGTTAAAATGATTTATTAATTTGGTCCAAGAAGTCTACCTTAACCAATCATATGGACAAGTGCATATCCAATATTTCCAGCAGCGCCTGTGACAGTAACTCTAACTGGAGGAGTGGTTATATTGGAAGCTTTGAAATGTCTTGAGAGATGTTGAAGACGTCTGGTTGTAGCTGATGAGTCCATATTAGATATTAATATTAAATAATACGTATGATAATCCACTCAATTAAATATTATTCTTTTCCAACCAATAATTACCTCATCCTTGTCCCAGGATTAGTTAAATTGATCTTCAAAACTAAATAATAGTTAAACTGCAATCCATACCCGACTCTAATATAGGTAACAAAGTAGTTGCCATCTTTGCATTCCACCTTGACTCTCCTGGAATACGATTCTGCAATCCAACCTGCATCCTCATAATTTTGTTCAGCCAAATCAATGTATCCATCTCCCACTCCAACAACTACAGCAACATGACCCCAAGGTTGATGTTCACTTTATGGTGCTAATAGCAAATCACCAAATTTTGGTGGTCTAACATATGAATTCAATATATACTCAGGTCCACCTTGTTTGAATCCTACCAATGGAAATGTGCCTGCTTCTTTTGTCAAATCTTCAACAGTTTCCAAGTCCCAAATGTCAGGTGCTTTTTAAATATCTGTAAACATGGTTTTATAATTCAACACAAAAAATCTTCTAGCAAATTCAACACATTGATATCTATTTTTAAATATATAGTTTACTTGTAGCCCATAAAAATATCACACCTCAATCCAGATTCTTCTTTCTTATAATGAACTTCATAGAGGTGAACTTTCGTTATATCATAATTGGGTTCACAATTCGAATACCCAATGACACCACCATGTGCTACACCGATCTAAGAACCCCAGGGAGGATGTTATTTATTCATTGGTCTAAATAGATATTCTATTTTCTTAAAATATTTATACATTATTAAACAATTAGATTTCGATTAGAATTCACCATCAATCGATGTAGAATTTAAAAATACCTATAACCCACCAATAAAAGATTATGTTTGTTGAGTGATGTAAATAATAATAATTTATTTAAAACTCTTATTGAATTTACTGTTCATGCTAAAATAATTCAAGAGATGTAGTTTTAGATCTAAATCACTGCCAAGAGGGATTCCCTTACTTGTTCATAAGTTTATAAATACTCGAGTGCGCTATGTTCGTAGAAATGCAATCAAGACTTATGCATCTGGACCTTTAGAAACTCCAACAACCATTGCCCGTCGAAAATCTTGTGAGGGAGATGAGTTTGGCTACTTTCGATCCAGTAAGGAATGGATGCAGTTAGTTAAAATTGATAATCCACAACATCGGAATTAGAATTTAGCCAGAATCGTATTTTTAAGACTCAAACACGGGAATTCACCAAGTCAATCTAAGCGCGTTCTTTCTTTAAAAAAGTGTATGAATATTAGATTGATGTGATTAGGCTTCAAAGACCAAGTAAATTTGCTCCGTATATTATCAACTTTTAAACCAAAAGTAACAGTTTAATAAATTGATCTTGTTAACCAATCAAAGAAGATTAATATGCCTCTTTTGCCATCTCCCAAGGCTAAAGTGCATACTAAATTATTCCCCTTCAATAAGTCAATTACCATCGATCAACCTCTTTTTCCAAAAAAGATGCATAGAAATTGGAGCCAATTGGATATTATGTCACCTTAAAAGGCAATAACATAACCAACTTCCAATTATGTGAGTCCAAGGAAGTTCAAAAAATCAATAATGAACATATACGGAATTTCAAATACTATGCACCTCATAAAGTACTGATTTAATTTCAATAACAAAATATAATTATCAAATTGATATATAAATCACAAAAATCGTTACTAAATAGCCTAAAAGCATACTAAAATCATCCCTTATTTGACTATCATAATAATGTCCTTTTAAATGTAATAAAGTTAATCACTTCAGTTATCTCTTTCTTTGCATGATTTCCTTTTTAATTTCTATAATAGAAATGGAGAATTTATTATTAAGATAGTGGAAAGGAAATATTTAAAATATTTCATCCTCCAATTAGTTACAATCCCCATATAAATGCTGAATCTAAGGATAATTGAGATCCAAGAATTTTATGATAATTTATACATCTGATATTAGGCGTTTTAATCTTTAAAAGTTTTGAAATTGTAGTCATTAAAATTCTTCTATCATTTGATATCAGATATCTATATGATATTTGTTAGGTAAACAAAGAGAATCCGGAACTTACTCACAATAGCAATTTTGAAAGGATAGATAAAATATCAATTTGAAGTTACCTATTAAATGCTCAGAAGGCTAAGAAAGATATATTTAGAACTATGTATTTAAGATAAGGAAATAGAGAAACTATTAGAGTAATTTTTTACAATTTCATTAATAAAAAGTGTGATCAATGATAGATTTTATCCCTTGACCACATTAGGATCAGATTGATCTGAGATTTCTTGTGAGGGTATATCATTTGGAAATTTGAATTTTTAAAATATCTAAGAAATAATAGTAAGAGGATTATTGATATAAAATAAGAAAAATAAAATGAAAATTGTGCATAATATCATAGATATATTATTAATTCATGTGTTTTCAATTGACAAATTTATAGTATATAATGAGAATATTTCCAATTGTTAATATGCAAACCAAAGTCATCAATATCCCTTTATTGTATTATTCCCTATTCTTAATCATAGTTGCATGCCTCTAAGTCATTTTCACTCCACTCTAGATCTCTTTGGTCTAAATTAGTAACGATATTATTACATCTTCAATGGCTCTTAGTAGTTTCTCCTTCTAACTACGAAGATTATCAAGAATGCTGATTTAAGTGTCTTCTGCTTCAAGTAATCTGGAATCCAGATTATTTAATTGCTTAACTTATGTGTGCAAATCAGAATTCAAGCCGCTGATCTAAGAGGGCTGTGTTTTAGTAACAACTTTGCTAAAGTGGGATTGAGGTTGCTTATCGATATCTAATTGTAAATCTCTCAACTTCTTTTGGCATTCTGTGTAAAGCATCTTATCTTATTTAAACTTTTATGCAAATTCCTGTTTATTCTACTCATTAAAGGAACTGTATTCAATTTCCATGAATTTGAACTATATAAGACGTTGATTATATCGATTACTTGTTATTCTGCTTAAACATGAATAAGTTTCATCTTCTCCAAAGTGAGTTGTTTACTTTGAGTCAGGGAGTATTGTTTATAGAGGTTGTTAAATTCATCCACTTTTTTATTGAAGTTAATATCATTCTATTGAAACATGTTTGAAGCCATTAATTTAATTAATAATATTTTATAGTATATCAACAGTATATTCCCTAGAGATCAACACTCAAATCAATCCCAATTCAACACTTTGCTAATGAGTACTCTGTTCTACATAAATCTCACATACATTCCAGTCTTATTTGAGGCCTTTTCTAAAGTCATTAGTCTTAATAATTATAATATCAGCTTTCAATAATTACTCCTTTTAATTTTTGAGGTCTTCCATCATGTCATGCTGCTATCCAACTGTATTGATTAATGTTTGAATGAATTTCTCTAATTCATAAATTGTGTTTATAATTGAAATTTATTGTTTTATATTTTCTTCAAGTGTCTGTAATGAATAATGGCTGAGGCTATCCAACAGTTTTCGATGATTGAATGGTGTTCAAATTCTTTTTGGCTATTGAAAATTGATTATATGTCACTTCGTTTTGTATCTTAATTTGGCCTTCAAAGTTGATTCACACATTTTGAATTCATATTAAATAGACAGTTTATTAAATGATATATGAAGCAAGAGAATATTTTTGATAGGCCTTGTTAAATTTCATTTAGAAGTCACTCTCATATTTTTATCCATCATTTGAGATATTATTATTAATAAATAAATAACATAAACAATTCAAAGATTCTTTGAGATTCTCATTGTCTTCTATCTTTTCAAACTCACTTTCATGCGAGATTGCTTCTCTTAATTTAATTAATTAGTATCCTCATCTAAAAAGATAAATGAGCTCTACTCTAGAATTGAACTTACAAATCGTTCAACATCTGAATGAATGAAGAATTAGTTTTTCAATTACATAGCAAATATGTCATTGTTCAATTTGAAGATTCTCTATCTCAAAGTAACAATATCGACAGTGTCTCTAACAAATCTCATTTGCAATTTGACAGCCTTCAATTCCAATCTATATTTTTTGATTTCCCTTTATTCCCTAATGTGAGATCGATAACGATCCCTCATCAACAAAGTGATGAACTAATTCTAAAAGTAAGTTTGATATCCCTTTTCATAGAGATACTTGATCCAAGTGATGAATCTCTTATCCATTTTTTATAGAGATGGAACAGTGTGTATCTTCAAAGTGTATTAATCCCATTTTTGAATCATCTTAGCCTTGTAGTCTCTCACATTCCTTACAAATTGATTGAGATTCACCTTGATCAACTATAACTTGCCACATGCTATCATTGCTTTCTTCTTGAACATAAACAATGAGGCTCTCCACTTCAACAAAGGCAATACAGAACCCAAAGAATTGTGGATGAATCTCCTCCTTGCCTACTTACAATACATCATCAGAGACAACACAGTATCTCCAATCACTCGATGTTGAATGTCTCCTCTCTCTCTCTATCGATTCTCCCTGAATGTCTTGATTCTCAACTACAAACCTATTACCATCATCTTATTCTTCATCAATTGCTTTCTTCTCTACTATAACAAAGTGTTCAATGTGTCTATAAGCTTGATGTAATAGAGTAATTCAAACCAAAGATATTTTTATTCTCTTCTCCTCTCTCTGTTTCGTAAGGCTGATGTTATCAATTTATATTAGTCATGTGCCCATTCCTTGGCCTTAAATTCAAGGTTCTTTATTTAGTTTGCTTCCAATACGGACTTCTTTTGCAGATTTCTTGTTTTCAATATCTGCAAAAAACGATCTGATCGACTAACCTCCATCTCGAACTTGTTCACCTTCCTAAATGCTAGAACCTTATTCTAATTCACTATGAATTAAGGTGTCTTTGGTATCTCGTCACTAATTGGAATTCTTTCATGATTACTAGTCATACGAACCAATTTGCGGAAAGAATCTGCTTATCCAAAATGAACCATAAACTTCATCTCTGTTTATTTTCTAGCAACTACTGCCAAATGTAATTTATCTTCCCCATTATGTCTCACTGCCCATTGTCTACTTCGAATAACTTAATCACAATTGAATTTTGTTGGAAAAGGTGAATTAAAGGAAATCATTATCTAAAACTCCCCGTCACAAAACATAGTACAATTCAGAGGAGATTTCTACCCTCTGGTCCCAATATTACAATAATAAAACTCCATCGGAGCTACTTTATAAACCTTGCCTGAGATTATAGTGCCACCCAATTAACACTCACATTAAACACTTGGCTCTGTTGTCATTTACTTGACTACCTACCTAACATTCTTAAACTCCTCCACGCTCTCCAATATATTCCAAGTTCTCTAAAATCTTTCAGTTGTTTCTTCCAGGATCCTCGATTGATCCATCACTCCAGAACCACAGGTCTATGATCTAAAGTGAGAAATCGATGGAGAACTTAGCTAATGACTTGGACTTAATATTGATTTTTTCATTTTAGCAAAACCGTATTTATATTATTATATAATCATTCTTATTAATAGTTATAATGTTTATTATATCTTCTTATTGATGTTTTTAATTCATTATCCAAACCAAACCAAATCTAATTTATTTATTAAAAAATTTAGTATTATTATCATTATTTCAAAATTCTGTAAGTTTAGCGTTGAATTCGATTAAATTCTTTAATTAAGATTTTAATTTAATTATAAATGAATTCTTAAGCTATGTGACCCAAAGTGATTTGAATGTTCTAAATTATGAAATAAGGGATAACGAGCAAATGTACATCTGTTATTGATGTAGACTTCCTGAATAGATAGAACAATTGGATAATGGAAAAATTGTTAATTTGGATGCACTTATTTATTTATATTTAAATAATCGTTTCAAGGTCCAGAGTTTTACCAATTTGTTTCCAGTCATTTAGTTAGGTCTTTGATCTCCTGTGTGACCACCATTGAGCATGTGAGTCAAGATTTCTTTAGTATACTAAAATGATGTTATTTAATAAGATTACCTTAAGTCTTTTGGCCATTTCTGTATTTTAACTATCAAGAGCAGTGGCTAAAGGATAATGGCTTCTTTCTCCATTTTTGTTTACATAAGTGACCATCTTATGTTCTGATGATAATATGATTTCAGTCTTATCAGTGAAATTAACCTAAAAATGAGAATAATTGAATACTTAGACAATTTTATTGGATAATCTAAACATGATAGCATGTTTTGTTTTCATCCATTTTTTAACATAGACTACTTATTTACTGTCATATTCTTCTACTGCCATATCGGATCTGTTTTATTCGCCTTCAAGATAGTTTCTGAAATGTTGAAGTAAAGTGACTTTCTTTTATAGTTCTCTGGGATAATCATTTAAATTATGGGATTCACAAATATCCTGTCTGTCAGTTCCTTTTCTTTCCATGTATTCAAATTGTAGTGATTTAGTATCTAGTATAATTTTAGTAGAATCATTGAAGAACACTCCTGTGGCACTATTGCTTAAGAGATATCCCAATCCATATTTGCTGGAATAGTCTACCCACTTTTTAACGTAAATCTCTTATTTTTATTGTGGTGCTCTTTAGCCAAGATTATTAACAGAATGAGTTCCTTGCATTCCAGTACCACCAAAAGGAGTAGTAAGAGTCTTTTGACTTTGACTACTTCTGATGTCATTGGGTTTCTGGGATTGAGGTCTTTGAGCTCCTCCATAACCGGCATTCTGAGCATTATTTAACCCGCTGGAACCAAAGTTATCTTCTAAAATATTTCCACTAGAACTGGGTTTCTACACTAGGAGAATAATGCTTGATGAATACATGGGAAACGATCAGAAGAACCATTGCCAGGTCGTTATTGATTTTTCTAATTGTTTGGGGTGGTTTCAGTCAATCTTTGAGGCATGGCATTTACTGACATTTTTAGACTGCTTGAATTTGTGGATGGTTAGAATTGTTTATTGTAGGATGCTGAAGGAGGACAAGCAAGAGTAGAAAGTGGAAGAGTCTTTGGAATAGAGCCACCTGTATTCATGAATGGATGAGACATGATTTCATCTAAAGTTGGTCGTTTCACTGGATCTAAATTCAGAATTCTAGTAATGAGATTCTTGGCTGCATCAGAGATGAGAACGTGTTCTGGAAAAGTGTATGAATTCAATCTGATTTTCCTATAGGTGGTTTTGACATCTGGTGTTTCAAAGGGAGGTTTTCCAATAAGCATTGCATAGATTATAACTCCCAAAGACCAGACATCAACTTCGAAAGAGTGACCAACCTTTCCATCCAAGACTTCTGGGGCAATGTAATTGGGTGTTCCACAAATAGTTCTTTTTTTCTCTCCTTCGAATTCCAATTTAGTTGCCAAACCGAAATCGCCCAGCTTCAATTCCATAGATTTGTTGAGGAATAGATTTCCTAATTTGAGACTTAAAATATTAATGAGGATACTCTCTATGAATCACATTAGTGGCATGTAAGTATTTGAGTGCGTTAATTATCTATGCAACGTAACATTACACCTCTATTTCTGTTAGTCTTTTGCGTCGTTTTATTAATTCATTTAGAGTCTTATTTAAATGGATAATAGTTACTTGATTAGAACACAACTCCAAAAGAATGTATACATTTTCGTGATCCTCGAATACGTGCTCGAATTGTACGATATTAGTATTTTGCAAACTTTTGTGTATTTTAATTTCAGAAATAAGCTAATTCATAACATCAAACAATTACCTTTTAACGAGCTCTATTCTTAGTTAAACTGCTTTTAGCTATTATCTTGGCTGCCAACACTTTCTTTGTCTCTAAATTTGTTGCCTCGTAACACTTAGCAAAACCACCCTTTCCTAAAAACTTGCCTCTCTAGTATCTTTTTATTGCCACTTCTCCATTAACTTTAGTGATTTTTTCTTCAAAGATCACCACCTACTCCGAACTTTATTTACAACTAAATTTTACCCTTCTGCTGTGTTCTTCTCGTCCATTATTTTAAACTATTTAAATTATTATCTGATTTTTATATATTATGGATATACCTATATACCCCGATTCTATCTTTAATATTAAGAGACATTACAACTGCGATAAAAATAAGAAAAAGGCCAATCCTCAAGAAAGTGATGATGAAACCATCCAAAAGCAAATCAAATATTTATACAATGATCTCTAGACGTGTTTGAAAAGAGAATCCAGAAAAATTAAAAAAAAGTGAACTATAAATCTATAATTATTTTAAATGCATTAATATCAAGAAGCTTTACTTAAAAATACATGTATCCTTCCATTTTTAATTAGTGAGAGGAGAGGACATTATAGTCAATCTCTAAATTTACAATTCAACTGCTCAATAGGATAGATAGCAATTTCTTAAAGCATTACAAGAATTAGCAAATGAGAAAAATGTCAAAATTGATGAACAAACCCGTATTCTGCAACTTCGATTACCAGGCACCACAACCATAGCCAATATTAAGTCAGATTTAGAAAAATATTGCAATCAAAAAATTGTAATCAAATATTTTGATTATCCTAGATATTGATGTGCGAATCGATGGTCCCAAATCCCCTAGATGTCATTGGAGATATCAAGTGTACAACTCAAAAACAAGAGGTTCACTTATAATTGTGTTCTTAAGTAATTGCAGGATGATGATGATTTATAATTCACAATAATTTATTTACAACTATTTTCAATTATTTCTATTTTTTGTTCCATTTAGCTGAAGGATGCTCATCATCCACTTAACATCCAAAATCTAACTCTATCTTCTCATCCATTATAGTTGTTAACTTCAATCCATGACTCGAAATGTTAAGATCAATGTCCTAAAAGTTTTCCACATTAACATTTATAGTTATTAATATTTTATCCTTCTAATGGACAACCTGATATTTCTCCACCTCATTCTTAGTATCAATTTCCTCAATTAAAACTTTATTTGGTGCTTTTTTTTGACTCTAATTTTGAGCATTTAATATTAAATCATTAAGAGAATCATTCTATCTAGTGAAACTGAGATTCTATTAAATGTTTTCCCTTGGATTCTAAACCTAAGGAGTCTTCCTTCCTTCTTTATCAGCCTACGGTTCTAAGAGTATTTTAAGTGGCTTCTTAGGTCCACAATATTTGTATGGTTTGCTGATTATCTTAAGAGAAGGAATTTCAAATTTATAGAATGCTTTAAAGTAAACAAACTTAACAGGATTTTTGTCTAATTCTATCCTTTTCTATACTGTATCAATTATAATTGACTATAGAATTTGACGATTGATCTAAAACATTAATTGATAGTCTTACTTTTTTAAAAACATCTGTATTAATAACAATATCATAATAGTATACTTAGGTATTGAATGAAGTTGACTTACCAATTTGGACATCAGAAATAGAAAGAGGAATTAAATTATATTATGCTGGATTGTCTGTTGGAGTATCATTTTTATCGAATGCTCCCAATACTCGATCATGATGGAGTAGATTGATATAAAATTTGGTTCTTTTTTCTAATTTATCAAATTGGAAATTTTCTTATTTGATTTCGTTTTATTTCAATAATAGCTTGCTTTCCAATTCATTGATGGATTATTTAAGGAGATTGCCCCAAATTTTCATGGAATAAGCAAATTGAGGTGCAATAGATAATTCTTCTATTTTTTGCTGTTTCTCAATTTTCATCTCTTCCATTCCTGCTTGAATGTTTTTCTCAACAAATTATTTATATGCTTAGGGATCGGAGACAGCCATATCATCAAGCATCTTCCAAATATGTTGAGCTTGTGATTAATCCATTTATTAATATTATTATAAATGGTTGATCACATCTCGAAACAATATAAAACAATTACAATCTGTCATCCAAACTATGCACCATTTTAGGTTATGATTAATGAATATTCGACCATTAAGGAGATCTCAAGACAGATGCGTTTGGCATGGCGAATAAGTCCAAAAGAGTTGCGATTATTTAATGCTAGTGGAATTGAAATATTTTAAGAAGATCTTAGATTTTAACCCAAGCAATCAAAATTATGGGCAACTTTGAATGGGTAGGAACTTGATTAGAACATCATCTTTCAAGAATACACAATTTTAGATTAAATTGGATAAGGAGGACAAGGTGTTGTGATGTTAGGATAGCACAAGGAGACAAAAGTATATGTAGCAATTAAGATAATAAAAGGAGATGGATTCAATGCGGATGAAATAGATCTATTGTTTAGGGAATCACAAATACTCAAATAATTGAGTCATAGGAACATTGTTCATTTGATTCAAAATATAATGTTAAATCATGAATGCATATTGGTAATGGAACATCTCTAAGGAGGATCTCTCTTGGATTTGGTGAGAAGGAAAGGACATCTGGATGAGATTGAAGCTAGGATCTACATGAAATAGATATTAGAGGGGATTGAGTATTGCCATAAGAAAAATTTGATCCACAGGGATTTGAAATTAGAGAATATCTTGCTTGTCTCTCCCAATAGTACATAAGTAAATATACTATGCATTATAGATAGATAAAAATAGTAGATTTTGGAATTGCATGTTGTGGTAAGGATCGAATTCGCATGGGCACTTTGCCATACATGTCTCCTGAATTGATATCTGGATAACCAGCCTCTCAGCTTTCTGATGTCTGGGCAATTGGAGTGATTTTGTATGCTATGGTCTTTGGGAAATTGCCATTTAGAGGATCTACAAGGGAGGAACTCATTTAAGCAATCAGCATATTTAAATACACCATCCCTTAGAAGGTGAGTAATGATTTATTAGATTTATTCAAACAAATATTCCAATATCGGAACAGGATCACAATATCAGGAATTTTGAATCATAGATGGTTGAGTGAAAGTCATGCTATTCCTGCATTGAGTTTATTGAAGATGCTATAAGTCACTACTCCTCTAAAAGTGACAACCAAGAAACCAAAGTCAAATATGCTATAAAGTTGTCGAAAGAGTTCTATATAAAAGGAGGAATCCTAAACAAATATTGGAAATGTGACTGCCAAACCTATCAAAATAGTATTAAAGTAAAGATCTGGGAGAGCTAAGAGTTAACTTTTATTGAGCAACTGACTATTGGATGATAATATAAGACATAATTTAATTAAAAATACTTCACTTATAAATGTTTCACGAGTCTGATGAACTTTCTAACACCAAAACACTCAATATCACTTTGCTAGGCAGTGATCGTAAGTTTTAAATATCCATCTATGGCGATACTTCACTTAAAGAATTGAGATAATTATGCGAATAGAGACATTAAATTAGTCTTAGACACTTTCGAGTATTTACTTAGGATGGAGTGGAACTGTTTAATGAGGATCTGATTTACTTGAAAGATAATTCAAAATTGTACATAACAAGAGGAGAAGACTTTGATGCAAATATCATCCATCAAGAATATGAGATATTGGAATAGTTGGGCAAGGGAGGATTTGGTAAAGTATTGTTGGGTAGACACAAAGAAACACTCAACTTAGTTGCTATTAAGTATGTGAATACCAGAAACAGAGATGCTAATGACATTGAGTTGGTTTTTCGTGAAGCCTATTTACTGAAATCACTTAACCATAAAAATATAGTCAAATTCTATAATTGTTATCCACTCTCCAACATGCAAGTCATTGTTGTTATGGAATATTTGGAAGGTGGTGATCTATCCAAATACACTCAAGGTATTTAAATTCTGTAATGAAGCCAAGGGTCAGTTATGTGAAGAGGAGGCTCGAATGTATTTCAGATAGATTTGTGATGCCATGATGTATTGTCATAATCGCAAACTCATCCATAGGGATCTCAAACTAGAAAATCTCATGTTCGCCAATAAGAATGATACATTGATTAAGGTCGTTGATTTTGGAATTGCTGGTATGGCTGTCAACAGTAACATGGATAAACTAAACATCGGAACCATCAGGTACATGGCACCAGAAACTCTCCAAGGAAATAACCAAAAGATAGGTCCACACATTGATGTTTGGGCCATGGGAGTTATACTCTTTCATCTCATCTTTGGGAAGTATCCTTTTGATGGAGACTCCAATTTTGACATCATTCAAAATATTACAACCAGCAATTACACATTTTCCAAAAAGAATGTCTCTCCATATCTAATTGATCTATTATCCAGAATTTTCTTAATTGATCCACAAAAAAGAATCAAACTATATGACATTCTCAATCATGAATGGATGAAAATCTCATTCGAATAAGAATATTTTGAAATGCCTTAGTTTGTACCCAGAACCTAATTTCGATTACCATCTATAGAGAATGCAAAGTAACACATTGGAAATTAGAAATAGAAGAAGGTCAATAGATCATTCACTCCTCTAAAAAAGAATTCTCCTAGAAGAAGAAATAGTTTCATCATTAAAGGAGTCTTAAAGAGATACCCTTGAAAATAAATTACTTGACTATTTAATGCTTATGATAAATTCTTTTTGGTATATAAAATTTAAATTAATAAATTTGAATTATTTTCTATTTTTCATAATTGAACTTGAGGCTAAGATGCATTATTTGCAGCCTTATTAGCTTCATTATTTTATTGTGGGACATTGTCACTTTGATCGTCCTAATTAATTTTGTATATTTTGTAAACCACCTACATTCCCAAGATATCGATTGCCAATTGAATGAACCAAAAAGCAATAGCAATATTGTACTTGAAATACTATTATTAAATATAATAAAGTAATACCTAGTACTCTTAAGCTCCAATACCCATACCAATTAATAACAAAAACATTCCAAAGTTCATAGTTGCTATTATCCCTAAAGCCGCGTAAAAAATGTATTTAAAATGTAGTGCTATTATCAATAAATATCCAATCATCATAAAAACATTGCCAGTTATCGAGAGACCTTTATACTGAGCCATACCATCACTCATAGTCTCTAAGATAGAAGCATAAAATGCTAATAGCACAATGTTTATCGATAGGTAGCATGTAGTGTCACAGATCGATTTGATTGTTGGAGTTCTAGCCATAGTCATAATATTTATACATTTCAAACATAAGGATTATATGAAAAATAAATATTAATGATTCAGATAATATGATTTAATTCTTATAGTTATTTCAAAATAAGATATATTCCAAAAAGATCATTATTTTGGCGAGATTTATCATCAATAAGAGTTCCAAAATTGTAAATTAAAAATCTATAATAGATTACTTAATTTTATAGTTTTGGTATCAAAATTATGAAGAAGACCTTATTAACAATCTAATTAAATAGGATGAAGGTATATAGTAATTCAGCTAAACCACTGCTCTCTTATTTTAATAATATAGATATTATGTAGTTTTATCAAAACTTTGATAGTGTTTTAGATTTTTTTTGAGATTCCGTAAAATTGAGTTTCATTTTTGAAAGTTTCTCCTTTTATTGTTAAATCTCAGCTCTCAATTCTTCAATTGTTTTCTCAGTTCTATCATTTGATGGAGACTTATGAGGTGTTCGAATGGATGGACTATTGTATTATGGAGGTTTGTTATATGGTTCTGGGATCAATATACATATGATAACATACATTTAGCAGATGATAGATTTTACTACATAGCTGGAGAGCGATGGAAGCCTTAACTTGATGATAAGGAGTGTTAATGCAAAGGAGGAGATAGAGCTCTTTATTGAACTGGTTGGATAATGGTTTCAAGTTATTATATTTACGACTGGTAATCTCTTTAGATTTAATCCATTTTCTTTTCTGATTTGTCCTTAAGATCATTATATCTTTATTCGAGAAATTATCTCTCCTTCAAAGTGTAATCAGCTGATTATTGAATTTAAATTCTAATATTTATTGAATGATTATTTACAATTCATTTTCTAATTCCTTAATTGTCTATTGAAGTTATCTCTATTCATATTCTAATTTCTTTTATTATTCCCTATTAAGTTAATCCTACACTTAAAGTTTCTGAGATAGATGATCATTCTCTTAAATGTAGAAGTTCAACTAATTTCTGAGATCGTCAACTGATTGATCTTGCTGTTAAATCTATTACAATTTTTGTTTAAATTTAATCTGAGCCTCTTCTTGTATTAATTATTCATTCTATTTGTATTATCTTTTTAATTGTTCAATCTTCTTTTCCATCTCATTTTATAGTTCAATAACCAGAATATCATTTTCCCTCTTTTCCTTTTACACACTTTGATCAATTAACTAATTTAATTAGATAATATACATAATTGAATTTTTTAACAGAACTCAATATAAGTTGCCTATTTTCAGAATCATATTGTTTTAGTTTATTCAAAATGACTTATTTCATTTCGAAGAGTTACAAATTTAATTACTCTTTTTACCTAATAAACACTCTTTGTATCTATTATTTAACCGATCTAAATTTAAATTTCAATTCATCAATTTGTTTAATTAATTATTGTTTTTCTGTATTAAACACATTTTGATTTTTTATAGAATTTTCAATTAAGATCTTCTCCTTTACTTTTTGTTCTTCTAATTATTATAAAGTAAGAGTATATTGTGATATATAGGATTCTAATTCTTGTACTAAACTATTGTTCTACTTTTCCAATTGTTCAAACTTCTAGCTTTTTTAGAATAATTCCTTTTAGAGTTGATTATATGCTCTTATTTATTCTTCATTCAGCAATTTACTTTCTAATTTCAGTTTCTTCAATTAGTTTTCAAAGTTTTCAACAATTAATTGATGTTCTTAAATCAAATTTTCTACTTCTTACTTAAATCTTAATTCTTTCTATTGGATTTCCTATTGATGTAATGTTTACTACTTCAATTATTCCTCTAATAATTGAGAATGCTCTTGTTTATACAATTTGCATCTTTGTTCCAATTCCTGTCCTAATCTTTAATATGAGAATGATCCTTAGATTTCTATTTCCAATTAATGTTGAATAGCCATAATGATTTCTTATTGTTATTATTTTTCTCTCTCAATTTCACTCATGTAATCTTGATTTTCCTTCAATGTAGTTAAGGTTTGTTCTGAAAATGATTTCAAATCATCAACATCAGCTAATAACAATTTTAGATTTTAATCTTTTTTATTGATTTCTTATTCAATTTAATTATATTTCTATTTTAATTCTGAATTTTAATTTTGTAATTCCTCCATTTATTTCTTATAAGTTTAAATGAGTTCTTCAAATTTTGAATTACTTTTTTACTTTTGTTCTTATTCATTTTATATTTGTATTTTTAATTATTTTATGTCTTAACTCAATCCTAGAATTTCTTTGTCCTTTTCAGAAACAGTACATTCTAAACTTTACGTTAGATGTTATTATAGATCTAACTTTTCTTATTCTAAATTTTCCTCCAATCTTGAATACTATTTCTTGTATTGTTATTCCAACATCCTTGATGGCTTATCTATGTTGATTCGATTAGAATTCAACCTATTGTTCAAGTTCTTTGATTTGTTCTTATAGTTCAGCAATATGTTGATCCTTATTTTGAAGTTCTTTCAATTTAACTTTATATTCTTTAATTTTTATTTGGTTTTTTTCTTTCATTTGTTCCAAGACTTCTTTTGATTTTTGTGCTTCTTATTATTTTTTGATTTTGAGTTATTCAATTTCCAACTTAAGATTAGACAACTCACTTTCTTACAGAATGTGTTAATCTGTTACTGTTTACAATTTTCGTTAATAGTCCTTCAACTATTTGTCAGATTCCAATTTCACTGATTTGAACTACTATTCCAGAACAGAATAGGCAGATTGTAATTATTCTGCTTTTTACTTATATTCTTATCCCTCTAATGAAATATATCTCGATTGTCTATCAAATGACTATTGATTATCCTTCAGTTGTTGGAGTTCTAAGCCTAATTGTTGGTTAGTCAGATTGGATTCTCTGATTTATTTATTGAGTTTCTCAATGATTAGTTATTACTTATTGTTTAGATCAATCTACTCATCACATAATAATTAGAGTCTCTTAATCTCCTATAATTATAGTATCTACTGCTCATGCAATTTGTGTTCTAAATCTATGATCAATTGTTATTCTCTATCCTAATACTCTCTTTTGATTCTATCATTTGACTGAGATTGTTAACGCAATTCTTGTTGCAATAGGAGTACCTCTTCGGAATAGTGTCTTTGGAAGGTCTCAAGTGTAATCTCCTTAATTCGATTAAGAACGGCTACTCTGTTTTCTCTATCCATCTACTCTCCCAAGACTTGTTTGGTGATATCTACTAGACATTCTGAGGATAATATGATTGAATTACATTCTAAGACCTTGGATTGTGAAACGAACATATATTTATTCGTTAATTAATAAATGTAATTATTAAAGGAAATAGTGGAAGGTGTACATAATCCAATCAACACCATTGAACAATTAAAGAGATCAGTTATTCGAGAAATCAACAAACAACATTATCAAACCATCGATTATACGCATCGTCGTTCGATTTCTACCCAAGAGGCTCCATTCACTGTAGTTAGTATAAAGAAACCAAAGACGTAACTCAATACAATTGAGTTGGCTCCCTTGAAGAACAAAACCAGGTTTATGCCGAATTCAACCTTGGAGTTGATTGTCAAGTAACAAAAAAACAAGTCACTGCAATTTAAATAGAAGATCTACACACAAGAATATAAGGAGAAGAGTGAGTATGTGCAGGGCAGAAGGAGATTCAATAAGAATGTTGAATGTCTCAAACAAAACAACCAAAGATTCAGATTAAGTGTAAGTGAACAATCACAATAATTGAACAAGCTACTTGAAAGCAGATTGTCACGTATGTTGAGATATAACAATAACAATCATGATAATTATTTATAATGAGCGGATCCAGTATCTAAGCATAATAGAAGTCAATTCAAATGAAAACAGCCAACCTCCCACCCACATGGGAAGTCTTCTCGACTCTTGATTTTAATAGGCAGCAAACCATCTACAAGACTATGTGTGAATAGATCCAATAACAAATGAAGCAAATTACTGTTCTCCAGGAAAAGGTTAAACAAAATGAAGTATTTCATTCTCACAATTTAGTTACTTGCCTCACAAAAGTTAGAAGACACTCATCATAGACTTTCTGAAGAATAATCGAAATTGAAATAAGAAATTCAAATTCTATAATCACTTTTGGAAAAGAAAGAAAATGAAATCAAATTTCAAAATGACCAATTGGATGAACAAACTAATTATATCAAACAATTAGAAGTTGATGTTTAAAAGAGATAAGAATCATAGAAATATGATTAATTGATTGTTGAATTAAAACAACAAATAAAGGAATAACAATTAGCAATTTCTTCATATGAGAAGTCTATTCAAGAACTGAAATATACAATTGAAGAATAAGAGCAACAATTGGAAGACATTCAAAATAAATACAATCAAGAATTAGATGAGAAAGATTTAAAACTTGCAGAATATGAAGTATAATACTCATTCAAATTAGAAACAATTAGAATTGCAATTGGAGGACAATTAAAAGTTGCAATAAGGATATCAATCATTGAATGAGAGGATTAATTCCAATAAAGACTATCAATCATTTTAACAGCAATATAATGAGTTATTCAATGAGTTTTCTATCATCAAACAACAATACTAGAACAAATGCAATAAAATTAAAGAACAAGAACTAACTATTGAAGATTTAATAGGTGAAAATTCAAGACTTGTTATTGAACTTTATCACTACTAAAAATAATGATGATGATCTATGTCAATTATTTAATTCACATTTTAATTATCATATCAAAATTTCTTGAACTCTCTTAAGAGTAGCTCTTTTTTTACAATCCGAATTTAGTAATTCATCAATCAATTATTTAGTACTCTATGATATTTATACATCTTCTTTGTATTACTATTTATTAGCTTTTATGTTCTAATAAGCAATTTTGATATCAAATGCTTCAAATGGATGTACTCCAAAGATTAATGTGTATAAAATGATCCCTAAATACCATAAATCTACTTCAAAAGAATATCCATTTTCGTTGTCTAATATATCAGGAGCCAAATATTAAGAACTGCCACAAATAGACCTTCTTCTTTCTTCTTTCTACTCTAATTTTATTGCATAGTTGAATCCACCAACCTTTAGTTACTACTCCTTATTAAAGTATATATTGCTTAGCTTTAAACTTTATAAATATGAAATTGTATAAATACTCTCGATGTAGGATGTTATTTTCATGTAAATAATTCAATGCATCGACTATTTAAACAAATAATAACTTTGCCTCGTTTTCACATAACTATCCTTTCTATTACAAATACTCATTTAGTGTCTAAAATCTAATTTCATCATTACACATTTAAAATCCTCAAGGAGAATGTAAATAAAGTCTTAGTCTTCGATAACTCCCTCGTATTTGAGAATGTTTTTATGCTCAATCTACTAATGAATTCTAACTTTTTGTAACACCTATCATAAATAATCTTCAATACTTATTATCTAATTTTACTTGTATTTATTTTGCTCTTAGTTATAATCTTTGCAACTAACACCTCTTTTGACTCAACGTTAGTCAGTTGATAAAATTCTCCAAATTAAGTTTTTCTCAATAGAGGTCCCTTTTCAAATTTAATTGTATTTCCTTCTTAATTTTTAAGACTTCCAACTATAATTATTTTATCCCTTTATAAATATAAATCTACAAACCTATCTTAGTTTAATTGAGAATCCATCATTCTACTTTGGTTGTTTAGAATTTAAATTATATCAATTAGAGTTTACTCTCTTATTATTATGTTAATTTTACAAGAATAATATAATTTATATGTATATATATTAAGCCAAATCCATATTATCATAATTTTGGTTTTAACATGTCTCTTGCCTTTTTACTTAAAAGTGTAAAATTAGGAAATGTATTGACTGCTCCTCCATCAACAATAATTGTTTATCCAGTTATATAACTTGCACAATCAGAAGCCAAAAAGAGAGCCCAAGGAGCAATGTCATCATTGTTTCCTGCTCTCTATAATGGCAACAGTTTTTCGAAATCCTCACCAAAACCAGACTTAAATAATATGGGACACTAATTACACTATCATCCATTCTCAATCTTTTAAATCCTTCAGATTTCTCAATAGCTCCTGGGGCAATACCGACTACTCGAATTCTCTTTGGTCCTAATTCAACAGCCAGATGTCTAGTAAGAGCATCTATTCCTGCTTTTGCTGTTCCTGCATGTGATTGAAGTGCTACTCCACAATGTGGAAGTGTGGTACTAATGTTAATAATAACTCCTCCATTTTTTGACATCCATTTAGCCACAACTGCTTTACAACACTATTTATTTATATAAGAATTACATGAAATGTTCCAAAAGTGTCTATTTCCATTACAGATCTGAAGGCATTTACACTCATCATTTCGAAAGGAACCAAAAAATTTCCTGCTGCACCATTAACCAAAATATCTATTCTTCCCCATTTATCTAATGCAAATTAGACCATTGCTTCTACTTATTCAAATTTTCTGACGTCGCAAGGAAAGTATGCAATATTATCATTACCTGATTCTTTTGCTAATGTAACACATGATTATTTCAAGACTTCTTCTTTTCTACTTGTAATAAGTACTTTGCACCCATATTTCAAGTATGCCAGACTTATACCATAACAAATCCCTGTGGCTCCACCTGTTACGACAGCCACTTGATTTGCTAAGAAATTTTATTAGAAAGTTTTATTCATTTACTTAATTATAATTATTAATTTAATTGATATTTCTTTATGGCTAATCACAAGATTAATTATATGAAAAAATCATATAAAATTTACAATATATTGTGTTTTATGATTATATATTTGTATTTTGAAGACTACTTAATGTTAAAGAATCAATAATTTATAATAAATATTAAATTAATTAATTTTATCAGCTATTTCAGATCAAAAATGAAATTGATTAGAATTATGTGAGGAACTGTCTACTCCTTAATTTATTACTTAGGGTCACACAGCTTAAATAGTGTAATTGATTTCATTAATTTGGTTGAAAAAGGGATAAATATCCATAATTGGAATCAACACCCGAATTAAGGTATGCAATTAGCCTTATAGCCACATTTTGGATGGGTGAATGAGTTCATGTTTGATTCATACATTTGTATCTAATAGGATTGTATGTAGATTTTAGAGTAGTTATTAAGTTTTATTAATACTAACTAATATTAATGTGATTAATAATGAAAATTCCATGACTTTGGTTGAAAAATGTATGATTACACTCATATGAATTGTAATTATTAAATTTTGTAAATCATTATTACAAATAAAATGTAAGACACATACACATATTAGGTATTGTCATCATTTATACTTAGATTCTTAAAAAATGCAATGGTAAAGTAATTATGCAGATCGATGAACACCTGTTGGATATCATCAATGCTCATCTCACCATCAAGCCTCAATAATAGTAAACTGAGGTACCATACTCAGTTAAGAAACAACACAATTTCTAACGTAGGATTGTGCCATTCTTCATGAACCAATTCATGCATTGGGCTGAAGTAATGGGATATAAATAAGTTGATGGCTACTTGAGAGCTATTCACAAGAAAAAGACCTCCAAACAACAAAAGTTCGAATTAGGAGACCTTAAAAAACTATTCGGAGCCATCAATCCAAGAACAAAGATCATTCAGTTGGAAACTTAACACAAGTGGATAGAATTTTTAGGAACTTAAGCTGAAATTTGTGTGCTTATCAATAACAAGATTAAAGATCAATCTACAAAATAGATGTACATCTAAGCTATTGAGCAACTGAAAGAATAGTTGCACAAAGAATAACCATATGATAAATTTCTAAGTCTCTCAAAAAAAGACGAAGTAAAAGAGGAGTCTATTAAAGAAGAATATTTAAGTTCTGAAGTTCCAACAGATGAATATGCACCAACTTATTATTAAGATCCATACACCTATCTAAGTTGTGCTTACAATAATGAATTCTGATTTTATTCTCATTTATATTTAACAAATTTATGACATCATTCATTACATTTAATATTATTGTATAATATATATCGGACAATTTGTAATTAAATGATATTTAATTCGAGGCATCAAATCAATTAAAAATTCATATTCTCCTTTATTTCCCTCCAAACAAGCATCCAATCATTCAGACTTAGTCCAATTCTCATTTTTTAATGAATTGAAAATATTTATAATGAATTTAAGAATTTATCTAAAGAGTAACTACTCGAGTAGAAAGTTGAATTCTTCGGGGTGTATAATGGAGAATGAATGAAGGTTATAGTTCAGATTGAAAATTTGTACAAATTTAAAGATGATTAAATAAATAAAAAGAAATGATTTTCAATATCAAATAAAATTCCAAGTAAGAATTTTTGTTTAATAATGAACAATCATCAATATTGTCTTGTATGGTTATAAAGATCTATATTTAAGTGTGCATCTAAGTTAATTATTTCAATATATCTTTAGTTGTTAAACTATTTATGCAAAACAAATAAATAAGTTATTTGGTTAATAGATTCATTCCGTATTTTATAACAACTAAAAAATCTTCTCTTTGTAGATTTTTTCTTAAATCTACCATTAATCTTATTTTTCTAATGTTTATTATTCTAATCTAGTAATTTGGTTTCGCAATTATTCAATAAAAGTAGCCTTAGTATTTTTTTCTAATTCTAATATTTAATTTGATAAATCTTTTATAATCTGATTTTTCTTTTCAATAGTTCTTTCAAATTATTCTTAATTTGATACTGTAGATTGATTCAGAGCATTGTCAGATATTTATTTATATCCAGATTATGTAAGTTAACTTTGTTTCTTCAACTGCTCTCCACTTTATCTGATGATTCTCTTTAAATGTTAATGTTCATCTTAGGCTTTATTGTATTTCTCTTCTAATTCAGCATACTTCGATTTCAACTATTCGAGTTCTTGGGTATTAATATTATTATTATTATTAGCAAAACAGGCTGTATTATCGAATTATGTTTTTCTAAGCTTAGAATCGATTTTAATATGATTATCTAATTGCTCAATCTACTTCTACAACTCTTCTTCTTATTGAGTAAGCATTTCAGTGATTTCTCTGAAATTATCATTTTCTTCATTAGGAGGAACAACTTGTTACAGTTTTTCTTATGAAAACTTTTCGCCAAGTTATAAGAATTTTTAAGTGAGATTATCGGCTGGTTGTTTAATGGACGCATTAGGTTATTCTTCTGTTTTGTTAACGAGAACAGCACTCTTGATTTCTTTTGGAGGAGACTAACTCCTGGCTCTGGTTGTTCTAGTTGGAAATTCCATTTTACGACTACTAGAATTTCTAGTAGTCTATGGGATCTACTGAGATATTGGAGTATGTGTAGGTGCAGGCATTGGTACATTGGCTTGAGGATATTCTTAAGTTTCAAATTATGATTGCCAGGGTGCTCTGATGACTCGAAACAAGAGGGCAGCTCGTTTGTCAGTTGTAGAGGTTAATGGCTTTTTGACTTTTTGATCCTAATCTATTTCACCATTGAGAAAGTATGCTAAATTGATTAGACAATCCCCAAGTTGGTTGCCACCCAAATAAAACAAAAATTTAATCTAATTAGAATGATTGAATAGTACATTATAATCGACATAGACTCCATCTTTGTTGACCATCTTCTGCTGAAACTCTGCAATTTGATCGATTGGGTAATCTACACATATTGGATGTTCTTTCAGGATTCCTTATTTGCATTTTGCTTATAATAGTTTATGCAGCAAGTGTTCCTCTTTTTAACATGATGGATAATTCGTATTGTTATTGATCGAATTTCGAGCTAAACTCCAGATATTGCAGTATGAATTTGAAATGTATTTGTTAATTCATTATAAATTTTAATGAGCGATCACGAAAACTCTAATATCGAAGAAGTCATTACTAAGATTAAAAGCCTACCTGTTGCTGAAAGAGTCAAAGCAGTAGCTCTCTTTTATCACTTAAAACGCAAGCAACAATACGAAGAAGAGTTGGAAGAACAAGTTCAGAAACTCACTATCGAATATGATCACTTGAATCTCCCTCTCTATTAAAAAGTAAGCATTTAAATTCTATTTCTTCTCAAAGTAAAACGAATTGATTCTTGGATAAAGAGCTGCCACTGATATTGAACTATCCAATTCAGATAAATTTTTAAGTGAAGCAGAAAAGGCAATTGTGCATGAAAACAATACAGCTGAACCCATAGATGACTATTGGTATAAGGCACTCAAAAATTCAGTTGTTATTGGTAATTATTATTTTGATTGTGTTTAGCTGATGTATGTTAAGAAAACGAGAAGGATTGGGATGTTTTGAAATCACTAACTAAAGTAGAATTAGATTTTGAAGAAAACACTCACAATTTCACAATCAAACTGACCTTTGCTCCAAATGAGTATTTTACTAATACCGTACTTACTAAGAGATTCATATTTGAAAAAGCAGAAGAGACTCCAGTAAAAAGTGAATCAACCTAAATTGAATGGAAAGAAGGCAAGAATGTCACTCAAAAGAAGGTTTCAAAGAAATAAAAGAATAAGAAAACTGGAGCATCTAGAACTGTTGATAAAGTTGTTGACTCTCCTAGTTTCTTTGGATTCTTCAAAGACTTTGATCTTACAAATAAGAAAGACCTTGATGAAGAAGAAGTTGAAAAATATGAAAATTTAATGAATGAACATTTTGACATTGCCACAGAATTTCTTGATTCCATTGTTCCTTGTTCATTGGAATTGTTCTTAGGATTACAACCAGAAATGGCAGAATTAGATGATGATGATGAAAATGACGATGAAGATGATGAGGATGATGATGATGACGAAGAGGATAAAAAGAAATCTGTATTCTATTAACATTATCAATTATTAGAAAAGAAAGAAGTCGAGCAGCAGCAAGGGTGATAAGAATGAAGGCAAGAAAACTGAAAAGCCAGAATGCAAATAATAATGATCTATGTGTTGATATATATATATTAAAAAACAGACAATCTTCATTAATTATAATGCAAAGTTTATTGCAGCCATCTCAACAAACTCTCCTAGTCCGTTCTCCAACTGAGGGATCTCTTAAGAGCTATTCCAGATACGAGAGCAAAGGCAAGAAGAGGATGCTCTATAAGAATAATAAAGGTGAAATTGTTGACCCTCCTGAAAAATCACTCAGATTGCAAAATACTCAATATTCATAACAAAGCAAAACCAATAAGTCTCGAACTACCACCCCCACACCATCTGAAACCATCAAAACATAAACTACATCAATCTTTGATTTGCTTCCCATTGATGATCCCATTTGGTTAGAATTGATTCCCATAGATCTCTAATAGGATCAAAACTTTAATCTTGAAAAATTGATTAGTGAAAATCAAGAGTACTTTGTTAATTTGCTTGGATTGTACATGTAGGAAAGATAATAAAACCGAATCCAAGAATTGAAACTTTCATTACCAAACAAAAAGCTTTCTACCTACGATTCAGTTTTCAAAAGACTCTAACCCTTAGATCAATCAAATTTCAATATCAAAATGTATGATTAAATCCCATTAGCTCAGTCCCTTTAATTATCAACTTAATATGAGGTATATTCCATTTTTATATCCAAAGACATCCTATCGCACACCAAAACCTCAACAACAAGAAAATTATAAACCTTCTTATTACAGAGATCCCTCAGAGATGATGACACTCACAAGTTATAAGTAAGATTACTTTAACTGGAAACCAGCTCTAACTGAAAGAGTAGGACCATAAAGAGGTTAAAGCACAGGAGCATTGCCATTTATTGGTAAGACATCCTATCAAGATAACTTTCGAGCAACTAATTGTGAACCAACCCAATCTGCCAAGAAGAAATCTCTGTAAATACTTATCCAAATTGTATATAGTGGACCTTTTGCATCAAGTAGTTCCATGATCTTCAAGGAAGCCTTATCGAAAATACATTATCCTGGTTACACCTTCGAGGATCTGCCTTTAAGAAAATAAAATAGTAGCCATATCCAAAGCAATGGATCTTACGATGGACAATTTAAAACAACATTTAAGAAGTATTAATCATTCTCTAATCTTAGTTCTTTCGCACATAAAGTACCAGAACCCATAGTTCAAGATAGGTATTGGAAATAGAAGTTGATACAAAAGATATTAGAAAAAAAATAGATTTGATAAAATGAATATTTTATTCATTTTTGTAAATTATGTAAACCATTATTTTATATACAAAATTAAATTGTTGTTGCTTAAGAATTTATATTATTTTATTAATTACTCCTAAATATGAAATATAATAATATTTATAATATAAGAAGAAGATCTAATTAAAGCAGTAGAGCAAAATAAAAAATAATCCTAAGAAATAGATAATAATTATTAGAAGAAGCACTAAAAAACTTAATATAATGAATCGAACAATTCTAAAAAAAATTATTAATATATTTATATTTTATTTATAATGAGCAATAAAGTTCCATAAAATGGGATTTAAGTTGTAGCTAGATACTCAAGAAATACAGATGAAACAGAAGTAAAGAGAATCTCCTTAAATGATGAAATTAATAAGTATGAAGAGTTTTCATATTAATTTGACTACTATTAAGAAAATTTGAATTAAAATGATCATGAAGTTCCTGAATAGTATCAACAATAAATCTTCGATCCTTAGACTAAAATTTGATCATTAAATTAAAAAAATTGTATTTAATCATTCCATATATGTATTATTACAATTTTTTAGTAATCTAATATACATATAGGTAAGGTAGTATTGCAGTTTGATTAATTTATCTGGAACTTATCTTAAGAGTTAGGTGTTGTTTTTGCAAATCACTTGCTCACTCTTTATCAAAAAGACTTAGTAAAACCTTTCCATTATCTGAATTGTTGGAAATCACAAATATTTAGATTGTTCTCAATGGATGAAATAGAATAATTATCAAGATGTTATGATAATGAACTATAGCGCTTAAGAATGAAAGCATATGAATAAATAAGTTCTTTATGTTATGATTATAAATGCTATATTCCAAATATCATTCAATGCATTAGTATTTAATCTTTTTTTATTCAATAGATCAATCTACTATAATCATAATTATCTGATACTAGAATCTACTAGAATTTAATTTATATTCTAGTTTTTCTTAATTTATGTCATTAAGTGTTTATTACATAAATGTTCGATAATCTAAATCTAAGATTACAAACGGCAAAATAGCAAAATAGTAAATTTAAATATATAAGTAATAAACAAAAAATAAAATTTCAATCTATATTAGATAATTGAAGCAATGCCTTATGTTTTTGTAAAATAGCAGAGTTTTTGTTTTAATTTGCATTAGATTGATTTTTCATTACTTTTTATTTAATTTTTATTCCAGTAGCTATGTATTAATGGGATTGCATATCTCCAGAAAACCGATTAATGGGATTATGATTAATTGGTTGAATTGTTGATTAAATGAATCCTATTACTGTACTAATGATATTTTATGATCTTATTTCATTATGATTATTATATAGATGAATCATTTATTTTTGTCCGTGATATGATTCTAGAGTTTTAGTAAAATGACGATATGGAATAAGAGTGTCGAATTTTGATCCCAACAATAACATGGGACAGTTAATATTCAAACTTTCAGGTAGTTTGACTGAAGAGATGGAAAACTTGTATAACTGTTAGATCTGTCCTAATTAAATTATGAAAAATTGAATGCCATACTTTTGAGAATTTCTAACAATCCCATATTAATCAAATCAGGTGTACCTAATTTATCTTTAATGAGATTGAGAATTACTTCTTCAAGTGCAATGAAAGGACTGTCCAAAATCATACAACTTGTTTTTTGATGCTTTAGAGCATACATCAATGCAGTGGTAGCTCCCATTGATCTTCCCCATAAAATGATGTTTGAGTATTTCCCCAATAAAAAGTCGACTAACAAAACTACATTGAGTTGTTCGTTTAATCTCTCATAGTTAAATCAATGATACCCAAAAGTTACAAAGTCTCCCTCTGATTCTCCAGCTGCTTGAAAATCGAAAGTGCATAAATCCATAGCAGATTCTAGTATAGCCACAGTGTAAGGTACAGCCTCTAGTCTTGACCCATTATATCCATGTAAATACAAAACACACAATTATGTGGTTTTATTGCATTTGTATAAAGAACATTGAAGGCCTTGCAATTTGAAATCATGTCTAGGGAAGCCACATTCTAAATCAGATCGATTAAATATGGCTCTCTTTGGTTACATAATTTATCTACAATAATTATCAAACATCATATTGGATAAGAAAATTAATTAAGAAAACCTTTTATTATAATGATGTAATTGATAAATAGAGACTTATCATAACAATGTCAATTCGTAGAATTGTATACCACAGTTGAATTCTAATTAAGGAAATATCATCAATAAGTGTTAAAATTAATAAGATGCTAATAGAAGAGTGAATTATTAAAGGAGAGTGTAGAAATTTGAATAAATTTATAAGATACATTGCAAGTGTTGATCGAAAGTCTAAAATTATTTAGTAATTACATAAAATATTTAACAATAATGAGAAGAGAGAAACAAATAAGGGTGCAAACAATGAGTGATGAGCATGCATCTCCTGTAAAACTACCATCTGTGTATTAGATCAATAAGACAATATAAGGAGAAGATGGAACTGTATGAATATCTGTAAATAATAGGTTTTTGCAATGAATCAATTATTGAGCAGAGCAAACCTTGGGACAAGTAATAAGACTGTTAGAACCTTATTAAAGATTACAAATGAGTAGAGTGAAAGAAAGGATTTGTAATTATTATAATAATGGATCGATGTAAGTAATTTCGACAATTATTTAGTCAATGGTGCAACAAATTCAAAAGCAGCACTTCTATAGTATAACAGAGTTCTATGATAAAATGGAATTGATATATTCTGGTTCAATAGGATAACTTTGTCAACAGTTGTCTGTGAAATGCAATGACTATTCTTAATTGATTGATAAGATATGGACTCAATTTACAGGCACTGTTAAAGAGATTATAGATAAATAGTCCAGAACAAATCGTAAATTGGAAAAGGAGAGTTTGGCAAACACAATTAAGATCCATGAGAGATATTAGAACTCAATGACTGAGAAAGTACAACGATTGCAAGAGGCAGAAAAATAATTAAAACGTAATACAGAATACGTGGAAAAATTGAATAAGGAGAACAAGTATCTACGAAAGAAGACGAATACCTTTCAAACATAAATCACTAGTCTCAATAACGATATTGAATTGTTGAAATTGCAATTAGAGGATTTGAATAAAGAAAACGAAACACTTAAATTATTTTAATAAGTCAGGCATTCTACTGAGAATCTGACAGCAGATTACGAAGAGGAGTTATATAAAGCAAAGAAGGAGATATTCGATGATTTTAAATTAGTGTTTGAAGAATAGACTCGTAAATTTGAAGAAGCATATCATAATAAAATGTTAGAATTGGAAAGAGGAAATGATGATAAGGCTAAAAAAGATGAGAATTTAATGGAAGAATATGAGGAGATTCTCTTCAAAGATAAATGTGTTGGTAATCATAAGGACTTTACAGATTCACAAGCAGATACTATAGAGTATATAATAAAATATATATTAAAATAGTTTAATATAAACCTAGGATTGCTCAGTCTAAACTATTTACTAGAAGAAAAAAATCTTTGAATAGGGAACTCAGACCTTACCACCTCAACAATGTAATTAAGCTTGTGAAGCAAATTATGCAATTATTAAAAGAGAGTGCATTCCCAGAAATAGTGATGAATAAACTTATTTAGAAATGTCACGATATCCGATCAAAGCATTTATTGATGACTACTATCAATTGTATATAGAGAAAGTTGAAATAGAAAAGAAGACATTTCCTGATGTATTTGAAAGTGTTCTCGACCAACTCAAATTTCGATCATCTTAACTGTTCAACATTATGAAGATGAAGGAAGAATTCTTTGCAGATGATTTCTATGAAGTAGATTAATACGTACAGAGTTCTTATTCTGTTTTTGTATTTTTAACACATCACTTTCAAGAAATCATTCGTAAATTGAAGGATGAATTGATTGCTCGAAAAATTTAGATCTTCGAAACTCAAATTGATTGTAAACAAGCTGTTCGATAAAAGAATCAAATTCAAAAGAGATTAGATATCTTGAGTAACAAATATTAATCGTAAGTCAAGAATTACAATTTTATTGAAAAGCAATTTAAATCAGTCTCCAGATTCATCCCTCAATATCAATAAGATTAAATACGTCGGAAAGCCTAAAAACATAAAATTCATTTAGAATTCCCAAAAGCATATTCACCTACTCCAAACCCTCTGATTACAAGCACTAATAATTTGAATCCTCCAGCACAACAGGTATTTATCAATAGTTCCATTTCTCTCTTGCCTCCTTAACACTAAAGTACAAGTCCAAACTTATTGCTATCTGCAAATCCTAAGCATTCATTTGGGTTCTTTCCACCAATGACTCCTTTAGAACCTTAATAAGATAATAGTCTTCCTTAACGTAATTCCTTGGTTGAATTAAGTTATGATTCACCAGAACCCCCTGAAATGCTTTCGCCTCAAAAACCCCTAATAACATTGAATTGTATTATTTTATTCTATCAAGTCTTTCCTGATAATAAATTCGAAGAGTCATCAAGTTCTTCAGAAGAAGAAGTGGATTTATCTGAATGTCTAAATCCTGTAAAAAATCTACTGTCAATCGAAAAGAAATTGTTTGTGTATAGATGTCCAAGCAAAAATACTTAGATCGCAACACAAACCCTATTATAGGAAATTCAATAATTTAGAAGAGATAAAATAGAAAATATTGTTACTTAAGGTACATTGATAAAAACACTATCAAATTTTGTGTCTTGGTGTTTAAAGTTTAATAAATTCAATTATCCTATGCATATCTAATTATATGAGTATTTTTCAAGTGAGAATTAATCATAACCATAAAATGTTTGGCTAGGCAAAGTGGCAAGAGTAATTAAGTCAATAATCTACTATAAAAGAAAGAATGATTCAGCCAGACTATTTCATGCTATGCTGGTCGGAGATGTACTTAATTTTATCTATACAATCATTAGTTAAGTTTCCTGATTTACTTATAAATCTTGAGCAATATTTAAGGCATTAACTTCTAAGACACTGGTATTTCAGTTCTACAATCCTAACTGGCTGATCAAATTAAGAGTATACAGAAACTGCCTCAATATATTGATTATGATTAGGAGATCTCCCATCATCTAGGACCTATGTAAGATGTCAAAATTCAGGAATTGCTCCTAAAATATTCAATTATCTTACAAATTTTTGCAGAAGAGGGGGAAAGATTAACTTAGAATTAATTCAGGTTGCTCATGCTTGAACTTGATAGTAAGAAGGAAGAACAATGTTACATTAATATTTTTAATTCTGAATGTGATATTGAACAATCTTCTATACAATACATATCTTTTTAAAGATTTGCTGTTATTTGTGATGAACTTTAATTGCTATAGGGGTTAGATGATTACTTAGCTAAAAATGATGCCTAATATTTTAAGGATTCTGATCTATGGAAATTGAGGGAAATCGAATTAAAATTAATGATGATCAGAAGTCACAATTACGATGCGTCAGAAAGAGATCTCTTTTATAGAATGCACAAATTGCATCAGCCTCCTTAACGCATAATATTAGGAAGGTTCTTGGAAAGAAGAGCTAAAGAATTATTACTCTAGAAATATACATTAGAGTGTTTGGCACCTTTTATGTTACTTTTCGAATCATGATTATAATGAAAATTAATTAGTTAAAATCACACTAAATATTTAGGTTAATGTTAAGTTATTTTTTATGGGAATTAAGGCATTAACATCTTTAGATAAATTGTTATGGAAAAAGACATACACTGCCTTTTGGTATTTCAATTTCTTAAGTGTAATAGTCTTTGTATCATTAGCTCTTCTCAATTTATCTACGTCGTCAGATGTTATGAATTGTTCAGCTTTCTAATCTTAAGGCTTCTCATTTTTTTGTAATATCTATGATTGTATTAATTCCTTACTTTAAAAAACGTTTGCTTCTCCTATTTCTTAATTCTCAATTCATTTTATTTAATTGTACATTCTTACACTTCTAAATTTAGTTCGTTGTATTTTGTTAAATGACCTAGAAAATCATCAAATTTCGGATTATTGTATGTATTAGCAATTCCTAAAGTGTTAAGTTGTCTAATTTGTTCTACAAGATGTGAGTCTATTTGATCACTTACATCTCCTTTTGGTTTGAGTGATAATCTATATCCAGGAGTGATCATTCTATTGGATGGCATTTATTCCAACATCAGTCTAGTCTAAGTTTCACGTAGTCTATCCTACTATTATAAATTATTATTAATTGAATATTGATGTCTCAAGTTCTTATTATTCTGATCTTACATGTCAAATGTAACCTTTACCTAATATTCAGTATTAAGATTCAAATTAATATTCCCATTATTAGTCATGTTCTTTTGACTAACTTAAATCAAATCTTTAATTTTCATAAACTAATTAGAAATAGGTTGCTTTTATTATTACTATTTAATGGGTTCAATCTTGTTCTTTTGCTTATATATACTTAATTCCCACCCAACTCCTTTATAATTTATTTATATTCATTTATCATCCTATCCAAATTCTTACAATGTCTGAATAATTGTTACACTCTCTCTTCATTCTAATCTTAATTGAATTGACATAATTTTAAAACCGTTACATTCTTTTCATTTCATCCTACACTCCCTATAAATTGTCCATCTGCTTCTTCAGTTCATCTCCCTGTGTCTTTGTTAAGTCATTCAATCTATAGGCTTCTATCGTCGCCTCTTGGGGGTATAGATTTTATTTAACTGTTTTTAATTCCTGTAATTTGTTCTTCAACTATTAATTTTAATGATTTACTTTTAATTAATTATATTTCTTAACGTACAACACTTTCTTTTTGTTCTCAGGCAAAATTCTTCTTCCGATTGAAGGTGTTCTGTCAATACTTTTTCTAAAGACTAATTAATTCTTCTCGCTGGTTCAACTTTATTTATCATTGGACTATAATAGCGGTGTCTAATTTCTGGTAATTTTTGTATTGACTTGTTCTTGAAACTCTTGGCATTGATGACCAATCTAATTGCTTTTTGATTAATCTACATTTCTTCCTGAATGGACATATATTAAGTAGAGTCTTTCCCATAGAATTGCATAAGTTTTGAGAAATTATTCTTTTAAGTTAATGCCATGGGAATTGAACCCATAACCATCTCTTATAATAATAGGGATTTGGACCTTTAAACGTGTTTAATAATTTCTCTCTTAAGAAGTCTTATTTGGTTTGTAAATATTCTTGTAAAATGTTTGGATGAAATTAAGATTAATAATAATTAATAAAGCAATCTCGATTATTTTTAATGTCCAAATTTAGATTCTCCAATTAGACAGTACTTATTAATGTTGAGAAATAATCTTCATTCAATTGTTATTTTGGTTTTTTCTTGGACAACATTTTCAATTAACTTAATTCGCCATATAATCCAACTTCTTCGAATTCTATTGATTAACCTCTCAATAAAGGATGCTTATATGCAGGAGTGCCGTCTCTATTAAATAGCAAAATGAATAGTACTTCTCGAAATTGGAGAATTCTCTCAGAAATATGCAAATTTATAACATAATGAAGAACAATCCTTCCGTAGAAGGTTTGTAGATGGCTTAGAAATTCTCTACGGCTTTATTATATTCCATAACCAAATCACATCCATTTTATTCAAGCATATCCCATAATTAACATAATTCAAATTTATTATAAGGATTCCAGAGAATAAGGAAATGTTCTATATTAATAATTATTTCTTTGAGTTTAAAGAATTTTTTATTTTTAGCGTATTATTGAATGAGTTCTTCCAATTTTCTAGTGGAGTTGGGCGAATGTTCGATAATTTATAAGAATTACTCATACAGGTTTTTATTAAATTGGATTTATTAGATTGCTTATCTCATAGTAAGTATATAGATCGAGTAGACTTGATTCTTCTCTAGGAAACAAATCTATTTAATAATGTTTGTTAAGGTTACTTTGAAGAAATCATAAACTTTGATGAATTGCTCTTGAGTGCATGAACAACTGGCCAACATTTCATCTATTGAGATACCTTTATTAACATATGAAAGAACACAAAAGATGGAAGAAGCTATTGGATCATCAGTACAAAACTAATTGACAAGAATAGTAAAGAAATCGATTTCAGTTTGAAATTCTATTTATTATTTAATAAGTTATTAGATTATACTTTCTGCCTTTTATAGTACTTCCAAAATTAATTATGCGTATTCCTCCAGAGGATTAATGAGGATAGTGTAAAAATTTTGAGAAAATGCAATTAGCAACGCAATTATTCTGGAACATGCATTATCTCATTATAACAAAGAAGATACTCGAACTTCTCCACCACTATAAAACTTATCTATGCCTTGAATGAATATAATGACCCTCAATAATACTATATTCTATACTCGTTTGTATGTTATTTTACAATCACTGTATAACTGATTGCTAAGTTCTCTTGAGCATAAATTCAACCAATATTCAAAATACTATTTTAATTTCTCACTCTCTAATTCAACTTTTATGGGATATTAAAAACGGCCTATTTATTCATTAGAATTACTCTTAATTTAGTTAAAATGTAATAAATGGCATAATAATGATTCTAGTTCTCGTGCTCCACAAAATATGGAATAATTAGATCTCTCTTTATTCTTTTATTATAATTACATTCCTTTATTAATGTTCTTGAATCCAATAAGCAATCATTGTCTATAAATCATCTCCCTCCTTCTCTTCAATCAAAACTACTTTATTTTACTAAAATTAATGTTTGTTTAACTTCTACCTTAACTTTATAAAATTGCTCTTCAATTCGGAAATGAAATTGTTCAAGTCCTTCTGGACGCATCATCGTTAAACATTTGTCAAGAATTACTTCAGATTTACTGCAAGTTATATTTCAAAATACCTATTGGCATACTCAAGTTCAAATTGGTTTTCCATTTAAATATTAATTATAATATAATAGTAGGAGAAAAAAGAATATTTTGACTATCCAAATATTAGAATAGATATATTATAAGCTTTCAGCTTTGATCATAAATTTTTGCTTAAACTCTATTTGACCTATTAAATGGCAGGTTCTCTACAATCTTCTTACTGATGCAATGAATCCTCATCATTAACTGGCTGTTATTGTTGTTTGTATTTTTAAAGGAAATTCAAAGATTCTTGTCTCTTGTGTTTGGACAATCCTTCTTTCATTTTTTGTTACTATTTTGACCCTTCTAAGGGGGAATCTAAATGAAAATGAATTAAAACGTGTTTACCATCAATGCTTTCTATTCTTCCAGTAATCACTGGAGTATGCATAATCATCTGCTCTTGCAATTAAACGCTTTCTTTCATCTATTCCTTCATTGCCTAAGTTTGAGTGGCTCTTATATTTGGAGATCTGATTGGTGAATTGGTTAGTTGATTAATACGCATCATATCAAACTTATTATTAAGATCATTAATCTTTTGCAGTCTCTAATCTAATTGACAACTATCATCACTATCAATGTTTTCATCTTCAAATTAGGCTATGTTTGGAATATGATAAGGGTTAAAATAATTATGCTTTAATGCTTCTTCTGCTGTGATTCTTTATTTTGGATCTGTTTCTAGCATTCTCTTTAAAAGATTCAAGGCTGCCTTTGGAATTATGTCAAATGCTGATGATTTCCATTGTATTTTAGCCTCCTTATTTTGATTCACAATGGTTGTATAACTGCGTCCAGTAAATGCTGGTTTCCCAGTCAATAATAAATGAAACACCAATCCCAAGGAATATATGTCACAAACTTTATCATATTTAGTTGTTAGATCTTTAATGTTGATAACTTCAGGAGCCACAAATCTATTATAAATATATTTTTGTATATACCCAGGAGTGCCACATCTGCAATACAAATACACTTCATCATGAACATAGGTAGCCAATCCAAAATCTGCTAGACACACAGACTCTATTTAGTTAGGCTTTTTGAATAAGATATTTTCTAATTTGATATCTCTATGCATGATATCTTTGGAATGAATGTGTTTAAGACCTTTTATATATGTAATCAGAAGTACCTTCTAGTAATCCTTTAATAATAGTTAAGATCTCTTTATTTGAAAATATGACTTTTTTCTTCAATTACTCATATAATTGACCACCTTCCAATAATTCCAAACAAACATATAATGAATTTGTTGTTTCATGGACCTCATGCAATTTGATTATGTTTGGATGATCCAATTACCTCATCAACTTAATTTCGTTCATTAATCCTTCTTTTCCATTTTCTTCTGCATATGCCACACTTTTAGAAAATGCCTTAATAGCCATCTATTGCCCATCCTCAACTCTCTCAGCCAAATATACTGATGCAAAGTTTCCCTTTCCAATCTTCTTAAAAACCTTGAACAAATGATGGAATCCGTACTAGTTGATCCTCTTCCCCAAGAACTATCTCCATTGTGTGAGGATCATGGATGGAGCAACCAACTCATATCTGTGGTCCTCATCTCGAAATAGCCACAATGTAGTAGCCTCCCCAAGTTTCTCTATATTTTCGCTCTTCACTTAATCAACTCGAGCACTTCCTGAAAGCTTTATCACCTAACATCCTGGTTTCATCTTAGGGGCTGTTCGTATCATCTCAAATTTCAGATCAAAGTCCATCATTGTGTACTTCTTGGGCTTTTTGAATTGGGGGTCCTTATGTTTAAACTCGTATTGAAACCTCGTATATTATCAGCAGTGTTTCACTTCCACCTAAATATCTAAACTTGCCCTTTTTCTAAAATTCAGACTTTATCAAAAGCTCTCCTATCTTCACTTCCTCTTTATACGGGCTCCAAAACTTTGTTTTCATTATATGATAGATTATTTTATCAATTATTTTCTTTAAAAATCATCATAATTTTTCAATCTTGAATGCCCTCAATCATTAAATTATATAATCGAGCTAACCATATCTAAACTCATAGAATTCTAAAATTTCTTTAGTGTCTAGATAGAATTTCAGTATAATAAGAATATATTTATTAAATCTATCCAACAATCAAGCTGAAATCTATATATTTATTGTAAAGAACCCCAATTTTCTAAAGAAAATCATTGATCTTAACTATCAATATCAAATATTCAAACTATATGAAAAAAACTATAAATATGTTCTCATTTTAAATTATAGTTAATAATATATATTTTATAAATTCAAATGAACGATAGAACCTAATAAATGGCAGAGGATCCCTCTACAAAAGAGTTAAACAATTTTGTGTAAACACTCCTCAAACAAATGCAAGATCGATTCGATGAAATGCAAGGCACTATCGTTTCTAGAATTGATGATATGGGTAATCTATTAGATCAATGTTATTAGGAAAGCGCATTGAAGACATAGAAAAAAGTGTAACAGAACTAATGAATGACCTAGGATTCTCTGATGATGAAAAATGACAAAGGCAAATAGTTTTGAACTTTATTATAAATCTTATATCATTATTACATTTTCCATTCATCTTTATCATTCACATCAGATAAATCATTTATAGAATAATAAATATCGATTAATCGATCAAATCATTCTTATTTTCAATAATGTATAACATAAATAAATAATTCTGTCTAAAATTTAAATTAAAATTCATAATACAAAAATATTTCAACATTCTATCAATAGTGTCAAAAGAGATTTATATATATTTCAATTTTCACCAAAAAGAAATTCTACATGATTTTCATATATTGATCAAAGTCACTGTGAAATTATTAATGAAAATAAAGGTTATCTTATCTATCTGAACAGATAGTTTGTTTTAAATACTCTTTTGTTAAATATTAAACTAAATATACAAAACTGTTAGATTATTCGTAATTCCTTAACTTGTTAAAGATAAAAAAATACTGGCAAATAGAGATATTTAATCTAAAATTAGAATATTGTTGATTGTAAAAAATCATACTATAAATTATTATTTTCTTATTCTTTGAGATATTTTACATTATTGTTATTTCAATATTATATAGAAAGTTGGTACCAAAGGCAAAATTCTTTGAATTAAGTTGATAATTTATTTCGCAAAACATCATTTAAAAATAATAATAATAAATGGGAAATTGTTCAGCCGAAAACATTTAGCAATACGAGAATGTAGAGTTCACAGAAGGAGATACATATGAAGGAGAGATGGAGAACGGATTTGCAGAGGGCTGGGGTGTATATACAAGAAAGAATGGAGATCAATATATTGGTTGGGTAATACGAAATTATTTTAATGAAAGTGGCATAATGGGTTTTAGCATGGGATTGGCAGAGAAATATTTGCTGATAAAACAGAGTATGATGGAACATTCGTAAAGGGGAAGAAACATGGCAAAGGAAAAATTACATTTCCAGATGGATCATCTTATGAAGGATAATTTTAAAAAGATAGTTTTTCTGGGGAAGGTGTATACATATATCCTAATGGGATGAAGTTAATTGGTACAATAATTTTATAATTAAGTTTGGTAAGTGGATTGATAATAGAAAAGAAGGCAGTGCATAGATAGTATTCGAAAATGGTAACATATTTGAATGCGTAAGAATATTATGAATTAAAAGTAATACAAAAATGATAAGAAAAATGGGGAAGGCCTATTCAAGTGGCCAGATGGATGTAGGTTTTAAAGTAACTGGGTAGATGGATAACTGTAAGGGGAATCAAAATTGATAGAGAATGGCATCATGACAATAGGGGAATGGTTAAACAATAAATGCGTGAAGTGGGAATAATTGAATGATTGATATCCAAAATCTATTTAATATATTATAAAGATCAAAATGATTACATTATAATTAATTTTATAAACTCCACCAAAATTTTCAATTCAAATATTTAATGGAGACACAAACACTTTTACATCAATTGGTAAAGCAAGCATTCCCAGATTCAATTGAGGACAGCACATTTAATAACTATAAAACTTATTTTTTGAGAATTCTAAATGTGCGTACAGGTATTTCATTGATGGATGAATCTGAACTTCAGGCAGAGATGACTAAAATGACTAATGTAATATCATATCTAAACAAAAGAAATCATAAGCTTATAGATTGCAAGATTGTTTGAATCGATTAAACAAAACGAGATTAAGAAGGAAGAATGAACTTGTTCACTTCCTCTTTCGTACAAGTCAACTCGGCTAGAACAATAGTTATACAAATTAAACTTTAGACACCTTGTTTAAATCATAGGAGATATCTTAAATCAATTATTCTCAAACAATACCCAAAAAAGTCATAGAGGAGAGTCCTAAAAATAATGACTAACTGAACATTATCCAATAAATTATTGATAAAGGAAATGCGACACTATCTATTACAGAAAAAGATCTGATTAAAGATTTAATATTTAGCATTTAAGGTATAGAGAGTTAATATATCTGTTATGATCCAATTAATGATTTATTTTAAGTGAAAAAAGATATAGCAATTAGTTCAGCTAGTAGGAAGTTACTGAATGCCATGTGTGAATGTGGATGGCTATTCAAAAAAATACAAGCATTCACTTAAAATAATTATAATAGTTTAGTCTTATAGGCTTTACAGAATTCCATCAAAGAAGAATTAAATGAATATTACAGATTGATTGCATATTTTGAAAATCTTCTAGCAGAATCAACATTAACGCTTAGGAAAATGTATATGTGGTTGAAACAGCCCATGCACCATTTAGTTTAAATCAACTTAGTGTTATCATAAATTTTGACTAATGTCTAATTGGGTACGACATCTTCTTTAGTGATTTCTATTCTTTGCAGATATTCAAAGCATGGTTGTCCATTAACATCCTAATTGTTTTCTAGAATTTTACATCAAACAACCATACCAATTGTTAGATTTATAAATCAATGGATTTTCGATGGGTCTTTGAGTGATCAAGCCTAAGAATTCTTTATTGAAAGAAATGATTCTAATAAAATATAAATAAGAGACAGCGGAGAGTTGTGGAAGAATGAATTCAAAGTTAACCAAGATAAAATACCTTATATGATTTCTTTGAATGATTCTTTTAAAATCTATGATACAGGTAGAGTAATTAATTGGCTTAGAAAATAGTGTAAATTCACACAATTCAATTAAAATTATGATTTAATAACTATTGATCTACTAGGTACTGAATAGTTTTCTCTATTTGTTGACTAAGTCAATAAGGAATACAACAAATAGTTAATTTAATTGATTAAACCAAACTTTAAAATTACACTAAACGCAATCAAAAGATTTTTATTGTTGGGTTAAGGAGAATTTATACATACATTGATGGAATTATTATAAACTGAGTTAAATAAGCCAGCTCAATAATGTTATAGGCATACTTTGTTGAGTATTTTGGAATCAGCTTTCAAAAATATCTCATAAGAAGTTAGACTGAATGTAAAACTCCTTGAGCCTTCTTAAAATGATACTGGTTGGGAGATTTTCTGCTTGGATTATGCTATTGATGAACCTTTGAATACAATTTTCAATTAGAAGATTATGTTGTCATATTATAGAATTTTCAATTTTTTATGGAGAATTAAAAGAGTTGAATTTACATTAACTTAATGTTGGAAAATGCATTAGAAATTTATGGCAATTCCAAATCAATTCCAAACTATAAAAAAAGCAATTTAGTTAAGTTATCAAATGATGAATGAAATGCAACATTTTATCAAAAATTTTTACAGTTATCTCATGTTGGAAGCGATAGAAAGTTCTTGGAAAAAATTCATAGATGAGTAAGATAAAATTTAGGATTTGGATAGTTTAATAAAAACGCATGAATTATTCATATCAGATATATTAGACAGATCTTTCTTAAATACAAAGGGAGAATCAACATAAAAATTGTTATTCAAATTATTTGATTATATATTTAGATTTAAGAGTTGTCAGGAGTTGCTATTAAGCTATGCAAAAGATTAAATATCATAAACTGATAATTAGCAATTATAATTGAAAAACTTGCTTAACAAACAATAAACTTTAGGTAGATAAACTCAGAGTAAAAATTAAGACATTATTAAATCTTTATTGGAATTGAGGAAACAATATAGAGATTAAATGTTTGAATTACTCGAAAAACTTAAAAAGGAAGATAGATTAAAATTCCTTCATTTCAAATTAGATTTCAATGAATATTATTTGGGAATCTAAGAATCCAAAATATTTAATCAAGATTTAGAAAGGTAATCAATACTTATATCCTATTCTTAGATTTATAGAGAAATGCTTGCCTAAAGTTAACGAAGTCTAAATACCACCTCATCGAGTTCAAAGTAATAAGTCACTAGTACAACCTCAACAGCCATAGCAAAGAACTTTCAATATAAATACTGAATTTTAGAATGAAGTGAGATCAGTCAAAGAAGGATGTAAGACAGTTATTAAAATTTGTAGTAAAATTATTAGAAGAATAAAGAAGATAACAACTTTAATTAAAAGATTAATTCAGTAAATCTCCTTTGCAAAAGTCTCCATTATTGCAGATACCACCGACAATGACAGAACATGAAAAAAGAAAGAATGATGAAGATTTAAGTTCAAGTGATGATGATTGAGAATGATAGTTAATGGAATTTATTTATTTTTGAAATTAACAAATAATAATTACAATAATAATTGATTATCAATCCATAGCAATCAGAGTGTCTTAAGAAAAAAAAATTTGACAATTAATATCTATTTAATTATAAAAGGCAAATATAGTCTATTAGGATTTTATAATTTTAATTGAATTTATAAAATGTATATGAGGAAATAATGTGGTTAATTTTCAACGTTTCGCAACAACCTCAAAATAATATGGAAAGCAGATATTTATGAAAGGGCAGTAAAATTTGGAACTCCAATCAGTAATCAAGTATGAAATTAATTTAAAAACATTTTTTGGCTAAATAACATAATATTGTTAAAAAGATTAGGATTATAGTTTCTAAAAATAATGTCTTATATTATTAATGTCACTTAAACTGAAGGAACCCTCATTAAGGATTGATAATCCAATTTTCCAAAGTAGGCAACTAAATTTATCTTAATTTCCTATGAATCTACTTCAAATTAATTCTCAATCATTAAGCAAATTTTTAGTAGATATTTAGATAAACAAACGAGGTACAAAGGAACTTGTAAGTTATCAAATAGTAATGAACTTACTGCTAATAATGTGAGTTTTTGGTTTGCTTGAATTGAGTAGGATTTCAAAGGTTAAGTTAAAAGTATTAATCCATACTTGAGAAACTGGGTCTAATCATAAAACAAATAAAAAAGAGAATGCTTTATTAAAAAATAGATCCAAATAAATAAAACCAAGAGTGATTAAGTTACCAAAGAAATACATTGTAAAAATTCTTAGAATCGCAATTATTTAATTAAATTTTGAACCCCAAATTTGTAAAAATAGATCAAATGAAAGTCAAATTAATGTCAAAATCACAAAAAGTTAAATATATAAGTAATTTATAATAATAGTCATCCCATCTCTCCAAACACATCAAAGTCTTCAATTTATTATGAAATTTAAAACACAAGATGATTCAAAATTCTATCGATGAAGACTGAAATTATCCACTATATAAAGAAGTAGTTAAAAAATCAATGATTCAATATCATTTAACATTCTGGAATTAAAGTAGAAGTATGAACAATTGAATTTTCATAGTTTCTTTATTTATTGATGTTAAAAATAAAAATTAAAAAATAGTCTAAATTTATATAAATTCAATATATCATCATTATTTTACTATAATATGCGCATTTGGTATGCTATGTCTTGAAGAATAACTTAATAAGTTATAATTAGGTAAATGGTCACTTGCAGATTTTGCTTTTTTGGCTGCCTTATCAAGACTATACTAAATCAGCCTTTCATTATTCCTAATTCTAAATTGATTTAACAAAACTGGATGCTGACCACTTCTTTACTTGCTGCGATTGGTCATTTCATTTCGATCGCTTACATAACTATTCCTCTAATGGATTGATTTAAACATAGTAGGAACATCTATTTTTAAATAAGAATGGTCCTTCCAGTATTTCACTGTCGATAATATTACTGAAGCCCTCTTTACAGCTTTACGCAATATAATCTTATTAATAGTAGTATCTATTTTTGGTTTTTGACTTATATGCTATAAACAAATAGATATGGGATATAAACAATTTAATCTAAGCAATTTCTAACCACTATTACCCTCTTAGAAGCTTTTTCTTCTTTATTTCTTTGGTATATCATCTAATTCAGCAATTTAGGATGTATTTTTCAGCCTTTTTGGCTAAACTAAGGATACTAAAAGCGAATTTCTCTTCTAATTTACCAATTTATACTCTCTCTAACTCGTTAAGCAATTTAATGTCATCTATCCTAATGATAGATAAGCTTATTGAGTCTTCATAATATTTTTAATTTAATTATATTAAAATGCTGTAAAAGTGACTACGATAATTTCCAGCTCCGCTTCCAAAAATTTTAAGAACATATTTACTTCTAAAATAGTAATCTAGTCCCGAGTAGTATCTCCAACAGTAACATGTGGTTTCTCAGAAGTAGCAATATTGTTAAAAGGCAATTATTCATAAAATGAAGAATTGAAAATTACATCATTAGTCTAGATAATGAGAAAATGAAATTAAAATCCAAAGGTATTTCAATTAACAAGACTTTTGAGTCAATATGACAATCCATAACTCATTACTATAACTCTATTAAATTCTGATTAAGTTGGATGGGGGGTTTAAATCTCAGATCTCATTTGATAACCAGTTGATAGTTAAATCAAAATTAGATTTAACTCAATAAGAATTATGCTAATTTAATCAAAGATTGAGGGTTTTTAGACGTAATACTAATAAATCATTAAAATAAAAAAGAGGAGATGAAATATTTAATAGGTAGATGAAAATGAATATGTGATATATCAGGAACATTTATTTAATTGTTTAGAAAAAGATATTAAATACTTTAAAGAAAAACTTCATTTTCCTTTCTAATTATTTATCATTTTTAAATAAAAATAGAAATGCCTAATGTTGTTTTCGCACTATTTTATTCAATACTAATAATATAATGCATCTGATCGGTACAATAAATTAAAGTGCAGCATTCATTTGAATCGATAAATTTTTTCAACATTTTCTGAGAACAAAATTCTTAGTTTCTTTTATTTAATCTTAGTCTCAATAACTTAATCTACATAATAAGTAATCAATGTAATTTAGACTTATAATATCAGCTTTTTTGAAAATTATCTCAAACACAATTAGGCTAAGAATTTTTCTAATTCCAGATTTGAAATTCAATCATTATTTTTATATTATTATTATTGTTTGTATTAATATATTTACGATATAATTGGATCAGTTTAAATTCTCGATTCCATTTGTTTATAAATATTAGTTGAATTTAATAGGTTAGATTAATATGTAAGATGCAATATGAGAAAGAAATAAGATATAAAAAAGATTAGAGTATCGTTAC